ATAGTACACTATTGACTACTTTTGGTGCATGTGACATTCGAATATTTGAAATAGACCTGAAATTCAGTAGAAAGAAAATTGTGGGTGCCACTACTATTAAAAGCAGGTTTTATACATTCAATTTTGTGGGAGGTAGTATCATGTTAATATAGTCAAAATGAAAATTGTGGCATAAGTAATTGTCATGCCCAGGAATGACAAACAATATTTGTTTTTTGGTTGTGCAGGAACTTTGGATGAGCATATGCATCTACTTCTTCCTGCTCTAATACGATTGTTTAAAGTGGATGCTTCAGTAGACATAAGACGTGCTGCAATCAAAACATTGACAAGCTTGATTCCTCGTGTGCAGGTTAGTTACTTTACTTGCTTCTATTCACCCTCAATTCTTTAATTGACTTGGTAATGGTAGATAATTCAATGTTTTTATTTTTCTTGTTTGATCTGTGATTGTTCCAGTCTGTTATTGATTCTCTTCTCTTTTATTATCAGGTCACTGGTCATATATCCTCTCTTGTGCATCACTTGAAGTTAGTTTTGGATGGGTGAGTGTGCAAATTCTTAAATAGCACTTTATATTTATCAGTATCAGATTGTTCCCCCTACCACTCATTCTTTTAATGTAATTATGGAAGTTAATTTAATTATTTGTTTGTGCAAGTGATAAATGATTGACAGATTTATGTCAACCAAATAGGGAACTGTGAAATAAAGATTTGTATTTCTCATGAATCATTACTATTCAATATTCTTATTTTAATCTTGTGGTGGGTTATGCCTAAATGAAGTGCTGAAACTGCGTAGCAGCTTGTTTCCAACTCTGGGAAAGTATGAGGAGATAATATTTATAATTAATTTTTTATTATATGGAACAATTGTTAATTTGACTTAGGGTTGCGATTGATGATTTAGGGGTTTTGTTCTGGTATATCTTATCCCTGGATGAATAATGGTTTTATCCTTTAACAAAAAAATAGGTTTCTTTAAGTTTTAAGTTCAGGTTGCCAGTCATTGTAGATTTAAGGTCCTTTGAGAATCCCATATTAGTCATGCTATCTGACTTACGGTTGACAGCTTGTCATTGAATTCTCAATGCTGAGAATTTTGATATTGTTGTTTCTTGCTTGATTTTGTTTTTTATAACCTGCTTATAAAATCTTGGTTGATAAAAAGCTGTCATCTCTTGATTCTCTTTTTATGTGATTGATACTTGCCATTAAAACCAACTAAAAGACTATATTAGAATTCAGTAAATAATTTGATTTTCTCATTGTCTCCTTTTAATTCATGTTATCATCTTTTACATTATTCCTACATAATCCACCGATCCCTATGTATTGAACTTATGAATTACAGGAAAAATGATGAGCTCCGAAAGGATGCTGTTGATGCACTTTGTTGTCTGGCTCATGCACTTGGCGAGGATTTCACAATATTTATTCCATCAGTTCAAAAACTTCTACAGAAATATCGCCTGCGGGTCTTGAGTTTTTCTGTCTTTATTTTTACATTTCTTTTCCTATGAGATTTGTGTGAGATTAAATATTTTGTCTTAAAAATTTCTAAAGATACATAATATTGCAGCACAAGGAATTTGAGGAAATTGAAGGACGCTTACAGCGACGTGAGCCACTTATTCTTGGGATCACAGCTTCACAAAGACTGAACAGACGGCTTCCTGTTGAGGTTGTTAGTGATCCTTTAGATGATGTGGAGATTGATCCTTATGAAGATGGATCTGATGCTCACAAACTAAGAGGCCATCAGGTACCCTCTTGTGATGAATTGTAAAATGTTTTGTCCTTTTGTTTGTGTCTTGGACCACTGGGAAATATGGCTACTGATTACTAAGCATGCTTTAACTTACTTATGAGTGAAAGTTTAAACTTACCAAAGAATATTGAATGCTGAAATGCCGATCCCCTGTTAATTGCATGTTAGGATAGCATTGAACTCAATAATTTGCATTTTTCACTTTATATATTCAAATTGAAAAAATGTTCAAGAACAGAATACAGCCATACAGTAATATCTATTCTACTAGATTGAGATATTCGTTATAAAAATTGAGATAATTAGGTAAGATTTTTTTATAAGAAAATATTGACCAAGACTTTTGAGAGTATTTCTTCCAAAGCTAAAACTAGTAGCTTCTGCAAAAGTAAGATTTATCATAAAACCACGATTTTCAAAGTTTAACCAACGCACCCTGAATAGATGAATGAAATTTACATTTCTTCAATTAAATATCATAATTGCAATTCAGATGAAGATATATCTAAAACACATAAATCCATGGGCATAATTTTAGCAGTTTTTTCAAAGGCAAAAAGCTTCATCTGCTATTCGACATCCTATTAGTTCCAAAAGTTACTTCAATGCAAGCAAGAAAGTTGCTTTATTGTTGGTATTGAACATACAAGAAATCAAAAGGTCCCAAACTCCCAAACCACTAAAGTTAACGATGTGAGTGCTTGTGTATGGCCATGTTTTGTAAGATGTATACGTTAAAAACAATGGTCAAGATCAAGAGGGGGGGTGAATTAATATATTAAAAACTTTTCAAACACTTTTTTGAATTACACCGATTCTCAAAGAACATAACCAATTCTTTTCAAGAACTAATTGATATAGCAAGAAACAAAAAGTAAATGCAAGAAGTAAGAGAAAGAAAGAAAGAAGGCACAAGAACTAGTTCACCCAACCACTTGGGCTACATCTAGTTCTTAACACAAACAGCTGAGTTCCACTATAACAACAACCAATTACAATTACAAACTAGTAGACATACTCAATCTTCCTCAAGAGCTTCTTGATCACCCAAGAACCACTCTTGAAACTACCAACAACCCACACTAGATACCACAAATACACAAGGAAAGAAACAATATAAGGAAAGAAATCACCTAGAAAATTTATACAACAAACACTCCAATTGCAGAATCACAATCTCTAAGTAATTTCTCTAAGAAAGTAAAAGAAATGCCTCAAGAGTGTTTTGAATTATTCCACAATTAAAAGTGCATGTTGCGCTCTCAAAAATCTCTCAAAAGATTGCTAAAAGTTTTTTTCAAAATTGTATTTTGAAAGATGAAATCAAAACTGCTTATATATGAAAAATTGACAGTTTGAATCGATTAAATTGACCATTTGATCGATTGATTATACTAAAATGATCAATTAGTTAATTTGTGGTTTTAATCGATTAAAAACAATGAGATAAAACTTTCTGAAAACTTCAATAAGTTGTTTTAATTGATAAAAACACTTTTAATCTATTAAAACAAAATAAGCAAAATTTGCTCTAAGTATAAAAAGACATTTTAACTTATGAAAAACAAGATTAATTGATTAAAGCAGTGAGACATTTTTCCTTAATGTTCCCGTGATCATTTTTTAATTGATGAAACCTTCAAATAATCGATTAAAACAACAAGGACATAATTTTCACTAAGTTACAACAACATTTTAATTGATAACAAAGTGTATTAATCAAGATTAAAGCCGCGAACCACATTTTCCAAAAAATTATTAAGAGCATTTTAACAAATTAAACAGATTAAAACTTTGAAACATAATGATGTTCAAGTGTTTAAGTGAAATTAATCGATTATTTCAAATTTTTATCAATTAAAAATTGACCCTAAAAACATTTTAATATATTAAACACAGTTTTAATATATTAAAACTGTTCTAAAACTGATTTTAGGAAAGATTGAGCCATTCCTACTAACTTAGAACATGATTATCTTATAGAATGGATTAGAGCACACATACCTCTATATACTAGTCTCTCTCTCACACACACACACAATTAATCAGAACACCCAGACTCCACAGCATGTTGCAGCTCAACTCAGATATTGACTTCATCAAATCCAACATGCTCTTCAATATACATAAGCTGGAAAGCCTTTTCTAAATCTATGTTGGAACAAATATTGAGGAGTGTTAAATAAAATGAGAGGAAGAGATGGTATGTAAAGAGCCCAGAGAAGGCTAGGTGCTTAAAAAAGAACAGTAAACAGGATAAAGAAACAATTAATTACAATGAGAATTAATAAATTAGTTGTGAGGCTGAAAAGGATAGAAATAAAAGGAAAACTGAGTGATATAAAGATTGCTGGGAAATATAGAACAAGCAAATTGAAGCATATGTTTTCATCAGATTATGTTTCAGTTGGGGCATATATATCACAGCTGAAATTTACCAATATTGTTAATAATACTCCTGATGCTGACTAATTAACAATATATGGGTTTGATTTTGCTTAACTCAAATTTGTGCTTATCTGAAGCATTTAGGACCATAAAGAGTTCAATAATACTTCATATCTTAAACATTGGAAGTTGGAAACAAAATTATAATGCATGGGTACTCTGCACTTCACATAAGAATTAAGAATGTAACACTCTTTACTTCATTCTATTGACACACACACGTGTGTGTGTGTGTGTGTGTGTGTGTGTGTGTATATATATATATATATCTTTCATCACATATATCTTGCCACTTGATGTGTAAAAACATATGAATACTAGTCTTATAATAAGAAATATACAACTTATTAGTATAGATCTTTATTTAGTTTGCACACCTGCAAGAATCACATGACCTGATTCTACTGAGCACTATTGTCCTAAGGAAGGATAGCACATAGAGATTACCTTAGACTTGCATGTTTGGAGTGTGGGGAACTGGAATCTGGAAATGAGATATACAGATATAAAGATCTGAGGAATCTCAGCTCTGTAGTTTTCATTTTTAATTTTAGAAAAAGAAGACTTCGTATATTATAAATTGAATGAATATTGGTTACTCACCAATATGTTTACAAAGATCTCTATTTGTAGTTTAGTTCAGTTACAAGTTATTGTAACTGTCTAAATAAAACAATTACACTAACTCTAACTAACAATGGATACCTAACCAGAGAAAAGGACAAACCATAGCTATCTAACTACTATACAAAGTGGGAGTGACACTCGCAGAAACATCCATGCAGGTGAATGATGGTCGATTACGGACAGCTGGAGAGGCTTCTCAGCGAAGTACTAAGGAAGATTGGGCAGAATGGATGAGGCATTTTAGCATTCAACTTCTAAAGGAGTCTCCTTCTCCAGCCTTGCGAACCTGTGCCAGGCTTGCACAGTTGCAGGTGTGATTCACTGTTGATTTTATTCATTGTGGCATTTGTATTTTCCTATCTGATTTTCACTTGTCTCTGAATTTACAGCCTTTTGTTGGGCGAGAGTTGTTTGCAGCTGGATTTGTCAGTTGCTGGGCACAGTTGAATGAGACTAGCCAGAAACAGCTAGTTCGGAATCTAGAGATGGCATTTTCATCTCCAAATATTCCTCCAGAAATTTTAGCAACACTTCTTAACTTGGTATAACTTCTCATCTCAGTGAATATATTCAATCTGTGAATGTGGGCTTCAACATGTCATTTATATTTGCTTCCTTAAGATTGTTGATTATTAGATACGTTTTGTTATAAAAGGCCAGGGGTGAGACTTTACTTGAATATATGTAACTGTTAGGAATGATTCAAACCAAAAATCTATAGGTTGAAAAGACTGCAGGTTTATAATAGGAAAAGGAAAAGGTCAAAAGTGTACCTTAGTTGTTCATTGGTTCTGTTATCTTGTTATTGTAATTCCTATAAATTGGTCCTTTTCTGTGTAAAGGGGGAGTTCTTTGAATTTTGAGTTTACATGTCATATTCCAGTGTAAAAAGGAGAAAGCTTCTTTGGAGTTACACTCGTACACCTTGTTGCTAGGGTGACTTTCTTTCAGCAGCAAAAAAGCATATTCAGAATTAATTTTCCCTGTCTGGATGTTAATTTGTCTTTGTGGAACTATTATAAATATTTCAAGAAAAAGGAACCTAACAGTAACTGTAATGCATTTGGACAGTAAGTAACTTAAGATAGTTTAGATGATGGTCTAATTCTATTGGTGCAACTATTTGTGGCTTTGGGCTTCCCCATTCTAATCATATTCTTCCACATTATTGATTCCCCCCTTCCAATTATATATGGATTTCTGAGAGTAGAAGGTTTTTATTGAGAAAGAAAGCATTTATTACTCTTTTATATTTTTGTTGTAATTAATCCTTTCTTTCATAATATAAAAATATCACTTTTAGTTGCTTATATATAGCCTTTGTTGGGATAAGAAGAGAGAAAATAAAGAAGGGGAGAATTTTGAAATGTTAAATAGAGAGAAAACATGGAGAGAGAAATATTTTCTATTAAGTTTGGCTCCTCTGAAAACATGGGTAAAGGGTTAGACTTAATTCATACTTTTTGTATTGATTATAGAGATTCATGGAGATGTATAAAATTATGACATGTGCTACTTTTTTAATTACCTCTCGTTTTTGTTAACTGAAACTGCAGGCTGAGTTCATGGAGCATGATGAGAAACCTCTCCCTATTGACATACGCCTTCTAGGTGCTCTTGCTGAGAAGGTCCTTATCTTTCTTCTTTTTGGTCTTTTTGGGTGCATGTTTGTGTATATGTTTGTGTATTTGTTTATGATTCATGCGTGTCTTTGTTCAATGCGTGCTGCTTTTTTAAGCAACTGCTTTGCTGTTATATTGGATTATTTCCTCAACTTTTCCTTATACCTTTCATGTGTTGTCGCTTTGCTATGGCACAGTGTCGTGCATTTGCAAAAGCCTTACACTATAAAGAAATGGAATTTGATCAAGCTAAGAAGATGAATGCCAACCGAGTTGCTGTAGTTGAAGCTCTTATTCATATAAACAACCAATTACACCAGCACGAGGTTCAGTTGAATAGAAATGATTTTTCTATAAAGTTTATCATTTTGCTGATGCTTTTGTAGTTTTAACTCTGTTATCTTATATCTAAGCATTTCAATAAACATTTTCTTTCTATAGGCTGCGGTTGGAATACTTACCTATGCTCAACAGAGTCTAGATTTCCAACTTAAGGAGTCATGGTACTGTTTTACATTTAATTTCTACAATTATGGTTTTTATCTGTGGAAAGCTCGAGAAGTTAGAGACTGATAGTAGATGTCCATTAGGTATGAGAAACTGCAGCGATGGGATGATGCTCTCAAGGCTTATACTGCAAAGGCTTCTCAAGCAACAAGTCCACATCTTGTCTTGGATGCAACTTTAGGTCTGTATTGATGACTTTACCTTCATTTTAACTTGGATGCCAGTTTCCATTATATTCTTATTATAGTAGATACTTAATTAAAGAATATTTCTGTGGTTTTAAGTTTTGTTTTCCAACTACTATATTGCCAGTTTGGAGTTACACTTTTTAGGATTTTTTTCCATCTTTGGAAATATTTGAGCTTGGAACTTGCTTTTCAGGTAAAATGAGATGCCTTGCTGCATTGGCCCAATGGGATGAGTTGAATATCCTTTGTAAAGAATTTTGGACCCCAGCTGAGCCTGCTGCTCGTCTTGAAATGGCACCAATGGTTGGTTTTATACTCATGTCACATGTGATGGATATTTTTCCCTGCCTAAGCTCAATGTTATGTTTTTCAGGCTGCAAGTGCTGCTTGGAACATGGGAGAATGGGATCAAATGGCAGAATATGTGTCTCGCTTAGATGATGGTGATGAAACAAAACTTCGAGGATTGGGGAATACTGCCTCCAGCAGTGATGCGAGTAGTAGTGGTACTTTCTTCAGGGCTGTGCTGTTAGTTCGAAGAGGAAAGGTATTTATTGCTTGATATATCAACCAGGTTTTAGTTTGTTCAATTTTACTATTGTGATTTCAATCTGTTGGCAGTATGATGAAGCACGTGAGTATGTAGAAAGAGCTAGAAAATGTCTGGCAACTGAGCTTGCTGCTCTAGTGAGTTTGTTTTATAAACTTTTATTACTGGTTTTATTCTTAAGCATTGATATTTTGAATTTTTATTGTTGTTTCATAGTATTGTGATAGTACTGTGTTTTAGGGAATGGGATAAAGGAATTTTATTATGACTTCCTTGTGGTACCAGTCTTTAATCATATATCAATATTTATTCTTTGTCTCATAAGCTTACGATAATGTAATCACACCTTGAGATGCATTTGATGTTAGGATTTTGGCTAAAATACAATTTTGGTCCATTATTTTTAAGCTCACATTTAGTCTTCCATTTAAAAAAAAAACCTGTGATTTTAGTCCAATTGTCCAAATTATGACTTTGACATTTAAGATATTAATGTTGACTCACATTGGCACAATCTAACTGGTATTCTATGACAATTTTGTTTGATTTGCTGTCAGAGAAGTTAATGAAAAATGATTCAGCTATGTGGAAGACATTGTTCAAATAATACTAATTACTTTATTATAATCAAATAATGTTAGTATCACGTTAGTAAGCGTGTCACATGAAAGTCAACATTAATATCTTAATATTTAATGTCTTTATTGGACGGTTGGACAAAAATTACTAAATTTGAAAAATTGTGAGATTAAATGTCTCTCTATTTTAAAATAATGTGACCAATATTCCAGATTGAAAGAAGTAGGGGGACCAAAATTGTATTTGAACCTAGTATTATATAACATAGTTGTCATTCTTGGATAGCGGAGCAGAGTGACCGACCCCAAATATGGGATAGCGGATTGTGGGATGCCCGCCATTCTCATATATATATATATATATATAATTAACATAAAATATGTATAAGCCAAAAATCAGAAATGAAAACTCAAATTTCATACACTAATCATCATTAATAGTAAAAACTCATAGTGCTTGAACAAATATAGAGTATAAAGTCAAGAAAAAACAAATATAAAGCCTAAATTTCCAGCTTATAGTACTCCAATTTGAAAAACAAGAAATCAAAATCATAAGTATATAAAAACTGATATAAGTCATGTTCAAATACTGTATAAAAAACCAGAAACCAAGATTATAAGTAATAAAGAAATAAATACAGTGATTTAGAAAAAACTCAAACCAAAACCATAAGTAAAAAAAAGAAAAGGAAATGAGAAAAGAAGAAGAAAACAAATGTTCATGGCTAGTCTAATATAAAATATAAAATAAAAAGACCTGAAAACTCCAAAATATTCTTTTTAGACTTTTCAAGTTGAAGGAGATGAAACATTAGGGTTAACGATTCTGCACACTATGCTGCACGTCTGCACATCCACTCCAGCCGCACCTTGAAAATGCCACACGGGCTGGCAACCAGCTCCCTGCCACTCCGGTCATGATTTACTACATAGTTTTAGAAATATTGATAAAATGTAAAAGCCCATTTTGAGCCTTCTATTAACACCTAAGCTCTTATAGGATGAGTTGATCCTTGATTCTAAGGTACATAAACCTTTTGCAAAGATTTGTCTGTTAAGGTGAAATATATTAATGTTTATGATACTTTTTTAAAAAACGTTGTCTTGTATGCCTATAAATATCAGTAATTTCAATGAAGCATTGGTTGATATAACCTTTTTTGCATGACTTTCTCCAAACACTTTTTATTGGGCATGTTGAAATCCACCTTAGTTATGGCTTCTTTGGAGCTTCCTAATTGCAGCTTCAAGGGTGGTGGTTTATTCCTACATCAAATAGAGATATTGTTTAAATAGAGCTTGGATACTTCTCACTTTACAAGCCAATGTTGTGAAGTCGAGTGAGAGAGTGAGTCCAAATTCAAAGACACATCAAACTCATACTTCCCCTCATGCAGTAGCACTCTACATGACCTACAAACTTGAGCTAAGACCACAAAACAAAAAAAGAGGATGGGAAAAATCTCCAATAGTTTGTGTTTTGGTTTTTAAACTACTTGTGTTAGAAACAAATTTCAAAACTTAATTGATTTCAGATGAGAAACTGATTGTTGAGTATCATGGAATTATTTAAAAAAAAGCTTTTTAAAATCAAAATGTGAGAAGAAAACCAAACAGGTCCTCCATGTGAAGTCCCAAGTGTGTTCAATGAAGACTAGACCAGTGATTTGAATAAAAGGTGCATCAGAATGTATATGAACCCAAAACATTGACTACTTTTAGTGCAAATTGTTACTTTCTGTTACTTTTAGTTTGCAAATTGTTGCTTTCAGTTGCTTTTAGTTTGCAAATGGTGTATGGATAAAAGGTGCATCATTTAAGACACATAATTGATACTTTTAGTTCATTTGCTTTCAAAGAAGTTTGTTATATAATTTTTTTTTCTTTTCCAGGTTTTGGAGAGTTATGAGCGTGCCTACAGCAATATGGTTCGTGTTCAGCAACTATCAGAACTAGAAGAGGTTAAGCTCTAATATATGAAGTATTGCTTTCAGTTCCTCTCCTTTACTCAATTATATAAATTGGGAAGATCTTCTCTTCTTCTAGGTGATTGATTACCGTACACTTCCTATTGGAGACCGAGTATCAGATGAGCGGCGGGCTCTTATTCGCAATATGTGGACTCAGCGTATACAAGGAGTCAAAAGCAATGTTGAGGTAGGCTGATTACTCGTACTTAAAATGTATATTGATAGAATAAAGCCTATTCTATGCCTATATATGTATGCTGAAAGATTATGATTATTTTGTGAATTAAATTTCAGAGGAATGTAATTAGAGTTTGTTGACTGGATGCATACATTTTGATTCTTATTTCTTAAAAGACAGTGGGACTTTTTGTGCCCGGACCATAATCCTTGTGTGTATCAAAACCCCTAACAATGACTATTTCATTAAACTCTATGTCAACTTGTGAAGAGTGGTCTTGATTGATATGACTTTGCTGATCCACAGCTGTAATGTAATGGCGCAGAAATAAAATGTACTAATTTTCAGGTCATCTTAAGTGGCAGGAATGTTTAGGACATGAAATATTTTTAATTGTTAATTATTATTAAGCCATGGTACTTTTATTCTGATCTTTAATTAGCTTTTGATTACAACTGTAAAATTCACATGCTTGGCACTACAGTGGTTGCGTGCAGTTCAAACTAATACATGATAACTGAACCTTCCTTTCCTATGGTTTTAATGAATATTCTTTACCATGGATATTCTAGTATTTGTTAAGACTAGTTAATGTTGGCCAACCCAAGAAACCACAATAATGGTGTATAGCTGATTGCAGAGTGATAGTTGCATTGGATGTAGCAGATTCAATGCAATTAATTTTTATCACATGCAAAATAAATCCTCAAGACTTCAAGTTACTAAAAAATTGCTAAATTTATCATCAATACTCGAAAGTGGATGCCTGAACATTAAGTCAGTAATAAGCAGAAAAAATAACTAAACAGAGTTGGGCTTGGCCAGGGATGGACAAAAGTTTGAAGAAACAGCTAGTACTGAGCCGAACACGGAACAGGTTGCTATAAAAAAGGACATTGGCATTCAGTTGCTAGAAGCTTACTGAAGCTGATGTAATCTTCTGGGAAACCGCTGCAATATCCCTATGAATCTGTTGGTCTTTTTCAGAAAGAACAAATGTTGTTAGCCCTAACAATTGGTCTGTGCCATGGATTACTCCCTAACAATTAAGTGTGATAAAATAGATATGACCTAATTTAAAGAGAGGAGTAAGCTTGAAACAGATATATCATTAAAAAAATAAACATTTCAAATTTTGAAGCATTGCAGCTGGAATAAAATATTATAGTAGATTCAAATCTAAAATGAGATGTTATTGGATATTCAGTTTAAGTCCCTTAGCAAAAGTTTATGATGAGCTATTGCAATCCCAACTCAAAGTTATCCTTGGATTTAATATTTTGCATATTTAGGCTTGGTTTCCTTACTCTCTAACTTTATTGTGATTGTTTTCAGGTTTGGCAGGCACTTTTGGCTGTTAGAGCACTTGTACTGCCTCCTGTGGAAGATGTTGAAACCTGGCTCAAATTCGCCTCTCTCTGCAGAAAGAGTGGGCGCATTAGCCAGGCAAAATCTACTTTAGTTAAACTTCTACAGGTTTGTGCTGTATTCCTGGCCTAAGTAGTTTGCTATGTGTTACTTTTATTCTTGTGTACCCAACTCAAGTTATTGTTCATTCTATCAGTATGACCCTGAAAAGTCTCCTGAAAATGTACGATATCATGGCCATCCTCAAGTAATGCTGGCATACTTGAACTACCAGTGGTCTCTTGGAGAGGATTCAAAGCGCAGAGAAGCATTTATTAGGCTTCAGGTATTATGTCGTTCTATTATTGTATAGGGAGAGCTTTTCTGAAATTGACTGATAATTTGTGTGCATTACTTGACCCAGAATCTGGCTATGGAACTTTCAACTGCACCCAGCATTCAACCAGTTACACCATCAAGCTTCACTAGTGGTTTGAATCCTAGTGTTCCTCTCCTTGCTCGAGTATATCTAAATCTCGGCTCCTGGCAGTGGTCACTTTTTCCTGGGCTGGTTGATGAATCTATAAAAGGTTCTTAATTGTCATAGTTTGACTTTGAACATAAAATGATTTTTGTTTTTTCCTTTTTTAATTTAGTTTCAATTTTGTAGATATACTTAATGCATTCACAAAAGCGACTCAGTATGCAAATAAATGGGCGAAAGCTTGGCGTAAGTGGGCATTATTCAACACAGCAGTGATGTCTCACTACACTTTAAGAGGTTTCCCTGATGTTGCAGCACAATTTGTTGTTGCGGCTGTCACTGGATACTTTCATTCTATAGCATGTGCAGCAAATTCCAAAGGTGTCGATGATAGTTTACAGGTTAGCTACAATTCTTGTTATAATATGAAACCATCCACCAATGTATCCATTAATTTGCACAATACTGGCAATAATGAAGAAAATTTGGGTTCAGGAATTATTGTATACACTGACTCGGGGATTGGAAATGCTCTTATGTTCTCATGTTTGCTTCTTTATTTTAGCTTTCAGCAATTCTTTTTGACTTAGCTGTAATCTCTATTCTAAAATCTGTGCTAAGGCTCATGCCAAATGACTTGTTGTGACCTGATTTCCATGGGAAGAATTTTTATTAAGCACTATCAGTATAACAATTGAACATCATGTTCTTTTGGATTCTGACATGTTTAGGGTTTAGAATACTTTCCAAATATGCTTCTAGCTGCATAATAGAATTTGTTGTGCCTATGACTTGATCATTTAATTTTTCAACATATACACAATATTTCTTGGTTCTGTAAAGACTTCGGATTTAGTTTATAGGATTTTTTTCATGGTGATGCGAATTTTCGTATATTTATATTTCATATTTGGCTGGAACGACGATTCTAGTATTTTAAGTTATCTGATCCATTTTTTGCTTTTATGGAACATAGTTCTATTGTTTTTCTATGGTATAGCAAGTGGTTATTTTGGATGGTTTTCATTAGCATCGTTAAGATGACTCATTTATTTATTTATTAATTTATTTTGATTTTCTTTTTGGTCTTGTAAGTGGAACTTATACTTTTAAAATGCTTCTGCCTTTTATACTTCCTCTATAATTCCACCATGTTTTATCCAAATCAATAAAATAAAAATCTGATTTCTACATAGTTGGCCATGTGGCAATTATTTTCCAAATTACTTTTTTCTAATGCACTTTTGGGATTTCTTTTGTTGCATGTAATCCAATTGGAATATGCTAGTCTTTGCTTTTGAATATTTAACTTGCCGTTGCTTTGGCTGTGCAGGATATTCTTCGGCTTCTGACATTATGGTTCAACCATGGAGCTACAGCAGAAGTACAATCGGCCCTAAAGAAAGGATTTTCTCTAGTTAATATCAATACTTGGCTAGTAGTTCTACCTCAAATAATTGCTAGGATACACTCTAATAACCATGCTGTGAGAGAGTTGATACAGTCACTTTTGGTTCGGATTGGGCAAAATCATCCACAGGTATATCACTGATATAGTTGAACTTCGACTTGTTTCCATTTGTGAATTATTTGAAAGTATCTGTTCGTAGATTTCACCTCTTGAAACTGAAGATATTGTGAACAACCGGAGGCATAAAGTATTTTATGCTTGGAAGAATTTTAGTTTTTAGTTGACCTGCACTTTGGTCCCTCATGTTTCAATTGTGCTAATTGGATCCCTTAGATATCACAAATGTGTAATTTCAATCCTTAAAGTTTTGGTTGTCAATTGATTTCTCACACTCCCCCTCAAGCTGATGAATAGGTGTTTTCCATTCCCAGCTTGGATACAATCTTCTCAAAATTGTGGCAGCCCATTCCCTTGGTAAGAATGTCTGTAATTTGGTCTTGAGAAGACACATATGGAGTGCATATCAAGCCATTATCAAGCTTTTCTTTGTTGAAGTGTCTGTCTACTTCAATATGCTTTGTTCTATCATGTTGCACTAGGTTGTGGGCTATGCTGATTGCTGACTTATTATCACAATAGAGCTTCATATGTTCTTCCCATTTTATCCTCAACTCTTCTAAGATGATTTTAAGCCATAGTAACTCACCTTGTGTCATGGCACGAAATTCTGCTTCAGCACTAGACCGAGCCACTACATCCTGCTTTTTGCTTCTCCAAGTCACAAGATTTCCTCCAAGAAAGGTGCAATATCTTGTAGTTGACCTCTTATCCATAATTGACCCTGCATAATCAGTATCAGTATAGGCTTCAAGCTTCACATTACCATTCCTTTTAAATAGAATCCCTCTTCCTGGAGTTCCTTTAAGGTACTGTAAAATTCTGTGGGCTGCTTGTAAATGGGTCTCCTTTGGGTTATGCATAAATTGGCTAATTAAACTCACTGCATAGGCAATATCTTGCCTGGTATGCGACAAATATATAAGTCTGCACACTAATCACTGGTACATATCTTTTTCAAGAGTAACATCTTCTGCATTTCCAAGCTTTAGGTTTGGTTCTAATGGGGTACTAGCAGGTTTGCAAGCTGCCTTGCCAGTTTCCTTGAGCAAACCAGTGATGTATTTCTGCTGGGATATAAATATCCCTTTCTTGGAGTGGGCAACTTCAATTTCCAAAAAATATTTTAGTTTTCCCAAAGTCTTGATCTCAAATTCCTTGCCTAAGCATTGACTCAACAATTGTTGCTCTTCTTTATTATCTCCAGTTAATATTATGTCATCCACATACACCAATAATATTGTTACTCCCCCTTACTTGGAATGTTTAAAGAACAAAGTATGGTCCCCTTGACTTTGTAACCTAGACCTGTCATAACTTTAATAAACCTGTCAAACCATGCACGGGGGGACTGTTTTAGCCCATATAGTGCCTTTTTCAACTTGCAAACAGTGTTGGCAACATTTCTACCATATCTTGGAGGTATCTCCATATAAATTTCTTCTTCAAGGTCTACATGTAGGAAAACATTCTTAACATCAAATTGTTTCAAGTTCCAACCATAATTGGAAGCAAGGGACAATATCACCCTAATTGTGTTCATTTTGGCAACCGGAGCAAAGGTCTCCAAATAATCAACTCCATAGGTTTGGGTGAACCCTTTGGCAACTAGTCTTGCCTTATATCTCTCAATTGATCCATCAACCTTGTATTTCACTGTATAGACCCACTTACATCCAACTGGCCTCTTTCCTATTAGTAAGGTGATTACCTCCCAGGTGTTGTTCTTCTCCAATGACTCCATCTCTACATCCATGGCTTGCCTCCATTTTCTGTCAGACAATGCCTCAGATAGGGTATTAGGTAGAAGTACAGTGTTTAGGTTTACTAGGAAGGTTTTATGGGTAGGAGAGAAATTTTTAAAGGACAGGTAATTTGAGAGAGGGTAGAGTGGTTGTTTGGTGCATTTTCTTGTCCCTTTTCTAATGGCAATTGGGAGGTCAGGATCATTTTGGGTTTCAATTTGAACCTGCCCAGCTGGAGAAAAAATTGTTACCTCTTTTTGTGGAGTCGAATTGGATTCTTGAACATGACTTGATCCTGGAATGGCCTTAGTCTTCCTTGAGTACACCAGCTTCTTACCAAATTTTCCAGCTTCAACATCTTGATCAGCTTCACAATTAATTTCACTTTCTTGACCAATTCCTTGACTTGTTTCACTTGTTACTACTTCAGTTTGATCTCGTTTAGGTTCAAATATCAAGTCTAGAAGAACAGGAATACCAGAATTACTACTTTTCTTATCTTTCTTATCTTCCCTGAAACTCTCCCCCTGAAGATAAGGTTGATGGAAATAGCCCTCTTGTTCATTGAAGGCAACATCCTTAAACACAATGAATTTATACTTTTTCTGAGTGGGTGAGTAACCAACAAAGACACACTTTAAGGCTCTAGGATCAAGTTTCCCCTGTCTGTACTATGAATATGGACATATGAGATGCACCCAAAAACTCTTGGTTTAAGATTATTTGTAGTGGACAAGTTTGGATAGAAAGACAACAAAGCTTCCATAGGGCTTTTTTATCCTAAGACTTTAGAGGGTAGTCTATTGATAAGGTATGTTGCTGTAAGGACAACTTCCACCCAGAAATTTTTTGGGACACTTTTTTGGAACAATGCTCGAATCTGATTTAATAGATGTTCATTTTTCCTCTTTGCGACCTCATTCTGCTGTGGTGTTTTGACACAAGAGGACTCATGAATTATACCTTCTTTTTGACAAAAAGAATTAAGGACATGATTGAAGTAATCTTTGGCATTATCTGACCTAAACCTCTTAATATTAACACCAAACTGATTTTTTATCAAGGAGTGGAAGTTTAGGAAGACAGAACTGACTTCTGATTTTTGTTTAAGTAGGAAAACCCAAGTGACCCTTGTACAGTCATCTATAAAGGTGACAAACCATCGAGCACCAGACACATTTGGAACATTAGAAGGTCCTCATACATCAGTATGAATAAGATTAAAAGGGAAATTGCTAATTCTATTACTTATTGGAAAAGATACACGCTTGTACGTAGCAAGTTCACACACCTCACAATGAAGACTCTCAACATCTAACTTGGTAAACAGAGAGGGAAACATAATTTTGATCACTCCAAAAGAGGGATGTCCCAACCAACAATGATAAAACATGATTTTTTTTTCTGTTGGTCATCAAGGATTCAGATATGAAGGAGTGAGAGATTTTGTTCTTGCTGGACAGACTTGGATCTTCGAGATAATAAAGGTCATTCCATTCTCTAGCATGTCCAATCATCCTTCCTGAATCCTTGTCCTGAAATACACAGTGATCGTTGAAAAAAATAACTTTACATGACAAATCTTTTATAAGTTTTTGTATAGACACTAGGTTGGTGGACAACTTTGGGACATAGAAAACATCTTTTAAGGTTATTAAAGGATTGATTTGGATATTTCCTTGACCAGCTACAGTTATAAGGGTTCCATCCACTATGACAATTTTCTTGTTGCTAGGACATGGGGAATATGTGGAGAAGTGTTTGGCTAATGATGTCATGTGGTTTGTGGCTCCAGAGTCCAATATCCAATAATGGTTAAAAGGTGTATCTGAGACATTTAATCCAAAAGAAAGTAGAAACTTACTTGAGTATGCCAAAGAACACACACTTGTAGGTTTTTCCAGCTTACTAAGAAAGGTTTGCACCCTTTCTATCTCCTCTTGGTTAAGATGGGCAACAACTTCTGGATTATTTCCTTCATTTGTTTTAGCAGCAACATAAACTTTTCCTCCTTTCCTTAAGGGGTCTCCTCTGTGTCCCCCTTCTCGATCTCAATTTAAAGGCTTCTCATGTAACTTCCAGCACTTCTCTCGGGTATGACGAGACTTATTGCAGTAGGTACACCAGAGACCATCACCTTTCTTCTTCACATTTGCTGATTCTCCTTTCTTCTGTTCGGTTACCCTCTTTCTATTCAACACTGTACGAACAAGTTGGGCCCACTTCAAATAATTTCTTCCATTTAGTCTATATGCAAAATGGATATTTTGCAATTCTCCAGATTGTTGGGATTGGATATTCCCCGTTTCTGGGGTTGGGTTCACAACTTCCTCTTCCCTTGACATTATAGCAAGAATGTGTGATGCAACAACAATGCAGGCTGTCGTCTCAGGGTTAAGAAAAATGCAGCAGCAATGCAGGCTGCCATCTTAGGGTTAAGAAAAATGCACAAACAATACAGGCTGCCGTCTTAGGGTTTATAGTGCGCAGACAGAACTTCCTAAATCGGAAACTCTGATACCATGTTAAGGTTCCAACATAAAACCAATTGGCCATATATGGAGTAGCTTAACATGTATTTAAACCATACCAAATGACATGAGATAGGCGATGTAGGACTTTCAACACGCCCCCTCCAACAAAGTCTGCCGGACCAGGTAAAGGGTACTTTTGACCCACAACGAAAGGACAACTTTTGGCCCAAGACAATAATAATCGGAAAGATGTTAAGCTTTGGCTCTCATACCATCTGAAATGAAATCTTATTTTATTATTTTAATACAAAGAGATCATACAAGATATATACAAGATACCTAAGCTATTTTAGGAAATATAATAATTCTATTTTATTCTAGGATCCCTTGATTTATGGGATTGTTCCTAATTATTCAAATTTGTACAGATTACAAATTTCTTAATTTATTCTTTCCTAAAATACTATTTGATTTCCCACAAATTGTGTTACTTCTCAAGAGTACTACCTAACTGACTTGCTTCTCTTGTATTGTTGGGCATGTTAAATTATTTGGATGTCAAAATTGTCATTGATTTTGGACTATTTATGTTATTTTCTTCTGTAGGCTCTCATGTATCCTTTGCTTGTGGCCTGCAAATCAATAAGCAACTTACGCAAGGCTGCAGCTCAAGAAGTTGTTGACAAAGTTAGGCAGCATAGTGGTGTACTGGTGGATCAGGCACAACTTGTATCAAAGGAACTGATCAGAGTTGCCATTCTTTGGCATGAACTGTGGCATGAAGCACTGGAAGAAGCTAGTCGATTGTATTTTGGTGAGCATAATATTGAAGGGATGCTTAAGGTGTTGGAGCCATTGCATGAAATGCTTGAAGAAGGAGCAATGAAGAACAATGTCACCATAAAGGAGAGAATATTTATTGAGGTTTGTTATAATCTTCTTTTGGCTGTTTGTTTAAGCCACTATAATATATTGCCCATTTTGTAAAACTTGCTTGTATTATCGCAATTTTTGACATTGATGTTCTGACTTTGATTTTTGTTTGATATTTTTGTTATTTCAGGCATATAGACAGGAATTGTTAGAGGCTTATGAGTGCTGTATGAATTATAAGAGGACTGGGAAAGATGCTGAGCTGACCCAGGTATCAAAATTTGGACTTGTAAAATTGTAGCATATTACATGTTATGATGATTATTTTGGACTCATTAAAATTGGAGAGAGAGAGGCAAAACTAGAGTCGTGTGCCCTAGGTACACAATGAAGAAATTGTTTACAAGGGATTTATATTGGGAGATCCTTCCCAATCTACATTTGAAATCCTGCGACTGAATGACTTTTGTCTTCATTCAAGATATATTTTTTTCTGGAGCTTCTTAAATATATTTTAAGATGTAGACTTGCATCCCAATGTCCTCGGCACTGGGAATAAGAAATTGATATTTCCAACTAATTGCAAAGACGATTGGATGAGTAACAATGAGATAGTTTAAATTTTCAAACAATATTTTTTACATGTGGGGCCCTAAAAGTGGCTAACCATGGTTTGGCAGAAGTTTGAGATTAGCATCCATAGGTAAGGGTGACAAAATGGGCATCCCACCTCATCTATCAAAATTGGGATAGGACAGACAAATATGTTATAATCAGAACAGGTTACAGACCTTAGCCTCTCTAGAGAGAGGGTTAACAAGCCAAACCATCAATTTTTTTTTATTATATACAAAAATGTTTTATATATTTTTTACTTATTAATTGATATCTTTTGTTGAATAAGTTGAGAAAATTAATGTAATTACATGTTAAAATGTTCAATTATAATCAACAGTTTAACCTTAATTTTTTAGTATAATTAAAAATGTTATAATATTCAAGTATAATATTATAAAATTGATATTTTTAGTATAATTAAAATTATAATATTATAATATATTTGTATATTTTAATGACATAACATAAAAAAAATATAATATTTTGAATTATAATCTATTTTAAATTTAATATGTAAATATTTTGTAAAAATTGAGTTAGCCTGTCTTGTTACGTTTTGTCCTTAGCTCACTGGGTATTTGGGCTACACAGAATGGATCAAAATAGGTTAGTCAGTTAAAACTACTAACACGGTCCATTTAAGACCAGTCTACTGGACCTAACCTTCTTTGACATCCTTATCCATACGAGTGCAATAGGTTTGACACCCATTAGTCCTATTTCATCCAAGATGTCCATCGCATACTTGCTCTAAGAATCTGTATCACCACTCTTGGATCTTGCCAAATTTATCCCCTAGAAGTATTAAGTCTGCCAAGATTTTTGTTTGAGAATGGCGACAAAGATTTTGTTTTACTTATGCAATGCGATGGTGATATCACTAATTGTATGGCAGTGTTGTCTGCGCACACTACTTGTAAAATACAAGGTGAAGATGAGTTACTTACCAACAATCCTACATATATTAGCCAGGACTAAAAGTTAGACTTAACTGTCTAACAATGACAGCGGTTGTAACTTCAATAGTACAGCCTTAACTAACAAAGCTAGATACAAGTCTAGACACTGTACAGAGAATACCCGAGAAGGGTTTCTCTTGCATAATGCATTCTTAAATAATGTAGAAATGATGGATTTCAAAGAAATTAACCAATTAATTATCATTTTCTCTATGTGGAGCTAGTTTTATAATAATTTCTTTATCAGGCATGGGATATCTATTATCATGTATTCAGAAAGATAGATAAGCAACTTCAAAGCCTTACGACTTTAGACCTAGAGGTACGAGTAATACTCATTCCTTTACCTATTAATTTGTTGTCATTGTTATGGACCTTCAATTTTCTCCCTTTTCTTTGTAGTCTGTTTCTCCGGAATTACTGGAATGCCGTAATTTAGAGCTTGCTGTTCCTGGGACATACAGAGCAGGTAAATTACTTTTGTTAACAAGTGGTGCCATAATGGTATAGTGTGGCACTTTTGCCAGTCAACACCATCTGTCATCCTTTATTTTGAAGGATATGCTGTTTTCTGCCATGGCGATACCATATTCATGGCTCCTAGGCAGTTCACAGTGCTTATGGTGGAATGTTTTTGGGTCATTTTAAGTAATCCCAAGCCTTAAGGGAGAGAATAAGCCCTCTCTTACAAACGAGAACCTTCTTCACGGAGCGAGAACCCTAAGCTGTGAAAACATAAGAGAAGGATCCTTCTCTGACGTATTACTCCAGTGACCTGAACCGCAACAGTGACAATCTCATATGACCTAAACCTTCAAACGAAGTTTTTTGTTTTTTGTTCTTTCTTCTAGTTCCTTCTATTTGTCTTTTTCCTTCCTTTCTTCCTCATCTATTTTTCTCTCATTTTCTTCTCTTCTCTTTTGACATGTACTTCACATCTAGTTGCCGCTCTGTGTTTATAGTTCTCTGTTTGTTTTTATTCAAAATTTCAGAATCAATTAAACCATTTGTTTGTTGCTCTTATGTGTGCTTATAAAACATTGTTTTCAATTACTTTTTACTTATATGACAATATCAAGCACCAAAACCAAAGCAATGCATCTTCAAATTACTAAACTAAATATTAATGCTTTTATGAATTATGTTTTAAAGTTTATGTGATGCCAATCATGAGAATTTAAACTTGCTATGAAATTAGTTAGTAATTATGCTATTTTTAATATATTTATGAATTTTATTGTTTTTTTAGTGTATATATATATATATATATATGCCATGACTTTCCACCATAGGCCACCATGCCATGTATGATATTTATATGGCAGGTTTTTCGCGCACCATCATATGCTGTTATTTGCTATTGATAACATTGATTAGATTCAATCCTTTATTCTACTAATACTTCCATATCTGTTTTCCAGATGCATCGGTGGTTACAATTGCATCATTTGCTCGCCAACTTGTTGTCATAACATCTAAGCAACGACCTAGGAAGTTAACCATTCATGGGAGTGATGGTGATGATTACGCCTTCTTATTGAAGGGTCATGAGGATTTACGCCAGGATGAACGAGTCATGCAGGTATTTCCATTCTACTGGTTGCCTTTGAGCATATGCTGTTTGTATATATTTGGTATCTGGTAAATTTTTCTAGAGTTGTTTATCTTGTCAACTTAAGCAATCTACCATTATTTTTGCTAGCTTTTTGGTTTGGTGAATACTCTGCTTGAGAATTCTCCCAAAACAGCAGAGAAAGATCTGTCTATCGAGCGATATGCAGTAATCCCATTGTCTCCAAATAGTGGTTTAATTGAATGGGTGCCAAATTGTGACACCTTGCATCATCTTATCCGGGAGTATAGAGATGCCAGAAAGGTTGGTTAGAATCCCCTTTCTTCCATCCATTTCTCTAATGTAGTTCCTGTTGCTTTCACTTACTAATGATTGGGTTTAAATGTAGTTATAGTTAACTCATAAATATGATTTTTTTTCCATAATTTATGTTGTATGAAATGTCTTGTCCTTCTTGTACAGATCACCTTGAATCAGGAACACAAATGCATGCTCAGTTTTGCACCTGATTATGATCATTTGCCTCTTATAGCTAAAGTGGAGGTGTTTGAACATGCTTTGAACAATACAGAAGGAAATGACCTAGCAAGGGTGTGTGATGTTCATACAAATTTCACATATTGTATGCTTGCTATATCATGACACTTACCTTCAGTTTCCCAACATTCCAACTCCTAGGTGCTTTGGTTGAAGAGTCGAACATCTGAGATATGGCTTGAAAGGAGGACAAATTATACGAGGAGTTTGGCAGTTATGAGCATGGTGTGTTCTTACTATGCATGAGCAGTAATATTGTATCTTCCTGCCATATTTTTTATAGTGTATAATTCACCACATATTTCCATTGTCCAAGGTGGACTGCAGAATATATTTTTTCTCCTCTGAAGCTCTTATTCATATGAACTTCTGATTGTTATATTTTGAAAGCATTTATAAGAGATCCCTCCAAGTAACTTTTCTAAACTTCGTATACCAGTAAGGCCTTATCCCACTAGGACATGCACTTTGTATGCTGGTAAAAATTTTGACCATCACTTAATGACTTTTACTGTCTCCCTCTTGAAGTGTTAAGCTGGCATTACCACTATTATGAACATAATTTTTCCTCCTCAGTTACTGATATATATATATATATATATATATATATATATATATATATATATATATATATATATATATATATTTTTTTTTTTTTTTTTTTTTTTGGTGAATTCCTCAATTGTAATAAAAAGGTTGTCAAAACTCTAGTTAACTCTTAAAACCTTAAGAGTTCACCATCAGTAAACTCCTAAAACTCTGATCTAGAAATTAGCTCCATTTTAAGAACTTCGTTTTATGTAAATTTATACATGATTTGGTCATTTATATATTACTTAGCACTAATGTACTATCAAACTTTGTATTTTGATTTTCTACTTTTCTCCATTATTGAGTTGAAATGTTTATTGTGTTTCAAGTATTATGTTATGCATATATATCATTAAGAGATTTTTTAATGTTCCTTTTATATTAAGTAAACTCTTGCTGGTTTACTAGTCTAGACTATGAAACTCCTTGAGTTTGCCAACCTATCATTTCGTTTTTGCAGTTTCCTACCATTGAAATTGATGAGTTCTAAAATTTTGGCATGCTTTGTTATGGCTTTTCTATCAAATTTATACATCCCTCAGCAACCAATGTAACTCAAATTGCTAGTTTCAATTTCTGGTATAAACTTTAGTCCTTTTTATAACATTTTGCATATGATATGCTGGCAATAGTATCCTGAATGAGTTGCCAAACACAATTATATATTCCTTGTTCTTGTATTTGTTAAATATTGAGCTAAACCAGTGCTTGGGTTTTGCCAGGTTGGATACCTTCTTGGTTTAGGTGATCGCCATCCGAGCAATCTTATGTTACATCGGTTTAGGTAAGCTTGTGATAAAGAAAGTTAAACTATATTGTCATTAGTTAAAAAATTTTAGCTTCTAATATTTGTTTGCTGCAGTGGCAAGATTTTACACATAGATTTTGGAGACTGTTTTGAAGCATCAATGAACCGTGAGAAGTTCCCAGAAAAGGTGCACTTAAGAACCAACTATTACCTTGAACGGTGGGGATTATAGTATTGTATCTTATCTTCTAAGTTCCAATTCAGGTTCCCTTTCGCTTGACAAGAATGCTTGTGAAGGCCATGGAAGTTAGCGGTATTGAGGGAAACTTTCGTTCAACTTGCGAAAATGTTATGCAAGTTCTTCGAACAAATAAAGATAGTGTTATGGCCATGATGGAGGTATAGATACTTGGCTTACATCCGACTGACCTCTCTAGTAATCTTCAGTTTGTGAAATTTTAAATGATGAAAGCATGGTAATGGGATGAATTCAGATGTTACATTGAAATTTGAAACTAATTATTAACTTGTGTGTAAGTTTTGGTTTAGTAATGCCACACTATTTATTGAGCAACATTCTTGTCCCAACTGATGTTGCGGTGCAGGTCCGCATTGCCTTATCATCAGATTTAATGCAAAGAAATAAAATCTATATGAATATTGCCTTATTTATTTTTATTATGTAATTCATACATCTAATTGAGGACTTGATGGTGCTAATTTGGCTGTCACATCATTTTGTACAAGTATTGGGAGGTTTAGCACTCCTTCATTTTGGTTGCTAATGTGGGTAATAGGTATTTTGGCTGAAATTATGGTATTCTAAAGAAAAACTTTTAGATTTAACAATGTCTTAGCCCTTAATAATTAGGTTGGTTTCTATCGTAGATAAAGTCGTGGGTAAGTATTTTTTATTTTTTATAAAAGCGAAGTATATTTTAACATAAGGTCTTTTATGTTTTTCCTTTCTCATGCAAACCCAATCTACAGAACAGAAAGTGGTGGAAGTTTTTCTTTTCAATTTTCCACGTAATTTTTCTTTTGTACTTTTGCATAGATATTCAATAATCATAATAGTAAAAAATTAGGGAAAGATAACTATTAAATTTTTTTGTTAAAGGTTAAAAAAGACATAACCACACGTTAAATTAGGTCAAATGAGGGGATTATTTCCCTATATCTATCATCTTAAGTTGCTAGTTGAGAATCTTTTTAATAAATAATTGATCATTTCTTCTTCCTGTGTTAGGCCTTTGTACATGATCCTCTCATAAATTGGCGTCTTTTTAACTTCAATGAAGTTCCACAAATGTCTATGCTTACCAGCAATCATGTAGCTCCTGCTGTAAATAATGAGGAATCTGCTCCAAATAGAGAGCTTCCCCACCCTCAGCGTGGTGCCCGTGAAAGGGAACTTCTCCAGGTATGTATATACAGTATTATTTTGTTGCTTGCTTTTTTATTATGATGCTCAATTTATCTACCTTTGCATATAGGCTGTTAACCAACTTGGTGATGCTAATGAAGTTCTGAATGAGCGTGCTGTGGTTGTCATGGCTCGCATGAGTAATAAACTTACTGGAAGGGATTTTTCAGCTTGTTCTTCAGTGTCAAACAACTCCCTTCAGCATGCTGTAGACCACAGTAGCTTAATTTCTGGAGACAATCGGGAAGTTGATCATGCTTTATCTGTTAAGTTGCAAGTTCAAAAGTTAATTATTCAAGCTTCCTCACATGAAAATTTGTGCCAAAATTACGTCGGGTATGGTCTCTTAACTTCGTAATTTTCTGAGTAAACATAAAATTATTACACATATACTTCCGCACAGGATTTGTGGTAAATGGGCTTAGCAATCTTTCTTTCCCTCCTTTATTTTCTGTTTTTGATGAGATCAAAAGAAACTTTCACAACTTTAAATTGGTTTGATAATGTAAGAAATATTATATACCAGCACTTTTGTGGCCACCTTTATAAGCTTAAATTTAGGATAATTTATTCATGACATGGTATTAGAGCTTTTTATGACCAATTGATCGTGTTTGATCCTTCTCACCCCCATTCAAATAAAAGAAAGTTTGAATATGAGCACAACACAGTTAGTGTGTGCATTTTCTTAGATTCAATCCCAAAGGACTCTTGTGTGAGGGGACGAGTTAGAATTGTATTATAAAAGCACGTTTGTAATCACCTAGCAGCTTAAGTTTTTAAAATGACTGGATCTTGACAGGTTATGAACCTTTATTCCTTCAGCGAATTATGACTTCTAGATTTCTGTTTTTTCTCTTTTTTTTTTTTTTTTCAGGTGGTGCCCTTTCTGGTAAATCACAAGGGAGCAGTAAATATTTGTATATAATCTGTACATAGTGAAAACTTGCCAGGGATCCATGTCCATTTTGCCCCCTCGTTCCCCTCCTTTCTTTTACCTAGCATTTTCAATTTGTGTATATGTATAGTCATTTGTCTCCTGGCACTGCAATGGAAAAAATTGAAGCATTGCACATACTTGGTCCTTGTAGTTCAGACCACATTTTAACTGTTTGTAAATATCATCTTTCCATTAGGGAATGTGTCTTGTAATATATGTTCAGTTAATATCCCTACAAGATGGACATGGAACTAGGTGATAGGTGTGACAAGGTTTTTTTACATGATTTTTTGGTATCAGATGAGACATGCATAAATATCTATTTGTGGATTAAAGTACTAGGCAGAAAAAACACACATGAATATTAATTACATGGTGCTCGGGCGATTTGTGGATTTTAAGTTTGAATTTCTCTCTAAACATTTCAATAACCAGAAACTTAGTGATGCAATCTTAGTGTAGCTTACTTTAAAGATTTCAGTACAAGCAGCTTGAATTTTAGATTATGTCATATCAACCAGGACCAGAAGGGAGAATCGGTCAACGATGATATTTTTGTATATGCTTTGGTCTATTCCCTTTGTAAAAAGGTTGAGTGAGATACCGTAAATAAGCGGTGCACACTAACCTAGTTTCAACACAAAAGTGGGAAAAATTAGCTATTCGCCCAAATTTAATCATGCTATTATATTCTGCTTTCCCCCCTAACAAGAATCAACTAGACTAGTGCGCTTATGACGTATTTTGAAAGGTTATATCAAATGGACCACCTGAAATGGTATAAAGATACATTCTCTTTTAAAATTGCATGTGGTGGACAAAAATCAATGAGAAATACATAATAAGATCGACTTTTGGTTATCACTTCACACTTTCTCATATGTACAATTTAAATTTGTGAATTTTAATGAAACAAAAACTTATAGGCAAATTTCAATTAATCGTCACATCATGAATCAGGCCATATTCAAAATTTATTATTTTTTTGGTAAGTTAAGAAACTAGACTACTTTGATATAAAGATTGACTGAGCATGATCATTTAATGGTCTTAGACAATCTAATCAGTTTTTCTTAGGGATTCTCTGCATTTGAGGACAGCTAAACTAAATGAATAAAAAAAATATATAGTTTCTTTTGCCTAGGCCATACTGAAATAAATTAAATGGGGACGTTATATATACATTAGAGAATATCATATTTTATCTCTCAAAGCATCGTAATTGAAGAAATGGAGGGAATTTTTTTTCAATTGTGAACACATGGAACTTGTTTCTCCATTTCTTTACAACTCTGCGGTGGATGGTATCTTAACCAAAGTCCCATACTAATGTAGAAATTCAATTGCTAAAAACTAGAAAAGGAGCATAATGCCACAAAAAAGCTTTTAAAAAATATCTTAAAAGTTAATTGTAAAATATAACACATATTTTTCCCTCACAATTTTATTTAATTGATGATGTGTGAGAAGATCTCAACCACTTCGATACTGTCAGAATTTGAAACCACACAAACGGCCCTTTGCCCCAATCAAGTTCATCCCCAGACAATGTCCTTTTGGTGCGGTTGGAGGAAGATTTTCATCCGAAAAATGTCTTCCATGGTATCAACCACAAAATGAAAAAAATGAATAGAAAAAAACAAGGTTGTCCTCTCTTATCATAGTAAACAGAAGTAATTAAATAAACGTACTTTCTTTTTTTAATCTGAAACAAGTTGAAGATCTGAGTCTGAAAAATTTTGTAGCGCTACGGAATTAGAGGGAAGATGCGTGAGTGGGGAGATATTACATAGTCCTGGATATAATTTTTAGAATTGCTTGGGTCAGGGATCCAATGAATCTCACTCATGTTTGGTATTTCAACGTAGGACATGGTAAACTCTCCTATCTTCTCTAGCCTCCCTCTCTTGCCTGCCCTGAGTATAAGGTTAGCATGCTGGTAGGAAAAAATTCCTTTGGTCAAATGAATTATATCGCCTGAATTAAACGCATCACATTCATCTCCCCAAAGCTGAAGGTGAACTGCCGCTGTCTCATCAGCTACAAGAGTCAAGCATATCCTATTCTGTCCTTCTAGTGTTGTGCTGCCTTTCTCCAAAACTATGAACTTACTCTCTATGTTGTTCTGAGCTGCAGGCACAATGTCTTTCAGCAGAACCATCTCTGATTTGTTCAGAACCCCCACTTCATTACATATCACACAACATCTCATCAAACAATCAATCAGGGATAAAAGTCCACACCAGTATAGTACTAATACAAACAAAAAGTTTAGTCAAAGGAAATTTAGATGTATGGTACTAAGAAGGAAATAGGATTTCATATGGTTAGAACATAAAAACTTAACTGTAGAGCATTCTGCAGTTGTTATCTAACTATTGACAGAGGTGGAAGGAAGCTGACCTGATGGAATAGGTCTTTGACTTTGTGGCTCTCTATCGTTTAAACGCACAAACACCGCCACTGAACCCAACTCCCTCTTCTTCCTTTTGAATTCAATCTATGAGCAAAGCAATTTGAAGTAAAAATTGATACTGAGCGCCTGCATAAGGCCAAAGGAGCGGGTTGGTGTAGGTTACGATCGATAGAAGAAGACCATGGGATACGTTATGAACAAAAATTGACGCTAGGGTTAACGTGAAGTGGCGACAGGCGGTGAAACTGCGATGCTTGAGAAGGGAAAGAGAAGGGCGAAGCAGGGAGAGGGTGTCGGGGTCTCCGGATCTGTCCAAAGCTGCGTAGTTGTCGGAGTCTGAATTTGTTGTTTCATTTTGTGTTTGATAATGAATCCATTGACGGAAGTGAAGTAGAGAGTGCGGGTTTAAACTCAAAGTGACGTGGTTACAGTTTGAGATATGTCCTCCCTCTCTTTCTTTTTTTCTTTGTCTCTCCCCCACTTCTGTAACATTTTTTAGGTCAAAAGGTAGGATAGGGATTCTCTTCACAAATCAGTTGGGCCTTTAAAAAAAAAAACTATTACTTATTTTTTTAGTTAGAGAATACTATTACTAACTTTTAATTTTTTATTATTATTTATTAAACTAAATATTAAATATTTTTATTATAAAAAATTATTATTTTTTATTTTTATACATTTCTTATTATTATTGATTTTAATATTCTTATTTTATATTTTTTCTAGATAAATTTTACATTATTGCTTAATTTATTTTACACAGACGAGATTAGGTGGTAGACAATAAACATAACTTTTTTCTATATATATTTGAGATAACTCCTTTTTATTTGCGATTATACTGGTAATTTTATATACTGAATTTATTTTTTAAAAATATCCATAAATAAAACGAAATTAAACTTATCACATAAACTAATACTAACTTATATACTTTACCTTTATATAATAATTAAATACAATTTATTATAACATAGGAAAAAATTAGATTAAAATTAACATATATTATATCTATCGAAAGGTTCCATCCTGGTAATTGATAAATCAAGGTTGAAGGTTTGAATCCTTTTGACAGGAAAGAAAATACAAAAATGATATCTTCAAATAATATAGAATATATATTTTTAAATATTATTTAAATTAGTTTTCTTATTTTGTTATATGTAAAAAAAAAACATTAAAGTGTATGATTAAATTTAGAAATTAAATTTTATTAATTCCTGAAATAAATTATTAAATATTTGATTAAAGATTTAAAAGATAAAATTTTATTAATTTTAGTTTTAAAAAGTCGATTAAAGTTATAACGATAAGGATAACCATTAATATTATTTTATAAGTTGTTTATTATTCATGAATTTAAGCAGAACTTAATTTCTTGATTTATATTCTTTAAAAAATGACTGAACTTGAGTGTAGCATCTGGAAAGAGAAGTCATAATTTACTGGCTATAACGCAGATACATGAATGTTCCTATACTTTTTATACATTGGATATGATTAGTCTCAGATGAATCACATTTTATTAGTAGCACTAAAGAGGGTGAATATATATGAATCATGAATGTAGTCATTAAGTTAGTGAGTGACAAATATATCAAAGGAATCTTGTTCAGCAGCTTCCATGTTCTTTATTCATGGCCAAATAAGAATTGCAGCAAATGTGTGCTTCCAGTAGTTTTTCTCTAGTGTTATTTCCTTAGTTCGACTTCCCTGTCGTTAATGAAGTACTCAAGTCACAGGCTGTGCACCATTCCAGGTCTTGTGCATATCTAGTTGATCCACTTTTTGGTGTCGGCTCTCATGCAAAAAACTAACACCAGACCATACCACACGGATTAATAAGATGCTTACAAACACTACACTTCCAAGCGTGCATAGCACCTGCATTGAATTATACATCACTCGCAAAATGCTTAAGGTGGTATACAACAAATTCAAAAGAAATCGGTACACATTACAGGTAGTGCAAAACCAAAAGCCCAACCAAGAGTAACTAACAATAATGCATCTATTTTTCACTCCTTGCTCCATGCAAAATACCAAATGGAAAAATCAACACCATTACATTATAACGAGGTTTAATACTTATTATTGAACCTTGCACTGGCACAATTTTTATATTTTAATCTATACATACGCTTAGAAACTACTCGTTTTACTTCTAATCCATAAACTCTTGTCCATTCACTTTTTTTTTTTTTTAATTCGTTTTAGTCCTTACACATAGGCCAAACCAGATTATGCAAGTAAATGGATCGAACAACTAAACCTTTTAACAAATACTGCCTGAATAACCTAGTGCTACATTTCAGACATCAATTTTGAGGAGATATCTGAACCATAGGCGCCTAGTCATTTTTCCTAGAAAGAAAACAATGCTAACCAAAACAATCTGCAAGTGTCAAGCACTTATATTATGTTCTTAGTGGAAATCAAGTAAAGTGCTACGTTAACAGCAAGCAAAATCCAAATTCAGTTCAATATTGTGCCTGGGGAAAATTTTCATAAGGATTATTGCGGTGAAACTGGACTTAATAAGCAGCCAGTAAGAAACCAGGTTCCCTGTCATTGTAAGGCAAGGTAGTAGTTGACTATTCAAACTCCAACTTTTTCCATGTTCAATCACTGTTGTAAGATTTAACTAAATGAATTCATGATTGGGACTTTGAACTCAACTTTATAGTTGAATCAAACTTGGGCTTTAAAGGCTTGACATTATTAGCTTGCAACAACTGGGGGGAGTGGTGTGTGCGCACATGGACTTACAGTGACAAAATTATTATTTTAGATAAGAAAGGGTGTATAGATAATAATAATAATAATAATAATAATAATAATAATAATAATAATAATAATAATATAATCCTATTACTTAGCTAATTGTAGTTCTATCTAGAAAATTATAATTACCTAACTAACGTTCAAGTATCTCTTTTTTCTTTTTCCTATCTTCACTTCAACTTCTAGAATAAAAATGTCTACTAAAAACTAAATTAATAAACTTAAAAATACATCAAGAAGAGATTTGATAAAGAGAAACAATATAATCAAGATATAAAGAATTTGAGCGAAAGCTTCATAGTTTCAAATTTTAACAAGTCAAAGCTAATTTATTTTTAACTCTGAAAAAAAATCACTCAATCCTAAGCATGACCTTTTCTTTTTGCAAACCAGGTCTAAATTTCAAGTAGAGGACATGAATAATTTCACTCAGTAATTTACATCCCTTGCAAGAGTAGGCATGTTGCTGTAAGACCATGTCATTGGTTTTAATCTCAGAAACAGCCTTTCCACAAGCTGCATAAGACCCTACTCAGACGAACCCTGTGAGCTACCACACCCTTCTACACCTTGATCCATCCTTAGTGAGTTTTCATGTTCTATGATGCTTTGAAACAGCAGTAGCCTAAAAAGATTACTTAGAACCATTTTCTTCTCAGTAACAAAAAGCTTGGGAAACAGCTAAACAGGTTGAACTCACTAAATGCTATTGTCTATAATGTCACAATCTCATAACAAAAATCATGCAGGTATCCACAATAAAGTTAGATGACAATAAAATTCTAAGAAGGGCATTCAGTAATGATATTAACAATGTTGATGCCCATTGTAAATGAATGAAAACGGTACCTGAAGAAATGCCTTCGAAATCCACAGGAACGTCAGCAACAGTGTCCCATTCACAGAAAATCCGATCTGTACTAAAAGAGATGTTAAATTTAATCCCCCAGAAAATCCAGACTTGCAGAATTGCTTAGAAGTGGTAGAAGAAGAGATTAGATAGCCCTACCAAATGGGTGGAGATGGGGAAAGGGAGAATGGATCGAACCGCTTTCCTCGCTCTCTTTGACACCTTCTTGAAAACATTCTGAACGAACCTCACAAATAGATCCAGACTCCGATCCTCATCTTCATCGTCATCGTCGTCGCTGATTGAATGCATCCACTTGCGAGGATCATGGACCAACGTCCTACGACACTGAAACAAATTGGACGGTAATTACAAACAACAAAACAGAAAGGAAAATGAAATCGATGAAAAATGCACCTGAGATAAAGAGAAGTTGGAGACGCGTTGACTAGAAATAGATGCGCGGTGAGTGCAGAAGGCAGTTGGGTAAGCACGAAGGTGAGAATTTAGGGTAAGAGAGCGCAATAATGGGAGGGCAGGAGATTTAACTGACACTACCGAGAATGACATAATTAACTTCACTCCCTCAAATCTAACAAATTTGTCCTTTTATTTATACCTACATGTGGAGTGCGTATGTTTGAAGTAAAGCATTTCTTTTCTAAAACTTTTCTTACACCTCGGCTCATGTCGTCAGCTATGTTTCTCCTATCATATTATATTATTCAAATACAAATTTTCTGGGGAGGATGAGAGGAAGCAATGTTTGGGATCTCGTGGTTTGCAATTCCACGTATAACTTGCAGCTATAGTTACAATTGGTGTGTCTGAAAATGAAAATAATACTGCATAATTACATATACCTAGTGCAGTGAGCATAGATACATACATACAATTATTACATTTACATGTCACCCCTGAAAAATGGACCACTGAGAAATGAAGTGGAGAATGTGCCTCCGCCATTGGGGAAAAGTGTGAGGAAACATATAAGTCCAAGGATGATGCCCCAAGCGTATCTGCTTTCCCCTAGAGGAGTGATCTCGTCTTTTGCAGGTATTTCCTCTCCGCCGCGAAAAAAGGTTGCAAACAATCCCCATGCCAGGCACAGAACGCTACCACTGAGGCCACCAATACCGAGTAACAGTGAAGTGGCAAAAGACAAGAGTGTAGCAGTGTTTCTGCCAAACATGGCTTGAGCAATGCGACCTCCTTCTAGCCTCCCACACGGCAACAAGTTCAATGAAGTCACCACCATCCCTGCATAACCATCAAATTCAAAATTTTCTAGCCAACTTTCAACCACCACAAAATATGCCATTCTCATTCATCTATAACTTCAAACCAACGCAAGGGCTTAATTTGGCAAGGCAAAACTTGAAAAAAGTCAATGGTGGGCATCTAACGCGCTCTAGATAGTAAGATTACAAATAATGACGCGCTCTAGAAGTACAAATTTATTGATCATCCAATTTACCATATTTATGACCTTAAGTAATTTTAACAAATTCCATCTAACCTGGAGCAGAGACAGCTTCAGTCAAACAAGTAACCTAGACATAATAAAGAATGTAGAGTTGCATTGTTTATTGAAATATTACACTAAAAAGGAGGAATATAGAAATCTCAACAAACCCACCTAAAAGCCCAGCAAATGCAAGCGGATCAACAGGAACTCCGACACCTTCCACGGCATAAGGTAATACATTTCCAAGATCATCTGTGTAAGGGCCAATAACATATTGGATGAAAGAGAGCAAAGGGTTGTTATAGAAAAATTGAGGCCGTATGTACCTGAAACAATCAGTAAGTTATAATCATGAGAAATAATGTCCGCCAAGCATGTTGGCTGCACTGTAATGCATGGAACTTATATTGCCAATATCAGATAACAATTTCTGTTGTGCTTGCTGCCCATATTGATTATTATTTCCGTAAATTGCAATGTATAGAACTTCTATAACCAATGCTATAACCCCAATATATCTCAGTAAAATCTTTTTAAATTTATTTGGCGATGACTAATGCCATTTTCAACTTATATAACTCGATAATACATTTCATATAACAGAGCTACTGTGTAGATCATAAGTTAATGGTTCTGGCAAACAATATTCACTTAAGTTAAAGTTTCCTTTCCTTTTCTTATTATGCAAAGAAAAAGCATTAATAGGAAAGAGCTAGCTTTGCTTCTAGGGAATGTATTATATACAGCACTCACAATGCATTATCACCCCCATTAAAACTTCCATCGGCCACAAACGCAGCAACAGCAAGCAGTAGTGAAGTTAAATATGCACTAGCAGTACGGGCTACAGGAATGTCAAAAAGAGCTTTCTTGTTTGGGAGGAGAGATTCATAATTATTCATCACTCCTAAGCAACCTGTCCAACTCGATGGCACAAGGAAGGAAGGGCTTAGCTTAACACCATAACGGGCTGCTGTTACCCTCGTGGTTATCTACATAATGAAAAGAATATGGTCAGTCAGCCATGGAATAAATTGAATGTCATATAGATGGTTATCATGCATGTGACACAGTCGCAAAAACAGTGGCCAGATAAATCTCCAACATAATTTGCATGAATACATCAATATACCAGTCTGGTGTTGAGATTGTCTATTTAACCACTGAAATCCTCAAAAAGAGAAAATTGATGAACTACTGTTACATTGTCCCTTGCAGATAATACTATCTATCCAGAAAACTACAACGCCATGTGCCAAGAAAACCTTTTCAAAATTTCTTTAGGCTTTTGGTGTGAGTTTCTTGCTTATAAAAAGATAAACAAGTCACTTATTAATTAGAGGATTATCAGTAAGGGCACAGTAAATCAGAATCAGAACATGATATAATGTGGAATAAAGTGCCATGTTAGGTGGAAATTTTGAAATATAACATACCTCCGAGACTCCCAAAATAAATAAGAAGCCACCAAATAGTGGCACAACATTAGACTGATAGTCATCAAACGTAGCATCGGGTTTAAGGAAGAAGCCACTCATCAAAGCTACCGTTCCAAACGTAGTAACAGCTAATGCAATTGCACTTAAATAGCCCAAAGGAGTACTTAGCTTAGTTGACTCAAATTGCAGATCCATTTCTGCTTTGGGTTGCACAACACACGCCTGAATCAATGTACATGAATATTATCAATTGGCCATCCAGCAAAGCATCTTTACAGCATTTTCTTTATGATGCGTGCGGGTGTAAAAAAAAATAGCCAGAACGATGACGATAGTAAAGGAGCATAGTTTGTCACGTTAATGCATGTAATGAATCTTTGTGACATGCGCAGATTATGTGCGCAACTAACTAAAAATAAGTGGCAAACGAACATTATTGATTCAGAGCACTGAGCATGCCAAGGATTTTCTTCCGAAGATTTTTTCATTGCTTAAATTACGAGATTGAAGTGATCCATCTTGTACTTTGTATTTAAAGCATGTGTAACATCATGCAACAGTGAGAGTCTACGCCCTAGAATAGTAAAAGTCGCAAAGAAACCATGAATTTAAAAACCTTGAAATAAACGATAGGATGGTATGTACCTGTTTCGTAATGTCATCTGCTTTTTCTTCCATGAACCAGACCACGACCTCTCGTCCTGCTGCATCAGAGAGCTTCTTCTCCAACTTGGGGATGACCTCATCAATGGGTTTCCTTAAATTGCCAATGAAAATGCCTCCATCTCCAAATCTTCGAACATCGGTTGCAAAGAAGGTGTCAAACCCAAGGCAACTCTTTAACTGCATAGAACCAAATTAAATTAAATTTAATTAGTAGGTACTCATCAATCAAGTTCTGGTAGCAGCATAATATAGTACTATTGATCATTCTAAAAAATACAACGAATGAAACGGATACGAATTTGTGACTGATGATGTGACCTGGTTGAGATCAAGAGCCTTGAAAGTTTGCTCAGCTTTTTGCAGCCTCTCCTTTTCCCTGAGCAAGTTTTCACGCACTAAGGTGTTGAAAAGGCCCAAAAGGGGGTTAGAGTTGGTGGTTTCCCTGTCAAGTTGCTTGAGCTTTCTATCAGCCCTCTTCTTCTCGAGCTTTATGGCGGCTTCAATGGAAGGGTTGCCCATGAACTTCTTGAACTCCTCGTCGGTCTTCCAGTCCATTTCCTGTTGGGTGTCTGAATCAGAATCAGATCGAGAACCAGAATCATGGTCCCCATCGATTTCGGGAGCAACGGAAACAGTGGTAGTGGAGGAGGAGTCTGTTTGCTGGTCGTCTTTGAGGGAGGAGCTGGAGCAGGTGAGGGAAGTGCGTTTGGAGCAGAAAGAAAAAGAGAGACGGGTGTGGGTGTTCGAATGCAGCGGGAAAGTGCAGGTGGTCCTGCTGCTGGTGTTTGTGTATGTGCTGGCGTTGAGAAGAGCAGTGAAGGAAGGAGCAGAAAGAGTTGCCATTGGCATTGCCATTGGAAAAGAAAAGACGATGAGTTTTCTGTGTTTGTCATGATGGTTATGTATGAGTAGTATTTGTTGTGAGTTGTGACTGAACGATGCAGAAGTCCATTCCAGAAGTTTGGAGAAGTTAACTGTTGAATTGAAGTGAAAGACAAGAAGACCGCACACATCACCACCTATTCTCGCACGCTCTATTCTCTTTTTCGGATTTTTGTATGACACGACACGACAAGCTGCCTCGGATTATTTATTCATGGATTACAGATAACTTCCTGGTTCTTATGCTGCCACCTGGTGCCTCCTTTTGTTGTTTTCCCCCTTCCATCTTAAATATACCATGCAATTTTCAATTATGATAATGAATCACATGTGTAACATTTATGGGATTAATCATATATGATTTTCTTTTAAGAGTTTTAATCAATTAGATGCTATGAATCCAATCCCTGTTTTATGAGAAAAAATAATCAATGATCAATCGAACACATTATCTATATAAATAAATGGTTTTACATTTTTTAGGGGAATTAAATGACATGGTTTTGCTTCTTCTTTTTTCTATTTCTTTGATAAGAAAATTAAGTTTTTAATTTTTTAAAACAATAATATTCGTTTACATCCTTTTCAAGCTTAATATATACATACATAAAATCTTGAACTGAACCACCCTTGGCTATACTAATATACTATCTATCATCCCTATCATCACGAGGACTAGATTCGGATTAAGCTAAAAAAGATTTGACAAATATATAATAACTTGAACTCAACTCAGCAACGTGAATTTACAGCAACATGGGTTATTGTGAAAACAAGGTGCAAGTGAAATCTGCAAGAGTCGAAATAGGCAGAGACATTGTCCTTGATAATTTTGAATGTCAATAATGCTGATGCTAAACTAGGCCTGATTATGTAAAGCAAGCAAAGTACAGTTCCAGCGACCATAGGCGTGGGCTGTTTAAAATAAATCAATTATTTCTCTGACAATGTCATTCGTGATCGAATCTCCGATCTCCATGTATATCTCCAAATTTACGATTTGGAAGCTTTTCCACTCTTCTGATAACACACAGGATTCTGCATACAACAGGTGGCTCATATTTTTAACTTCTCTATATTGTTTCTCCAATAAGTTAAAATGCTCATGTATGATAGTCTGAAACTCTTCACGTTCTGAAACTGCTTTGCTTGTTACACTTTTACCTTCATTTTTGTGAAACCCTTTGTCTTTCTGTACATAGTCAAACCGTAGCCGCTTCCTCTTTGTCAGGCTCCTTCTGTTGCTTCCGCACAAAGAAGCCGTCTCAACCATCTCCTGCAGTTTGTCTCTTTTTGCACGTCTAAATTTCAAGATATTTGTGCTCACCACTAGCTTTCTTACATAGTCTCTAACAAGTTTCTGGGACAAAGTTGGAACGGCTCTTACCTTGTCATCTGAACTTTTCAAGTGACACACTGTTCCATCACAACCCAAACAATGCAAGTTAAAAATTAAAATTATAATGCATTCGTGTTGATACTTTTCTCCCCTCTGATTTTAGTGAAAGTGTCGAACCTGCACTGGGTAATGGTGCTTTCCATTCTGGTCCTCTGCTATACTGCTGCCTGTTCTCTTTGGAGCTTATCCAGTATGGTTTGGTTCCTGTATCAACCTGCTAGATTACTGAGTGAGTTTGCTTAATTTATACTGAAGACGGTAATTAAATAGCCGTTGCATATTTGCAATTATTATATATAGTAACAATAATGTGATGTGAACGTGAAATTCTTGCTGCTGTCTATAATATAGTGTGGTTGCGTATACAAAAGATTCCCTTGCTTACCTCTGATCTTGTCAATTTGGAGAGTGTGAATGTCTGAAACATATTCGCCGGCAAAACCTTGTCCCGAGTATAATCATTGTTAGCAAAATGATGAGACAAATCCAATGTTTTCAATGAACTTGTTTGTTTCGTTGCCTGAGTGTGTGCTGTTAAATATTCATGCACATAATACAGATCAGTGTTGCGCTCTTCATCCCAGTTTGAGAACTCCTGGTTGTTTTCTGTGGGAGTGAACTTGTATAGTAGTGATCGTAGTATCCCCGTAGCATGTAATAGCCGTTTCTTTAAGTTGTGTAAATCATATTTGATCGACCACTTCAGATTCTTGGCCGAATAAAGGTGGTGAATGTTGCTACTGTCAGAGCTGAAGTTCTTGAACATGTAACTTCTTTCGACAAGGTAACTTTGCAATGAAAAAGGCTCTTGGTGGTGTTGGAGATATTCTTTTAGAGATTGTGGCTTGGAAGTGTCCATTGGAAGGAGTGCTGGAGTAGGACCTAAAAGTTGTGAAGCAGAAAAGATAAATAAGCTGTGAATGTGGGTGAGATATTTGGAGAAAGATGGGGAGAACGAATAGGAAGTGGAGGCTAATAGAACATGCTTGTCTTTGACATGGACTTACACTACACTGGGGTTGGAGTGCAGATTTGTTATGGAGGGAGAGAGGAGCGTAAGTGGGAGAGTAAAGCAAGGGGTTGGTGGAGTGGGGAAGAGGCATTTAAGTATAGGAAATAGTTTATTTGACCGGGGAACCAGAAAGCTAAAGCTTGGAAACACAGCAATCGATTGGAAGTGCCAACATGTTTAATGTATAGAAGTCTCTTGATTGATTTGCTTTTTTGCGGCTTATGTGTTGCATATACTATTACTGTAGGACATTCTAATTCCAATGGCTTTTCCTTTTTCTATATGGGATGTTATGTCAATCTTACGAGTTTGGTTTCGTATATCAGGGAGACTCTATCATTCTGTCATGTCCTTGTCTATTTTCTTTTATGAATCAGAATATTTTTTGGACTATTATATAGAATTGAGCATGTGGGTGGGTCTTGCAATGGGCATTAGCCATATAACTCTATTCCTTTGGCCAAAGAAAAGCAGGAGTGAGATAAGTTTATGGAGACGTCAGATTTAGGCATCCAATTAATTCATCGTTTTCTGACTTGTTAAAGGAGAGTTTAGCCTTCCAAGGGTGGCAAAGTGAAGTATTTAAACATGTTGGTGGTATTCAATCTTATTCCGAGGCATGTTGGTGCCTAATACTTAAACAAACTAAGTTTTATTCAATTTTGATTAAGCACTTGTGAAATAAAGTTTTTATTGAGCCAAAATATTATTATATTGGGAAGGTTTTGCTTGCGCTGTTCCTGTGATGATTTGAATCTCCCTGGCCTGTGATCAAAACGCACAGCCATATAATAATGAGAGAAATTGAGTACCACCGCGTGCCAAATGGGATTCTAACAAGGACAAGGGAAGTTCTGAATTAAGTACTGGGAGCCATATCATATCACATATCACCTGTTTTTATCAGATCATTCTTATTTTCCCACCTCACCTCATTCTTTTTTAAGTGAACTATATGTTTAAAAAAATACATGATAACTGAGCAAGTTTATTTTTTAAAGATTTAATTTACTTTTTTATGACTTAAAAACAATATTTTAAAGATATAATATATCATAAAGGCACTTTTTATTTAACCCAAAACAATCATTTCCTAATGTGCCCTTCTAAAATGGTAAAGGAAAAGATTTTCCTTATCTTATTCTTTTGTGTGGTTTGCAATAGTGAAGAATAATGTCTGATAAATGGGGGTCAGTAATAATGAGGATTAAGAGAAATAGATACCAAGATGTTTTGGAATTATCCGAACAAGTAATTGTTGTTCTTATATAGATACTCATGTTTATTTTTTTCTTTTTCCCTTTCACCCTTATCATTCTTCCTTTTAACTCTTGGTGCTTTTGAATATATATTTTATTGCATTAGTTATGTATATATTCCGTTACATAGCTAATGATGGTTAGTTTCCTGGGATACTATTGAAGACAAAACTTGAGTGGGATGAGGTGAGGGAAAGTACTGAGTGCAGCAGAATTGAATCCAAAAATACATCTTTTTCACAAGCAACAATGAAAAAGATGGTTGAGTTAGATTGCAGTAGAGATGCAAAAGATGAAAAATAAATGAACAACCTTTTTCCATTTTCAGATGCCATGCTCATCACCCAACTCCACACCATTTGCTTCAAAAGCTTCTAATTAATTAATTAATTTATAATGCTGCCCTTCATCTGTTGGAGAAAAATAGGTGTGAGTTGGGTCCTCCCCCTTTAATCATGCCAAATATCATCATATTGGCAACATAGGGAACTTTCTCCTTCCTCATCTTGTTATTCCTAAGTTATGCAGCCGGAACTGCTCCTGCACTTCCTATGTCTTCACGATATGCATATACAATATTTTGTATTTTATTTTGTTTCAATTTCACTTGAAGGTTTTGGAAGAAGAAATAGGCAACTTAGAAGGTGACGAAGAGGAATGCTTGAAGAGAACTCTTACAGCTCATGCATGCAGACTTTATACACAGCAGCAAAATCCGTGAGATCAATTAATTTTGTTTGTGCTATCTTCAAATTTTAGGCGAAATACACAAATGAAGTTTCTTGGATTATAATCTATTCCAAGGTTAAATATATTTGTTTTTTATTACTATTTAATCAAAACTATATGTTTTTGCACACGAATTTCTGTGATTAAGTTACACTATTTTGGTGCATTCTATAATTGTCATTTTAAAACTTCATAGATGATGTACATTTTTTTAGTCTACCGAATGTGAGATTATGCTAGAAGTTGTGGATAAATGTGAAAATTAAAATAATTAAATAATAAAATATTATTATAATTAAGTAAATTAAAAATTATGTTTTTTTGGTAAATTTATAGAAAACTAATTTTAAATGTCAATATTTATTTAAAATACAATAAAAATAAGTGTCTACGTAACAAATTATGAAAAATTACATGTATAATAAAACTGAGAATTTTGAGTAAAATTTGTCAAAGATGTATTTCAAAAAAAAAATTCTTCGGAGATAAATATAATCATACTATACAAAAGATTATTATTTTTTTCAATAAAATATATATATATATATATATATATATATTATCTGATATAAAAATAATCTTATGAATAAATGGATTAACATATATTTTAATTTATAAATTATAATTTAACTAAAAAATTGAAGTGATTGATTATCCATAGTTAATATTAACACAATGCTTTCAAAAAAAAAAACTATTGAATGTTAAATAAATTTTAATATTGGTGTTAGTGTATGTTTTGTTATATTGCACGAATAATTAAAAATTATCATATGATTAATTTTGTTATCCGTTTTAATAGAGGTGGTGATATTTTGATACCATTTTGTTAATAAAATATATAAATATAATAATAAATATATAAATATAAACTTTTAATATTATAGAATTAATAAAAATAGTTGGGGTTTATATGTTTGTATGATAAGACTGTCTATTTATAACTTTTGTTAACAATATTATATAATGGGGGGAGTAAAGTGAAAATTGTAAGAGCGCGCGGCTAAATGAAGCGGCGGGTGAAAAAAAGAAAAGGGTGGAGATTAGGGTAAATAAGTGAATGAGTGAGAGAGTGACGTTGGAAGTAACAGAGAAGCGAGAGATGGGAAAGAGAGAAAAGGAGAAGGAGAAGGAGAAAGCGAAGAGGCAGAGGTATCTTCTGAAAACGGAACCGTCGGAGTGGTCGTGGGAGGACCAGGCGGCGAACGGAGGCATAAGCAATTGGGATGGGGTTAAGAACAAGCAGGCCCAGAAATACCTAAAGTCCATGTCCCTCGGCGACCTCTGCTTCTTCTACCACTCCGGTCCCAAGGCCCGCCGCATCGTCGGCGTTGTCTCCGTCGTCCGCGAGTGGGACGGCGACGCGGTGGACGTGAAGGCCGTGGGAGAGATGAGAAGGCCCGTCGACTTGAAGGAGATGAAACATTTCAAGGATTTCGCTCTCTTGAAGCAGCCAAGGCTTTCCGTTGTCCCTGTTCCCGACCTCATATGGGATGAAATCTGCCTTTTGGGAGGTGGCTACGACGGCGACCATGCTCCCTGATTTCACTTCCCTCACCCTTTTGTCATCATTCCATGTAAATTAACACCTCCTCTTTCTCTTTATGCTTTCCATTAAGTATCTGCATCTTAATTTCTCCTTCATTTCTTAATTTTCACCGCAATGACAAACTCTTTGTTTTGCTCCCCAGCTTAAAATAATAGGTGTGGGCTTAAGCCTACTCTCGTTGGGCCTCTCCCTACATTTAGGCCCTCGCGCTTCAAGAAACCATAAATCCTTTTCTTCTTACAGAAAATCATTATCAACTTTTTTCTATATTAACTATTATAATTTAAACTATTCTTTGCATTTCACTGTAACATATGTACGGTACTTTTCTAAAAATATCTTCAAATCTAATTAGAATAATTAAGGCTTTGTTTGGATGGAGTGATTTGAGAGAGTGGAAATGAGGGAGTGGAAAAGGAGGGATTTGAAGAGAAATGGAGATGAATGTAAAGTGAAAGGAAAGTTTATGGGAAATTGTGAATGATTTGATTGATATGAGATATAAAAATTATAATTTTATGTTGATTATTTAAGAAAATTATCATTTTACCCTTTGTATAAAATAAGGTTCAATTCAAATGATTATAAATATAAAATTTTAATTAATTATCCATATTTTAACATTGATTATATATTTAAAAGAAAAAATAAAATTAAAAGTGTTTGTAATTAGAACAAATTTAAAAAATTAACTTTTTTTAGATAGATATTAAAAATTATATAAATAAACAATTACAAAATTATGTACATTGCATATCCATATTCAAAAAATGTTGACATATTAAATAAAATATTTGACTAATAATTAAATAATTATAAAATATAAAATAATAATTAATATTGATTGATAATAACAAATAATTATGAAAACTAATAATATAATTGTACATTATTATTTAAAACAAATATAAAATACAGTGAAAATAGAATAATAATTAAAGGAAAGATTACCAAAATTATAAATCTATGCACACTAATGCTTTTCAAACAAATAATTATAATCTTATCCATCTTTTGCAGATCAAGTCCTCCAGTTCAGATCATTCAATCACCTCCATTCAAGAACATGAACAACTCGGGAGAGACGAAGATGTGAGGCAAGCCAAAAAGTCGTCTAACATGTGATGGGTGAGTACACAAATGATTATAACACTGAAGCATAAGTTGCTCGTCATTTAAGTATAAGTTTTCAAATGATCGATTATTTTGCCAAAATGATCGATCACTTTTCCAAAATCTCGACACTTTAGATAGCGGTTCACCTGGAACCCCTATCATATGTTAACATATGATAGCGGTTCAGAATCACTATCTAAAGGCTCAATGAATTTATTTTAATGTATAATTATATATATATATATATATATAATTATATATATATATATATATATCATATACATATTCTAAAATATAATTTATATTAATTACTATAATATAAAATATAGATTCCACAATATTACTAAAATTTATATATATATTATAGAAATGAAAATAAATTATATTTGAGAATATATAATTTTGATAGAAAATTATATATAATTTAACATTTTGAATTCGAAAGGTTTTCTCTAATAACAAATTAAAAAATATAATATTCAAAAAAAATATTTTAAGATTCAGATCTCAGGGTTGTATTTCGCTCGAGCGATTACACTCTCGCTCGAGCGAAATAACATCTTGATCGATCATAATTTGAAATGATCGATCATAATTGGAGGATATCATAGCGGTTCCTCTGTAACCGCTATTTAAAGTATATATTAGATAGCGGTTATGGTTTAACCGCTATTACAAGTTATATTTCGCTTGAGCGACATTAAACTCGCTCGAGCGAAGACACCTGCTCATAATTTTCATCCTCCGGTTGTTTTTCGCTTGAGCGAAACTGATCTCGCTCGAGCGACTAGCAAAGTATGATCTTGCTCGATTTATTTTAATCGATTAAAACACGTTTTAATCGATTAAAACCACTTTGAAAGTCAGGATGATCGATCAGAATGTAATTATGACCGATCAGAGTTCGTTATGATCGATCAGAATTGAATTATGACCGATCAGACTTATTTCAATCGATTAAAACAAATTTCAATCGATTAAAATGACTTGAAAATTTTTGTACAGAGTTTCAATCGATTAAAACGAATTTCAATCGATTAAAATGACTTGGAAAAAATTCTGTGCAGGTTTTTAATCGATTAAAACTTCTTTGTATCAGTTAAAATAACTTGAAAAGTGTTATAAGAAAGTTTTAAACTGAATCAATCGATTAAACCGCGAATCAATCGATTAAATCACTCTTAGAAAATGTTTGTAAAAAGTTTTAACTGATAAAAACTTGGTCGTATCAGCTAAAACAATTCCGTTAAAGAACAAGAACGCATTAATGGGTTGAAAGGACTTTTAACAGATTATAACGACTATTTCAACAGATTAAAACAAACTTTGAACAGATTAATTAATGCAGCTTTTTCGAAAATTCTTTTATAAACAGTAATTGCTTGGAACTTTTATCATATCAGTGTTCTTAAAGAATGGTTCTTAAAGTGTTCCATCAACAGAATTGCTTGGAACAGGTTAAGGTTTAACCTCTATTATAAGCTCCCTTTAAGAATGGTTCTTAAAGTGTTCCATCAACTCCCTGTCGCTTCTCGATTCCTGATTGAATCAGTGCCGAGTCGGATTAAAGAAAGTAGAGTCGGATGTTATTGCCTTTGCCCCCACGCCAGCTTGCTCTCTAATCCCACTCGCTGATTGGATTGAGCTGAAAAAGCGGAGCTTAGGTAGGCTACAGCGACTCTCAAAGCGTGAGAGTTGAGTCTCGGGTTGCATTTCGCTCGAGCGACTATATCTCGCTCGAGCGAAAAACGATACCTGATCGATTAGATTTTTGAAATGATCGATCATAAGCTGGAGGATATAATAGCGGTTCCTCCATAATCGCTATCTAAAGTGTATATTAGATAGCGGTTCCAGTGGAACCGCTATCATATACAACCAAATTTTTAATTTCTTCGAGTCTCGGGGTTGTGTTTCGCTTGAGCGACTATGTCTCGCTCGAGCGAAATATGATTCTGATCGATTAGATTTAGGTAATGATCGATCATAATTGGAGGATATAATAGCGGTTCCTCTGTAATCGCTATCTAAAGTGTATATTAGATAGCGGTTCCAATGGAACCGCTATCATATACAACCATATTTTAATTTCTTCGAGTCTCGGGTTGTGTTTCGCTTGAGCGACTATGTCTCGCTCGAGCGAAATATTGGAGGATATAATAGCGGTTCCTCTGTAAGCACTATCTTAAGTGATATATAATAGCGTTTAAGATTTAACCGCTATTAGAAGTGATATATAATAGCGGTTATGTTTTAACCGCTTATTAGAAGTGATATATAATAGCGGTTAAGTTTTAACCGCTATTACAAGTGCTTGTTATAATAGCGGTTCAGATTTAACCGCTATCATATATTACGGAGGTAACAACTGTCTTTTCATTACTTTCATCTCTTTTCTTCGCACCTCAGCTGAAGAAACTCTCTCTCTCATCTCCCCCTTTTCCTCGCCTGCATTTCGTCGCAAATCAGTTCAACCAAACGTGGGTGAATCTCGTGTTTCTGTCTTCGTGAACAGTATTTCGTCGCAAATCAGTTCAAACAAACAGGGGCTAAATGATATTGCCTAATTATCTTAAATAGCATAGAAGTTTATTGTTTTTAATATTTAAGTTCAAATAATAAATTTCATCACATCACTTATCATTGGAAAATCTTGTATAGTGTATTTATTGTATTTTAGCATTAAATTGTTTAGAAATTTTGAAAAAGTTGTATTATTAATAATAGAAAATATGTGACATCGACTATTTTAATATTTTTATTGGTAATATTCACTCCATCAGTTCCTTTTTAAGTGCTTAAATTGTAACAAAATTTGTTTTTATTTTTTCATCCTTTCCAAAATTCAAGATAACAATGTTTCTTTCAATTATAATCTAATCCCATTTATTATTTTTCATATTATTTGAATAATAAATAATTGAAATATTCGAAGATAAATAGATCACCTATTAGTCAAAATGGCGGGGTACGTATTCTTTGACAAAAAGTTCTTACTTTCATATTACTTTCTTTGACAAAATGGTGGTAAAAGTTATAGAGAAAAGTTTAACTTTTTTTTTTAAGTTCACAATAGAGAAAAAAAAGTTTCAACAAAGAAGAAAAACGTTGAATTTGTTTTGGGGAAAAAAAGAGAAAAATCAATTTAATGATCAACCAATAGTTGCATAAAGAATTTCACACGTGGTTATGAAAAGAGATAGAGATTACAATTTACAAAGGTACTACGTCACTACCTGCACTTTTACAAAAAGGAAATCATGAAGGCCACAAAAAAAAATTTAATACGAAAATAGTGGGTAATTGATTTTCTTGGTTGGGTGGATAAAACCTTCAACGATTATTTTAAAGAAACAAAGTAGCATATGTATATAAAAAAAAAATATTACCAGTATTTGGTCTATTTTATAGTAACGATAATAGTATATTTTTAAATAGATATATTATTTTAACTTAAAAAAAAAACACAATATTTTAAAAATGAAGAAATATTTGAAATAGTAGTGTACTTTTTATGTGTACGTAAATGAAGAATTAAAGACAGATAGGTAGGTGGGAAAGACATGAGGCAGCGTGGCAGAAAGAAGACATAGCATGTGCAGCACCCTCTCCCTCGCCGGTCCATTTAATTCTCATTTTCAAGGTCAATACTCTCTATTCCCCTCATACCGATCCTCAATATAATCTTTTCATTTACTTGTTTGTTATGAGAAAATCAAATTCATAATAACAAATAGTTACATTAAAAAATCTCACAATATATTTGCTGATATCCTTTTTCAGTACATACAAAAATAAAGGATTTTTCAATATTTTATTATACATTACTTAAAATTTAGTTTATATATATAAATAATTTCTTGTAATTTTAAGCAATAAGAAGATTCATAATAAAATATTTATTTTTACTCAAATAATTTTTAATAACAATTTTCTTTAAAGATATTTAATTAACAATTTTCTTTAAAGATATTTAATCATGATCTTTTCGATTGGTTCGACCAAAAAATATCGGATAATGATTTTGAAATTTTTAAAATGTCAAATGAACAAGATAAAAAAAATGGATAAATTAATTAAAAATTAGATAAATAGGTGAAATTAGATGGTTAAGAGACATTAAAAAAATAAAATAAAAAAACTAAATAATATGGTTTTGTTTTATTTTTATTTTTTTAGTTTAACACAAATATATACAAAAGTGAAGAGAAAAAAGTATTAATGAAGATATTCTTATTTCATTATAATTTTTATTCTTGAATATCACTCACTATTTATTTTTAATTGTCTTCTTCCGACGTGGTATTTGTTAGAATCATGATCTATTATTATCATAATTATAATTATTCATAGAAATATAAGAATTACAATCTCTTTGTTTTAAAAATTAATATGATAAAATAATTTTGTAAATATCACATGTAAATGAATAATATTCTTTGAGGGATTGATTGTGCATGTTTCATAAAACTAAATTTGGAATTTTCTGAAATTAAGATTTTTTAAAATTAAGATTTTCTAAAATTGTGATGGTTTCTAAATTGGATACTAAGAATAAAATTAATACTAATAAATGGACAATGAACTAAGTATATTGAGTTATCCTTAATTTCATAATCATATTTTGAAATAAAATATATTAATTTTAAAATTAGATACAATGAATTATATAATGCAATTTTTTTCCTTGATTATTTTTAAATTAAGTGCATTTTTTTCTTAATTATTTTTATGTTAGTTGTACCTTTTTTCCATGTATTTTCAAGCTAAGTGCACTCACAATTTTTTTTCTAATTACTATTTAATCAAAGTATTTAATAATATATTTATTCATATTATTATACACTCATTTTAAGTTGAATATATTATTAAAATATATTATTTTATTATAAGAATTTAATTCCAAATAAATTTTTTATTTAAACTTTAAATCCTAAACTAATCCAATTTTAACATTCTTAGCGTGAATAAATAATTTTCTTATTATTATTATCTCTTTTTTATTTTATTCTTTTTTAATATTTGTTCACACATATTAAAAAACATATTAATCAGTCAATTAAATTTATTAAATTATTCTTACACCTTTTAGTCGTTATTATATATTTAAAATAATGATAATCACACCGTATCTAATCATACATGTTTCGTGTTTTTATTAATATGAATGAAGGATTGTTATATTACATAACTACTTTCGAATTTACATTTCACTGACGATTGTTAAACAAATTTTTGTTTTTATTTTAATTAATTGATTTTTAAATAACAATATTAATATTAAAATGAATATTTACTAAGGATAATCTTTTTAAAAAATTATAATTATTACACCAAAATTAATAATGGTAATTAATTAAAGAAATTCTCAAGAATAAAATACGAGATTGTAAAAAGTAATATATTTATTTTATTATTGAATACAAAAATTCTTTCCATTTAATTTATTTTTATATCAATCACTTTTCATCTTATATTTTATCTTGAAATGAACCGACACTGAGAATTGGATAAATTGAATAAAACAATAAATAAAATGTTAATTAAAAAGCATATGAGTAGTACTACTCTCTTGGAATACATTGGTTGTTTTGACTTTTTGTTTAAGAATTTGGACTATTTTAAAATTTAATATATATCTAGAAATTTCCTTTCGTTATAGTCTTATATGTAATTAAATAATGAAGACTGGTTGAATACAACATTAATAATATTGACTTTTCTAATTGAGAAAAATTAATGTGATGTCTGAATGAAAATAATACAGAAAATAGTTTAGGTTAAATGTATGCAACATTCTTACACAAACAAATAAATAAAATATTATTTAATAATTTAATCTAAGAGGAATAAATGATAGTTTGTTGAAAGGGTGAATGGCAAAGCTGTGATTAATAGCAATACTGATGGTGTTTTTGTAGAAGGGCAGTGATGAAATGAGAGAAGTATATATATATATATATATACACGACAGAACAGAAGAAGAGAAGTGAAGAATGTGGTAGTTTCGGAAATAAAGAAGAGAGAGAGAGAGAACGAGAATGACGAATCAGTTGGGAAATCTGGTGCAGTCGATAAAGTCAAAGGTGAAGTCTCTGAACCTGAAGAAGGGGAAGAAGCCGTACGTGAAGATGGACAAGAGTGCGAGCGTTAAGGTTGAGATTCGCAGCAGAAAAGCTCGCAAGCTCATCGAGAAGACCTTGAAGGCTGCTGATTCTCCCGCCACATCTACCCTCTCTTAGTTCATACTTTTCCTACTATTCCATCTCAATTCCTCCATTTTTCATCTCTTTCATTCCATTTAACTTGTATATGCTCCTACCTCACCTTTAGTTCCTCCATCTTCTTACATTTCTTCTAATTTTATATAATGATGTGTTATTCCTATCCTTCTTTTCTAAGCTTTTCTTCTGTTTCATAATTAGTTTTATAATTTTTTTTTCTGTGATTGATTGTTCTAAATATATACAAAATATGTTTGATTGTATTTCTGTTCATAAAAAAAATATTTAATCAATTGAATTTTGTAGGTTTTGTATCTTATCTAATGAACTTTAATAATTTTACACTTCTCGACAAGTTTTAATTGAAAAAGAAATAATAATTTGTTAGATTATTTGTACATCATCATGTATTTGAAGTGTAAGTAAGTATTCCGACTGGTTCGAAATACCCTTCGCACCTTATACTGACACAGCGGTGCCGACCACCATTTTGTTTTATTTTTTTTCTTCTGAAAATATTCTTTAACGTTCCTGTAAAAAGAATATGATAATTTAAGGAGAAGATCAGAGTGGGTGGGGTTGGAAGGACAGTGTACATATTAATGGTTGTTTAGACTTCGAAGGATTCAACCACGTACGTTCATGGACGTCTTATTTTATCTTCAAAATTAATCACTCTTTTCTCTTTTATCTTCTTTCATTTTAAACACAAAATCACACACGACCCTGAGTTTTTTTGAACTCACGATATCGAACGTTTCATCTTACGAGCAGAAGGAGGGTTGCTGTTTACTTAAATTTTATCCCTTCCAAATTTAAATAAATATTTAATATATTTATTTATATATTTATAATTTTATTTTCTCGTTCTCTATTTAATTTTGTAAATTTTATATAATTTATTATTTTATTTTCTTCAAATTTAATGATTATTTAATATATTTTAATATATATATATATATATATAATTTTATCTGTCCCTAAAAATATCTTAGTTTGTGGATTGCTGCAGCTACGCCTTTATACTTCAAAATTCTTTAACTAATTTGCTCTATTTTATTCCCGTTATTAAATCACATGCTTGCAAAAAAGTTGTTCTTCACATCATTTCTAATAAATTTAATATTTTAAAATTTGTTATGGACTTTATTCAATTTCATACAACAATCAATTATTTATTTTGAATAAAGTCCAATTTATTCTTCAGAATGCTTTTTTAATAAAAGAATCAAAATGATTTTTGATGAATACTGTTTCTGTCACATTTATTTTCCTGCATAAAAGTAATATGAAATTTATTGGAAGATGTAGATTTTAACGAATCATATCAAAATATTTGTTTGATTTCACACAACTTGTACTAAAATGTAGAAATGTGATAGGAAACAAATTCCACGATGGTTTATTGTTATTTGGTTGATATATCAAAGTCAAGCACACATAGCATTATCTCGTTTGAAAAACAGAGTTCAAATCATTCACGACATAAGGTTACAATTATTCTTCATTCTTTTAGATTAAATTTATAGCGAAGGTCAAAATGTGTTTTGAGAAAATTCGAATTTGATTAAATTATATAATAAATCAAACATAAATAAATTTAATTATATATTATTTATATTTTATTTAAATATTATCATATTATATTATATATATACATGGAGTTGTTAAAAATATTTTTTATATCTATTTTTAAAAAATATTAACATTATATATATAGAATTGTTACAAATGTTAACATGTTATATATATATATATATATATATATATATATATATATATATATATATATATATAACAACTCCATTAAAAAATAACATTTTAATAATTCATTTATTAATATCATAATAAATTCAAAATTTTGATATTTATTATTATATTAATAAATTAGAGTTGTTGATGGATGTTTGTAAAAAAATGTTATATATATCCTCTATGATAAAGCCCCTTTATACATAATTTTTGGAGTGATTACATAAAATATAATAATTTGGAAGAAAAGAAAATGTGATTAGATAGTGGTTTATTTTGAATTAAGTTAAGTTGATTTGTTTGGTTGAAAGAAGCGGGCCAGTGAGTGATCCGGCCCATTTATTGAGGGAATTAAAAACCCTAAGAAAACCTGAACTTGCCGCTTCCGTCGTCTCCATCATCTGCAGAGCCGCATTTTGCGTATAATTCTGAGAGGTATCGTTCATTCCTTCCCAATGCTTTCTCATACCTTCTCTCCCTTTTCATTCACTTTGCATTCTTTGTTCTGTGCGTAGAGAGGACCATACCTTACTTGCTTCCTCCAACATAATGGCATACGCAGCAATGAAACCAACTAAACCCGGCTTGGAGGACACTCAAGAGCAGATCCATAAGATTAGGATCACTCTTTCCTCGAAGAACGTCAAGAATCTTGAAAAGGGTATTTCATTCTATACTCTTCAACTCTATTTCTCCATTTTATTTATTCTACCCTCTAATTATATTTCTTTTCATGATCGCCATAGTTTGTGCCGACCTGGTTCGCGGTGCCAGGGACAAGCGTCTCAGAGTGAAGGGACCTGTTAGAATGCCAACCAAAGTTCTTAACATCACCACCAGGAAATCCCCATGCGGTGAAGGTAATTTTGTTCAGATTGCTCGCTTTAAACTTCATCTTTATGTGCTTTCCTGCTAGACTCTAATAGAAACTGTCGCTGTATGATTTTATTTTCCCACACTAGTCTGCAAATCACAAGTTGCTATCATTTTACTTCATCACGAAACTATTCGTAATTTAACTCTACAAGATTAAACCCACTAACAGTTGCCAAATACCTCTATTGATGGTCTGCTTATAACCTTAAAATGTTAAAAACTGATGCAGAAAACAGAAACCTATAGTCCCATTGATTAAAACTGCTTATTACCTTAATAATATTAATAAGCTTTAGACATTGGAAATACCTCATTATTATTGGCATCGGATGGTGCTTAAGAACGAATTTCCTGCACATCTTGTCTTTTTTGACAGTTGCGGATGGAGGCAAGCTACCAAATACGTTTGGTGACTCGCCAGTTTTGTAGTCACTACCATTCCTTTTAATTCTTGTTTTTGTCAAGGGTTTAATTAAATACTATTGGTGATAAAGAGAGTGGTGTTCTTGTTCTTACGGTTGATTAACAACCTGAGTAACGAGAAAGCCTTGAAAATATTAATCTTAATAGTCAGACCACAGATCAAGTGATTTGACAATTGTTGGTGATTCTAGAAATGCCTGTAAGATAGATGAGAATGTAGGAGAAATGTGTTAGTATTGTGTATTTTTGAATATTTTTTTCATTTGGAACTAATGATAATTAGCCCCTTGTTTATGACCTGCTTCTGGTTCCAGGCACCAACACATGGGACAGATTTGAGCTGCGTGTGCATAAAAGAGTAATCGACCTCTACAGTTCTCCTGATGTGGTCAAGCAGATTACCTCAATCACAATTGAACCTGGTGTCGAGGTCGAGGTCACCATTGCTGATGCTTGATTTTTGGCAAATTTTGTTTTGCGCTTGCTAGTTTATTTTGTAATTTATCCTTTTGGCTAGGAATATGTTGAGTCCTATACATTAGGGTTAATGCATTTTTGCCATTACATTTTTTTGAAATGGATTATTGTGAAAGGGGAATGAACTTTGATCTATTGTTTTTATTGCTTATTTAGTTTTAGCTTCAGATAAAAACTGTCACATTTTGTTATGAATTACCTTTGAAGAAAAAAGTTGAAGATAGTGTCCTTCATGGTTGCTTGTATGAAACTGTAGATTAATGTGTACACAAGCTGATTAATTCGTAGTTTATTTTCAAAAGAAAATGTTAATGCAACTCAGAGTACCACCATAGAAGTTTACCCAGCTTGTGGTGGGATTATGACAGAAAATAACTCTTTCATGGATTAAAGAGAATGATTTAATGATTATGGAATCGAGAATGATAGGTGATTATGGTAATTATTAGTAAAAATAAAAATATTTGTTAATGAAAATAAAATTAAAATAGAAAATATTTTTTTATTAGTTTTGTATTTGTTGTCTGTACAACATATTTTGAAAATTATTTTAAGAAATTAATTATGAAATAATTATTTTAATTTTAAAGTTGAAATATTGATAACTTGAGTTCTTATGTTTTTAATTTGTGTTGAATAATATTTATTCCTTTTAAAATTTATCCATTCGGAAAGAATCTTTTTATTGTTAAATTTTCAGTGTGATATATTAGGAATATTTGATTAAAATGGTTATATGTTAACACAAATTTGAAATTTGGAAGTTGCATACTTAAATTCTCATTTAAAGTTATGAGCATATTATTTCAATTACCAAATATTACAAACTAAATTTAGAGATATACAATATTTGTTTAAGTCTTTATTATAAACTATGGTGGGATTTTGTATATATTTAAATAAAAATAATAAATGTTTTAGCAAATATGTAGGAGTACGAATTTATTCCTAAGTATAAATGTGTAATAATTTATTTGACCATAATATAAAAATAATCAAAGGAAATAAAAAAAGTAATTAATAATTAATTTATTTGTTATTGTTCAATCAAGGAGGAATTTTATCCTTTTCAATAGCTATTTTGAATCGCAATCTGAGGGAGAGTGAAACATATGGTGAGATGCTGTAGGAAATTTTTTGAAAGTGAATACATGATTATCGAAATTGGGATAATGTGTAGATTGTATGTCTTTCAAATATGTGTCTTATTATTATTATTTTTTTTAACGGAGGAGATTTTTTCCATTTGAAAAATGATAACATTGTTGTAGGGTGTAGAAAAACCCTAAGGGCATCACACTTTATATGTAAAAAAAATGATAATGTAAATATGTATAATAAAATAATAGTTTTAATCTGATTTGGGAAAAGAAGAGATAAAATAGGAAGAGCATAGAGGGAAGAAAAGGAATAGGTGTCTTGAAAAGATAGTAAGGAATGACGGAGTCAATAATTGAGTTTAGTTTTGAAGAAAAGGGTAAACGGAGAGTAATAAAGAAGTCAAAAGAGATGAATGGTTATTGAATATTGAGAGGAAGAGAGAAGGAGGATGAGGGGTGGGGAGGAGAGACAGACGGTGACAGGGATTCGGAAGAAGGGAAGCGGAGTAAGGCAATGGCTGGTCCTCGACGGCAGAGGGGAGACGGAGGTGGTGGAGGCAGGGAAGCACGCCATCATGAGGCGCACAGGCCTCCCCGCCCGTGACCTCCGCATATTGGACCCTCTCCTCTCCTACCCTTCCACCCTTCTCGGCCGTGAGAGGGCCATCGTCATCAACTTGGAGCACATCAAGGCCATCATCACCGCCCAGGAGGTCCTCCTCCTCAACTCACGTGACCCCTCCGTCACCCCCTTCGTCCAGGAGCTCCAGGCCAGGATCCTCCGCCACCACCAGGCCTCCTCCTCTTCCAAACACCCCGACCACCACCCTGACCCTGACCCTGACCCTGACCCTGACGCCATCAAGATTCTTCCCTTCGAGTTTGTTGCCCTCGAGGCCTGCCTTGAAGCCGCCTGTAGCGTATTGGAAAACGAGGTTTGTTGTTCCCTCTTCTCTTCTCTTCTTTTCATTTCTTTCCATCAATTTACCTTTACTTTACCCTAAACCTCGCTCTCTTTCTCTCTGTTTCTGTTAATTCACAGGCAAAGACGTTGGAGCAGGAGGCTCATCCCGCCTTGGACAAGCTCACATCCAAGATTAGTACTCTCAATTTGGAACGCGTTCGTCAAATTAAGAGCCGATTAGTTGCCATCACTGGTCGTGTTCAGAAGGTTGGTTAATTTGATTGATGCATGGCATGGGCTTCCTGGGATTTCATTATTTGATTGTTTGGTTTTTGTGTCCAGGTGAGGGACGAATTGGAGCACTTGCTGGATGACGATGAAGATATGGCTGAGATGTATCTGACCGAAAAGTTATCTGAACAGCAGTTGGAAGAAAGCTCTTCAGCATCATCCATGAATGAGCAAGACGAGGAGGATATAGACCCCAGGCACCCACCTCTTCTCCCTTTACCCCTTTTAACTCTCTTTCATCCCTCTAAATCTAAATTTTCTACTCATTTTTAGGACCGCTCCCGAAATATCCTTTGATGCTGGGGTACCCGTTGTGGGTTATGAGGATCATCACAATGTTTTCAATGTTCATGGTAGGGACAGCCATGGAACCCGGGGTAGCACCTACAGTGCCATCACCAAGCAACTTGATGTCGAGGAGCTTGAAATGCTCTTGGAGGCTTACTTTGTGCAGATCGATGGCACCTTGAACAAGCTCTCTACGGTATGCACGCTCCTTCATCTGTTTATCGCTCCCTATTTTATTACTTTTTCTTTCCGCTCCAAGTGCCTACAAACACCAACGAGTTCCACCAAAGCGCACCAGATACTGTTTATAAAAAAAAAAAAAAAACAGCATTAGCGTTGCTTGCGTAGCGAATATGTAATGGGGTGTAAATCATCATTTTAGTCCTTCAAAAACAGGAAGTCGGTTAAGATGGCCCCCCTAAAAGATGAAAAATGTTCAAATCATTGTGGAAGTTTTGTCCCTGGATCAATTTTGTCCCTACGTTGAGAGGTTAGAGTTAACATTTACCGAGATGCTCACGTGCATGTTAGTTGTCATCTAGGGATCTTTCATGATAACATTTCACGTATATGTCTAAGTAGTTATCCCTAAAAGAGACTAGGGACTAAAATGAAACCAGAGAAGAAATGAAAGACACCATGGTTGAGATAAAAGGTTTGGTTGATTGAAGCTTGGCCCTTTAGAGAAGGGAGAAGAGACTTTTGTTGGTTGTGGAGCAGGTAACAGATTTTTGGGAGATTTGCGTCTTGACCACTCCAAGCCAACATAGTCTTATCTTTAAATGACAAACATTCTTACCTCTTCACCATCATCAACGTCAACCAACCTGAAACCTACTATATGTTATAACCGCTAACAGCACACTCTAAAATCAAGACACAGAAGTAAACTTAGCACAAATCTTACACACAGGATTCAGGACCTCTTCATTGCAAATGCTCCTCCATGTGCAAACCCATCATTGATAGCGCATGCTGTTGCTACCACTGTCCAAAAAACTACCCTCAATGACCAAAAGCGGCCACACTAAAACCTATCATGAACTCATCAAACCTATTGCAAAACTGCAACACCAGCAAAAATCAACCATTAGACCCAAAATAGACACTATTATGCTTGGAACCATGTCAAACCTCACCAATAACCAGTCATAATAATCCTTTTTTGCAGACAGACGAAAACCACCATTAATTGCCATGCCTTTCTGCTATCCCACCCGAAGAAAAAGAAAAAAAAAATATCAATGCCAGTTAGCATTTGCTACCAAACCACAATTCAATCCACCAATGGCCAAACTCATCAATATCTTTCATTATCTGCTGAACTCATGCTTGAAACTGGAAACAAACACATCAACATTTGGACCCAATTTTACTGACAAACTAGTCTTTCAAGGCTGTACTTGACATGTTTCAGCTTTCAGGGATCACCTTGATGGATCCCGTATTTCTTAGGGTCTAAAATGCTGTTACATACGGTATTAAAGATGCATCTTATTTCAAATCTTTGGAACAAACTACTATTTTTTCAATTGTTGGGAACTCGTCCAATTTGAACATTTCTGATCCAATATGGTTTATCTTTAACAATTTGACATGATATTATAATTTACCAGTTACCCAAAAGATGAAGTGAAAACTAACTTCTCTGATACTATCACTTTATTATTTATTCGTTGTTATGATGAAGCTGAGGGAGTACGTTGATGACACGGAGGATTACATCAACATCATGCTGGATGACAAACAGAACCATCTTCTCCAAATGGGAGTCATGTTGACCACAGCAACTCTGGTAGTGAGTGCCTTTGTTGTTGTGGCCGGAGTTTTTGGCATGAATATTCACATTGACCTATTTGATTCCGATAAATCTGGGATGACAGAATTCCTCTGGACTGTTGGTGGTAGTGCTGCAGGGACCATATTCTTGTATGTGGTTGCCATTGCCTGGTGTAAGCAAAAACGCTTGCTAGAGTAACTAGCCAGGAATCCCATAGTGTTTTACAAAGAAACGTAATGTAATTTGTAAATCATATTTTATTCTTGTGCTTTCAATTTTAATAGCAGATCATTGCAGTATCTGGCTGCTTATTGTACTTGTATGATGTTTCAGCTTCAACTATCTTACTCATCTTGTAAATTGTTCCGTGGATAGCTTTATGTACACTTGATGCCTTTACAGTAACAGTTTTGATATTAGCACCAAAAATACCGAAGTATTCAGAGACTTTTACTTACATGTGTTTATATTTGACATTGTTTCCCTTCCATTTTCTATATCTCTCCATAGTCTATTTTATTTCGTCTGATTCTGAAAAGAAAATTACTCTTTCAATGATAGTTGGAGATCAGGCTTGTATGTTCTACTAGCTGGCAGTTTTGTTCTTTTACTGCTATCCTGTCCTGGATAATAAATAACGGGGGCTCGAAATTACAAAATTACGTATGACATTATACAAGAGTTAGAGAATAATGTGATTCAGATAAAAGAAAATAGCTTAAAATAAAAATTCCTTTTATAAAAACTTATACTTCTTTTAATATGGTTTGAAATTAAATATTTCTTCTATATATTTTTTAAAATATTTTAAGAATATTTCTTCCAAATTTTTTTAAATATTCTTAAGAATATTTCTTCTAGGAACTCTAATTACCCATAAACACTTTTTCATAGTTACTTTTAATTTAGGAAGTTATAATTTTGTAACTCTTTCTTTTAATTAATTCTTTCTCTTTTTTATTATTTTAATTCCGTGAATCACGTTTAATTTTATGAATAGAAATGCTTCTTCTTTATAAAAATCACACTTACAAATATACGAAACTAAATATTTTTATCAATTTGAATGTCTTTAAATTTGACTCTCTTTTATTAAGATTCTTGTATTAAAATGTTTCTTCAAGTAATAAATTAACATTTTCATTTATTTTTGAATTATATCTGGATTACATTGAAAATGATGTATTTGCATTTTTTTTTCTTTTTACCTTTTGTTTGTTTTTTCCTTGTGAACTAAGTGCCAATGAACATTTTTCATGAATGTTTTTGAGTTCTTAATTTAAATATTTTAAAGAGGTGATGGACAGTTTATGTTTTAAGGATGATCTCATCAATCACGATTTGAGTATTTTCAATGACAAGTGGAGATGTTAAGATATGAAGGATAACAAATAGAAAAAAAAAATTATAATTAGATAAATATGAGAGTTTGTGACTATAATTCAACAAACAAAATTACACTGTTCACATCAAATTACTACATATTTGGTTTTTCATATTTAGAAACTAATTATCTACTTTATAAACCTAGTGAGGAATTTTTTTACAAGAAACAAATTTTATCTGAAAAATTTTGCTATAGGAAAAACAAACTTACAAAACTCTCATTGTGAGAATAAACTGATACTAGTGTCCATTTATAAATATATCGAATTGAATCTTTTCACTATACAACATGTTTTAATATGATAAAAAAACGCAATTAAAATTAATTTTAAACATACATCTGAATTTGACTGAAATTTAACAATAAATAATCATAAGTTGAAATCACCTACTAACAAAAATTAATATTAAGAAAGGTACAAAAACAAAAGAGAGTATAGGTGATATCATCTAACAAGTTGAATGGGGCAAAGCGTATCATTGATGGCACAATCTCTTACAAATAAACACAGCCTTCAATTTGTTTGCAGTGAATAGAAGACAAAGAAAAGCAGAACTTTCCCATTATCCTACCTATATGTCTCACTTGACCACTACAAGGGAGCACTAGATGGATGGTACTAACTATTTTTTTGTTTCTTTTTCTTTATTTATTTTTATTTTAAGAAAGTATTGTTCTATCTTTATGTATCTCATTTTTTATTTCACTTTATATATTTTTATATCTATAATAAGTAAGAGAGAAATGATAATAGAAGCCATATTAGAAAAACAAAATAATTGAGAACATTAATTATATTTATTAACATACGTGATATCTAATAATACAAAAAAAATAAAAACGATTTACCCTAGTTTACAATATTTTAAAATCATCTAGAAACTCTTGGAATTTTTAAAGACATTTTGGAGATGACATTACTCCATTATAATTTTATGAAACAATGGGTAACCATAAGAATATAACACTTAGTTAATAAATAGATTATTCCCATATGGTACTTCGGTAGCATTGAAATGACTTCTTCTCAATTGTATATTAATACGAATGCAAATGTTTCAAGTAATTGACTTCGAATTCACACAGGTTGGCATCCATTATTGAATAGTAAATCAATTAACCCTCAAACTTCATTTGCTCCAACAAAATATTTTCTTGATGAAGTGTGCAAGGTAGCTCCCAGTTGAATCTCTTGATTTGCACCCTATGAGCTTTGGACGTTTTTGAAGCCATAAGGGACATTGAACCAGATAATGGATGATTGAGCTTCATACGGTAATGTTATATCACCTTGTTTGTTTTATTTTCCTAAGTGGGTTCCACAATAGTTACTTGCCAAACAACACCTAAGTACTGTTTCATGACATTAGTCATGTTTTTCACAGTTTATAAGAGTAAAAATGCAAGAAAAATCAATTTTGCACATGTGGTAACAGCACCTAAGTTTTGTCTTTCCCTCTTTGGCAACTGCTTTGTACTCCCAGATTTTCTTGATGCGTTGCTGTGATTGGCTTTATGTCATTGCATCGTTCGCACACTGGACCAGTTTGGCGATCAACGTGACCTGTGGGAGGAACTGTGCTCCAAGAGTTGAATTTCCTTCGTCCAGGGTCCACATCGAAATACTTTACGTTACTTGCTGTATCTGCATACATAAATAGCATTTCATTTTTTGTTTGATCAAGTAAACAAATACCAATTCACAGAGAGGGGTACATTGCTGCATCGTGACGTGAAGTCCAATGTTGAACAGTAAAAATTTGTTACCAGATTCCACGAAGTGTTGCTTTCAACAGAATTCTTCGTAGAGGATTTAGTTCAGGTGATTGATCCTGACTTTGACATGTTTCATGCATTGCTTCTTTTCTGAGTCCACGCCACAACCTTGTGGTTAGTTGGATAAGGTTTACATTTTGGTATTAGTAGTGAATTAGAAAGTAGACGAGAAATGAAATATAACGATGTTGAGTGCAGAAACCCACAACATAATAAGCCCGCAATATGTAATGTGGCGAGTTAATCACTGCTACTACTATTAGTCATCATTTTGCAGATTTTAATTTTTACCACGTGACTCGCTCGCTCAATCACTGTTATTCATCATTTGGTATGCAGAGTGTTGTCCTGAGAAATGGGAACATCCAAACTGAATTGGCGATGGTCACGGAAAATACAAGATGAAGCATGAACCACGTGTTTGAAAGCTACAAGGCCCCTTCCTATCCCTATATCTCCTCTCCTCTGTGTAGAGGGGGATAGAGGGAGGGGTTTGGTTTGGCGGTGGTTGGAAAGGCACAAAATGTTTTCCCATAATCTTTTGGACTCTTATCCAATTTCATCTAATGCAGCTAAGCAGTGACTATCTTCACCTTCTAATTCAATTTCTCTATCTACAAGTTTATGACTTTGATTTGTCTTTAGCTTAGCGTCCTCTTTCATCTTTACCAATTTTTTTATTCCTACATCTTAGACGCCTATTTTCGAACTTGGATTATATATAGGAGAAACAAACATGTGGGCAGAGATTTATATTTTGACATCCCAATTTCTCAGTGGCCATTTTTTCTTAAGCCTTTTCTACCTTCCTAAATATTATAATCAGAATAGGAACTGGCTGAGAACAAGTAAAGGTATAAAAAAAAAAAGTTTAAAGAGACACATAATTGTGCATGACATCATGTCCTATGACAGCTTCCAAGCAGACAGAGTTGAAGGGAGCAAAGCTACATACAAAAATAAACATGATATATGATATTTTAAAATGGGGGGATCCTTCCGAACGAGATAAAGTTGACATACTAAACAAAATGGGGCATGTTCCTCTGGGTCAGGAAGATCTCAGGCAGGATCTCCTGTGCTTAGAAAAGATTTTAAGAGATGCATATGAAATATTCCAACATAAAGATCAGCATTTCCTCCTCATCTTTGTACACTGTCTTCATTACCCATGCCTCATAACTCGCTTATCATTATTTATCCTTTTGGAAACAGATTGAGGCTTTGCCCTTAATTTTCAGTCCAAAGGAAAATACTAGAACTTTCAGAATAAATAGAGCCTTGTCTAGACTCTTGCATACGTGTATGAAGGCCTTGTCCTTATCAATGATTAAACCCTTTTCCTCTCAATTTAAATTCACAGATATAACGTAAATTAAAGACATCCTACCTAATCAACTAGGATGACACGGCCGTGTCAATTGATTTAGTGGTAGCACTATATTTTGTCTCCCTTCACTAGAAATATGGATTGTATGATTAAAAAAAAGCGGAAAAAACCGTGCAATTGGTTTACTAAAACCATAATTAATTTCATTCGTGATACCCGCCGTATTCCTCTCATAGTTACACTCTTCTTTGTTTTAATTTGTTAACTTCGGTTCTCCTTTAGCATTTTTAGGTTTGCATTAGAAGTTTTTATTACAATTTTTTGTGAGATTGGAGCAGATCAGTCATCTCCCACAGTATTACTTTGGACTCACTTAAGATGATTATTCTGTGCCTAACTGAGATCTCAACTACACAAAAAGATTGAGGAACATGTTGTCAACCCCGAGACTTCATTTCACTTGTCTGTTAAAGAAATTTTGCATTTCCAAAGCACTTAAAGGAGATAACTATGCCCCCCCCCCCCTCTGAATTTTGAACATGGGCACAAGTTCCACTCTACTCAAACTTAACCAACCAGGCATCTGCAACTTTAGCCTTTGATGTGTAAAAGTTGTTCGCATTAGTATTTTATTCCCTTGATGGACACAAACAAAAGTTTGGTCATTTTGTTTTTGGAGAATATGCGGTTGAAGAATTAAATATTTGTTTCATTTATTTGTTTGGCAACAGTTGCTAGTGCTGCTTTGCTTATATAAATTGAGCATGGGACTTCGTCAAAAACAAAGATTGAGCATGCTTACATTACATAGAACCTGCCTAACTTATCTGTCTTGTGTACACTATTCTTTGACAAGAAATTAAATTATCTAAGGAAAAGGAAAGAAAAAAGGTTTATTTCTAAATTTTCCTTTCAGGTTGTTTCTCAATGGATTGACAGCTAAAATATACGATAAAAGAAAACAAAGGAACAGAATCCCTTTTGAGATCAGCCTCCTTCTGCATCATCAATGATTCTGCCCTCCATGGATCTTCAGTATCTTCCACCGCACAAGTTGAATAGCAGAGATAGCTATTAGTAGAAATAGAACTAATCTTTATATCATCCCCATTTCTTTCCCTCCGTACCATCTGTCAAGAACAGAAAACAATGGAATGGTAACATGATAAATTAAAATACTGCTTGGGATACAGTCATAAAGATAGACCAGTGAACAGAAGAAGCATTTGCTTACTTGTTTTCAACACCATTTTCTGATAGGGATGGTTCTAAAAAGCCGAAGTGTTCTTGCGATGAGGATCTCTCCTATAAGAAAACGAATATTTTCAGATGAGTTGGAATAAAATGTACCCTTGAAAGAAAGAATCAAGCCAATGAAGTACCTCGTAATAAGTAGCAGAGAAACCATGTGAGTAATCTAACATGCTCTCGTTGGAAGTTTGCTGGTTGGTCACTGTGACATTGTTCTGAAAAATGATGAAGAGCCAAGATAGTATCAGTCATCTATATATCATACAGTACAAGTACAACTAAAACCGGCCATGATTATTTTTAGTACTAGAAAAATGAGTGAGGGTCATACGGCACTGCAATTAACTGCAAGCAAGATCAAACTCACCATTGAGAGATCAAAGACAGGAGAGCTGGCAGTGTCATCAAGAAAAGAAGGCAGCTGTTGGTATTCCTTGACCTTCTGCCTCTTTTTACTTCTCTTGCCAAGTTTCGCTGCCTTAGATGCAGAGTAAAAGCTTCCATTATCTTGTGCATCTGGAAAGTGTGGAGGCCCAGAAGAAGCATCCGAAACCATAGACAGGTCCTCTTCCTCAACCTCCTCCTTTTTAGCTTTCTTGTCTTTGTATTCGTCATTATCTTCACCAATAAACTGCGAACTAGTATGTGAGGGGGCATTGTGGTTCAGCTGGAAAGAGTGCTCCAGGTATAGAGTCCAACCAGACTCGCACCCGCTGCTGCATTGTGAAGCCAATGCATTCATCTTCGTTTCCTTGGCTGCTGCCGGTTCCCAAAGGAATGAAATCTAAAATGGTGGGTTGGTTATTCACTTATTCCCGTTTCTACTACGAAGGAGCGTCCAATTTATGATGAAGAGTGTAGTGGTAAAAAGGATAAAAAAAGAGGGTTAAACAAACTTTGATGAAACATGGCATTACATAGTGTAGCCTATTATTAACTGCGTGGCAACGTGGCTTTCTAGTTTTGGTTTCGGGTCAGCACCAAGTTGGATAAAGTGTTGGAGAATACCAAGAGAATCGGACTCAACTCCTAGACTAGTTTTGTCCTGACTCTCCTCCCATCTGTGCAAAGTGACAGTTGGGTGGGTTATAGAGGGATGCATGTAAAGAGAGAGAGAGATCAACAACACCCTTCACATGCTAGACAGCGATGCACTGTGTACCCTCTTAACAAAACCGGGTACACGTCCATTTCCCCTTCCACACTGTATGGACACCTATCCCTTCAGCAGTGATGCCTCTTCTCTCTCTCTCTCTCTCTCTCTCTGTGTGCACGCATTATATGTCCCAATTTGGGAGAAGATTACTACTAACATACATTAGTAAAGGGTGGCGTTTATATTTGAGAACAAAATTACTAATAGTTGGAGCAGAAGTGGTCCAAGAAAAAAAATGTGGTCCAGACTTAAAAATGGGTTTGATTTAGTACCCCATAAGTGTGATTTAGTGTTCGAATGTGGAAAGGAAATATGCTGTTCTGGACATAAACAACACACATTATTTAACATCTTTGTGCCTCTTTTTTTCCTTTTCTGTGCCCATCATGTGTGACGACTAAAGAATGACTCAACGGAAACATGACACTCTTTTATAGTTTGTGCTGTCATTTGTTTAGATTGCCCCAGAGCAAAATGTGCGGGTTGTTTTTTATGTCAGTCTCATTCTCAAAATAAAAACATTACCACCACCACCACCACCCTTTTCTTTTTGTGAAGAGATTCTATTACTATGCATGCAAATAGAGAAAAAGAATAGAAATAAGACATGGGTTTGGCAGAACTACGACAATGGAGACTGTAAAATTTTTTGGGGCACAGTGCAGTTGACTGGGATTTTATGAATCCACATGCAATCACATTCACAATCCTTTTCTCCTTTTCAAGAATTTACTCTACTAGGATTCACACAACCATGTGAGCACGTGTGCATAATATTCATATGCGGGCTTCCACATATTCAGACACATGTCTGCACGTGCACACGCACTTTTATCTAAATCCCTCTTCTCATCTTTCATTTTAAATTCTCATCTGTAAAATTCTTTTTTACAGCAAACTATACTGTCATCACGGATAGAGTCAGTACACTTCTTTAAAAATTTAAATCAAACTTATTCAATTTATTCCTTTCATCAGAAAAAAACATAAAAAAAATTATCTTACAAACTCCAACCATCTTAACCTGGTCATGAGAGGAATATTTTGGATTAGCTAATTGGGTTCATACATATAGCTTAAATAAACTCGATTTTATGTTTATACAATTGATAAATAAAATACTATGTCCTTAATGAACTTCTTAATGTTTTGATGATTAGACTATATTAGGGTTTTTGGTGATTGCCTTTACCAGTGTTAGCTTCTCTTTATTTTCTGTTCTTTCTTTGTTCTATGTACTAAATAACGAGGAACACCACCCAACGAATGTAATAGGTGATATTGCACGTTGTAGAGTTTACGTTTATAATTTAAATTTCTTTTCCAGCTTTTATATCTTTCTAAATCTGAATACGACATATTTTAAAATTCAGTTGAACAGCTTTTTAATATGCTATTTTCTTATTTATGAATTATGAAAATGCATTTACTGAGGAGCTGTAGTTATGATTTTGTGTTTAAAATATTTGTGGAGAAGTGACTTGCCAATAAAGAAATACTGTGTGGATATAGTTTAGATGCAATACTATGAGGCATGATTCTTTCTAATCTTAAAAGGTGTTGTGCACGTGTTGATGGTCAAATTAGCCAACACCATTTTCTTTAAAACATTTTTTTAATTAATAACCTTTATGCCACGTTTGTTATTTCTCCTAAGAATGACAAGGGAAGGATATTTGGAACGGAAAGTGCAGTGGCCGCAGAGAGCAATTGTATTCGGGTGATTTGGGCCATCAACTTAGCCCAGTTGAGGTATTTCTTATTTCAGACAACTATTTTTCTCCTAATTAGCCCATCACTATATGCAACTACATCTCCTAATGCAGTTTGTGAATGAGTATTGCTACCAACATTAACCACCTCCAAACATTGCTATCTTAACATTAAGTACATTAAAAGAAATTATATATATCTAAATTCTTATATTCTCAAAGAAAGGTCAAGAAATGCATATAGTAGATTATTTGGGCTTTCATCTATCACTGAAATTACTTCATTTTAACACCCCAATAATAAATTTAACCATTGTTTGTGATTCCAAGATAGGAAAAAAATACATGAGAGAAGAGCAGAAGTATTATTTTTATATGCATCCAATAATATAACTTTCAATCGAAATTCATGCACGTGGCCAAGCTAACAATGTCATTGTGACAGCCTATAAAAACACTGTTCCACGCATGATATGCATCCATTGAATCATTATTGTGCTTTCATTCCATCATTTTGCCTTTATGTCCATTTCTTTTTGTACCATCTTCTAACCATTCTTTAGTTACTGTTCATTCATAAAACTATATCCCACTTTTGGTCCAATGAAAATACAACGAGAATTGTGAGTAAAACAAAAGAAACAGATTCCACAAATATTGTCTAAAACAACTAAATGTAATAATATCTCAAACATAATATAAAATCAACAAGAATTAAATATTTGTACATGTTATGTTGTGATTAATAATATGAAAGATATTAAAATCCGTACATGAAATAATATAAGAATATTCTATAAATAATGTATTAAATATAAATCTATTTTTATCTTTAACAAAGTTATATACTAATTTATCCTCAAATTAAGTAATTTGTCTCTTGCATTTTTTTCTTTCTTTTTTTAATTTGGTGAGATATCATCAATTTAACTTTTTTCAACAAGGTCATGTTATATTTACATATGTTATAATTCATTTTCTATTAAGAATAATTTGCTCTTAAAGTTGAAGTTAGGAAAAGAACTATCTTATCTTATGATTCTCCCATATTATTTTGGATTCGTTTATACTTGTATTTCAAGTTGTTGAATTTATTTGTCCCCTCAAAATTACCTTGTTTTAAAAAATGGTAATTGAAGAATTGGACTAAGATCAATTGAATGTATTTTTATAGTAATCATAAAAATAACTCATAATTAAAATAAAAAATGAGAAAATAGAAACAAAACAAAGATTAATATTCTCTCTTAGAAATAAGAGAACTTAACTACTATACAATGAACTAGTAAACAAAAGAAAAAAAAGATTTTGAGTGATTTACAAAATAAATATTGTGTTCCTTTTATAGCAAGAAAAGTAAAAATCAACATATAATTTATCTGAGACTTTTCTTCTCACATTCTCATTACCTTAGTTTTTTTGTGATGAGAAAAAGTTCAAAATATCATATACTTAACTTTGAAATCTTTTTGAAAACTATATGTTGTTTGTGTGATTATAGTTTTACGAAAATATTGTTTTCTATTTTAAAGAAACACATCATTATACTATTTCATATAATATTTAGTCTTATTCAAATTCATCTTTAATCTATTAGGAACATCGTCTCTTTACAATAATTTTTCTAAGTCAAAATAGGATTTCTGAATATGGAACAAGTGAGATAGATCCCTACGTTAGACTGTAATTTACCAATATTTAGCTCCTATTATAATTTAATGAAATTCTAAGTCTCACAATGTTAGGAAATACAAGTATGATTGTAAGTCTCAGATTGGGTAAGAATGTGAAAATTGAATAAAAGGAAATATAACCCATAAGTCAATGTCTTAAGATGTTGGGTTAAGAGTAATGTCAATTCTTATGGGAGTTGAGTTTTTGTCTTGTTAGCGTTTTTCCTATATAATTAAATAATAGATACATTTTTTAGATATAATAATAAATTTTTTATCTATTTGTTTCCTTTTTTTTACAATAAAAAAAAAAGAATGCTTGGATTTCTATAATATTCAAATGGTTTAATTACGTATGTTCAATTTTGTTTAATTACAAAATTTAATATTTATAATTTTTTTACATAACATGTAAATCATATAATTTGTTTTTCTCCTGTTTCATCTATGCATGAACATGCGTTTCGCATTATGATTTTTTGTGTTGTTAGAAAAACAGTGAGATTTTCATTTGGAAGGAAGGATGATAAAATTGTAGATTTGTTGGTTTGAGAAACATGTATAAAATTTTGTGAGATTTGTGTTTTAGAAATTTGGACTTAGATACTATTTTGGGATATAATCACTAGAGTTAGAGGACTTAGTTAAAGCCCATTTTACTCTTATTATATATATATATATATATATATATATATATATATATATATATATATATATATATATATATATATATATATATATGGGTTAATTGAATTATAAAAATGATTTAAATATTATAGTGTTTTGGTTTTAATCATGTTTGATCTAAATTTCAAGATAATAGTTATTATTTATAAATTTGTTATTGGTACGAGTTTTAAAAGGATTATGATAAGAATTAATAAAATTATCATATCTAATAATTTATCATTATATATATATATATATATATATATATATATATATATACCAATATATAATATTTGTTTTTCTTATACTTTTACTGTGCATTCATTTTAATCAAACTACTATAATTTAGCTATTGATTAAATAACACAATTGAGACCGAGTTTTGTTACCTAAATAATTTTTTCAATTTAATTTTCTTATAATAATTTAATTTGGAACTCATATTTATGTTTGAAGAAGCTTTTGAACGGATGGTCCAAATTTAAACTGATATCACCCTTGGACGAATGATTTTAGTCCAATATGTGTTTTTAAGCTTGGTCCATTCTAAGTCTATTAATAAAATATTTTGGTTATTTTATATTTTTTTAAATTAATATAAAATTAGATCCAAAATATTTTTAAACTTGATGAAATTAATTTAATTTTAGATTTAATAATTCGAAATGTAATTTATATAGTATATTAATAAAATAATATCATTTATATTATTTTAAAATAAATTTGTTATTTTATTAAATGAAATCTATAAATATATAATTCAATTTAATCTAAATTTATGATATCATAGTTAAACGATAAAAAAAAATTAATTATAACACAGTTTTTTTATCATATGACTATTTTATTTTTGGACTCTTGAATTAGGCTCTATTTGTGGTGCCGTATTTATGATGTTTTATTTAAATATAAATTGAATGATAGATGTTATTAATTTATATTTTTTTCACATTCTTTTGAAACTACCTTTTATCATTAGTTAAAATTTATTACAAATTATCTGATTCGAAAAAAAAAGATACAAACAAATTGTTCGATTTTATATTAATTTGAAAAATATATTTCAATCTATCATTTATCTTCTTAACTTAAAATTATTTACAACTAAAACCTGTTTTTAAAATTATTTAATTTTAAAAAATAAATACATCGCTCTTCTCATTTAATATCAATTGAAAATTTCATGCCAAACAAATCTTATTTTTCTTTTTAAATAATTAATGATTTTAATATTATTTTCCTTTTATTTTTTATTTTACTTAATATATTTATAGTCCTCATAAATATAATTTATATTTTTCAATCTTTGTAAAAGTATTGATTAATTATAAATTCCTAATATTTTTTAACCAGCAGCTATAATTAGTTCTTATAACGGAGATCGCAGATAATTTACATGTATACAAATGAGTATTTATATGTTAGAAAAAAGCTTTATCACAAAAAACCAAATATGAAATGCACAAATAAGGATTAGAATATTAATATAGTTATAAAAAAAAAAATTGTGAGAAATGGTTGTCCAGGTATTTGACAGAGAATAGATGGGTCCCAGGGCAGAGAAGAATATTGAGTAAGAAAATGAGAAATGACGTGGCCTGGTGTGTGTGAGGGGAGATATATCCCAATTCTTCTTCTCCATCTTCTCTCATTCATTCATTCCTTCCTTCCATCACAACCCAATGAGCTATTACAACCCCCAACAGCAACCGCCCGTCGGAGTTCCGCCGCCGCAAGGTCCCTCATCTCATTTTCTTCAATCTCACTTTCTTTCGCATTCATATTCTAATCCTTTCATTTCACAGGTTATCCGCCGGAGGGCTACGGAAAGGAAGGATATCCACCTCCCGGATACCCACCGCCCGGATACCCGCCGCCCGGATACCCACCTCCCGGATACCCCCCACAGCAAGGCTATCCTCCACCGCCCTACCCCGCCCAGGGCTATCCTCCGCCCTACGCTCCTCAATACGCTCAGCAGCCTCCGCCCCCGCAACAACAAAATTCAACTGGTTGCTTAGAAGGCTGGTGTGTGTGTGTGTGTCTCTCTCTCTCTAATTCATTAATTTGGATCGCCGAGTCAGATCCGATCCGGCTCTTGACTCGGTCCCCGTTAGACATTATTGGTTATAACTGCTTCTTTACATTCTTTTCTTGGAGACTCCGTCACGCGCTGTGTGTGTGTGTGCTAGATTCATTGTTTGCGTGGATCCAGTGTTTAAATAAAATACCATGTTTTTGCAGAGTTGAGGTTACATTGCATTGAAAGAACAAATTTTCAATTACGAGATTGAAGTTTATATGTTGTATTACTATTGTCCATTTTCATGCATGCTATGGCACTGCGATTGTTCCACGTTGATATTGATTTTTTGGAATTTATAAATTGTGCAGTTTGGCTGCTCTATGTTGCTGCTGCCTATTGGATGCCTGCTTCTGAGATGACGCCATGAAGTCAATGAAATTTGTGTCTCCTTCTCTTTTATCTTTGCTTTGCCTTGCCCCTTCTTCACTTTTTTTATTCTTTTAAATAATATGAACTACAACTTGCTTCCAAAGGTCTAACTTTGTGTTTCTTTCATTCTACTCCTTCATCACACTCGCTCATCAAACCATCCAAACATAAACAATCAGAGGTTCCAAAACAAAACCACTCAAATAGCTTCCATTGAAAATGACACATCTAATTTGTAATAGAATTTCCATGGGGCATGATTGATTGTTAGAGCAATACAGTTCTCGTAAGTTAGCTCTGTTATGAAGAGAAACATTGTTTGTTCTGTCTCTTTTTTGTTTTGTTTTTTCTTTTCACCATTTTGCTATAAATTATGCTTAAATTCGTAATTTTGTCTACATATGATGGCAGGTCAATCATTAAATGGGTCATAACTGGATCCGGTATTAATTGAGGAATAGATCTGATTAAAATATGAGGTTAATTTTAGCAGAGCTAAACTCTATGCAACTCTTGACCTATGAACCTTTGCCGATACTTAAAAAGGTAAAACTTCATCGTTTGAGAAACAGAAAAGTACATATATTGTGCTAAAATAAAATCAATTTCATTATTCAAAATTTAGTGACTCGAGGAATTGAAACACCATTTATATGTACTCTCTCGCGCTCTCTCGTAAATGATTAAGAACAATTTAAAAAATTAAAATAATATTAAATCTTATATACAAAACACGTCAAATAAGAAAGTTTTTTAGTAGACACGTCAAATAAAAAAAAAAGGTTTTTACTTTTATTATTATGAGAACAAGAAAAATTAATATTATTATGATTTATCAATTAAAAACTTAAAATGTATACCATTTTTACTTTAACTAACTTTTAATTTAGATCATCAGTGTGTAATTGGACGGTAAAAATTCGTTATTTTCAATTTCATAATTATAATTTATGAATAAATACACAATTATAGTATGAATAAATTATCTGTACAAGTTTTTATATATATATATATATATATATATATATATATTTAAAAAATACAATACTTTTAATATATAATAGTTCAATTGATTGTAAACAGGATGGTCTATGGAAATTATAAACTTGATGAAAAACTTTTTCTCATTCCATCGACCAACACTTCTTTTAACTGCAAATTTTTGTTGACTTCAAGTAGTATTCAATTTCCCTATTAATTGACTAATACCCCACTAGAAATGTGCATATGTTTTAATATATTTTTTACTATAGGTCGAAATCTATTGTAAATTATAAATCCGAACAAAACTTATAAAAAAGACATGAAATTAAGAATATAATCAATTTTTATATACTGTGATACTTGTTAAAGTTTTTTCATAAAAACATATTAAAATCTAAAACATACAACTAAATACTTATAACCATAATAGCAAAATTAATAATATATATATAGACAAATATTTCAATTTACTTAATATGAGTTAATATAAAAATGTTTAACAAATAGATTGAGTTTTCACCTAAAAATAGAAGACAAAATTTAGTGTTGAAATAGAAAAGATTCTTCAACGAGGTCATTACTCTTTTCTTGAGTTTCTCGTAAACAAGATTGTGTATAAAATAAAGCAGGATAAGATTATTTTAAACAGCTTACTAATTCTTTTGCTTTCGCCTCCCTGCTTCCCGATTGTTACGAAAACCTTCCACCGAAGTTGGTAGAATTTCAGAAACCATTTGAATTGGGTGAGATTTATCAGCGAATTAAAGATTCTTCATTTCAATTTTTTTCTTGCTTTTCCAATTCCAGCTCAACTCCATCCCCTCATCTCATCTCAATTCTATTCATACTTTTTAGTTTTTTTATTTATTTTTTATTATCGTTATGCATATTATGTTGGTGCAATTTACTGTTGATTATGTACAATAAGGTTCGTTTTGTTTTTTGGGATTGGGAGTGCAAGATTGTTCTTCTTTATTGAATTTCTGTTTTCGGAGGAAATTAACCCAATTCATGTATTGACACTCGCACCTGGTTTTCGCCTTATTTACCCCTTTTATGGAGTAATTTTCAGAGGTTTCATCAAACATAACTCTCTTTTTTGGTGCATTCTTTATACTATAGGATCCATCACCCCGTCATATGGTTGCGTGGTGAAACTTGCTGGTTTTGTTCATTCTGAGACATGTAATAGGAAGCATCATTCAAACTCATTAATTCTTCATCGAAGTTTAAAAGGCTTAGTGGGGTTAGCTTTTCAGCTGCAATCTTAGTGCTTTAAATTTGGTTTCATTCTCTTTGTGAATCTCTTATGTTTGATTCGATGGTATAAACTACTAGCTCTGGGTTTTGACAAGAATTGAACTTTCAAATTTAACGGTTTAATTGTTTTTTGCCCCAGAATGGCAGAGAGTCCAGATGATGAATCATTGTTGGCTAGAATACGACAACTGGAACGGGGTATCTGCATTTTTTCTTGTACATGTTAATTTGACTCTTACAATGGATGGTTTTAGGTTTAGTAAGAACACTTTACCGATGTTAATTTGATTAAACTGTTGTCTCTTGTAAACTTTTATTTGGCATTGAAGTAATTTATTATAGTTATCGAACTTACAGAGTATATATAATTTTGTAGAGCGTGATGAATTACACAAAGATATCGAACAGTTATGTATGCAGCAAGCTGGGCCTAGCTATCTTGCTGTGGCTACCCGAATGCATTTTCAAAGGTATCTATTTATTTTCCTACTCTCAAGGCAATCTACTTGCAATGAGTATATATTGCCGTCATCCCAACAAAGAGTATCCATTATATTCAAATCTATGCCCAATTAGGACAGCTGGATTGGAGCAGGAGATTGAGAATTTGAAAAAGAATTTGGCTGCTTGTATAAAAGACAATCTAAATCTACAAGAGGAGCTTTCTGAGGCATACAGAATTAAAGTGAGTTATTGCAATTTTTTTGACTTTGTTGTTTAAAAATTTGTCTTATTTTGTTTACATACTTTACTGTATTCAGGGTCAACTGGCAGATCTGCACAACGCTGAGGTTTCAAAGGTCTCTCTCTTTCTGCTCACCCTTTCTTCATTTTGTTTTTCACTCTAGTATCTTTTGCAACTTGTGGATTGTTGGATCCAAAATTACAAACAGATATTACTTATTACATTTATTTGCTCTGAACTTTTTTTTATACTAATTGAAAGTTTTATAATGAATTATGGTGAGAACATGATGGGACGAATTCTTGATCCTATTTATAAATTGATTGTGATCAAGCTATAGTTTGTTGAAAGAGTTAACATGTTTTGAATTTTGTGATTTGTGAGGTTTATGGTTTTGGTTTGTACTCTGACTTAGTTGTACACGAGGAATAATGTTACTAGTGACTTCAAATTTTACATGTCCAGAATATGGAAGCTGAGAAGCAGGTAAAATTTTTCCAAGGTTGTATGGCTGCTGCTTTTGCTGAAAGGGATCAAGCAATAATTGAGGTTACAATAGTTGCCAATTTCATTAAAAAAATTCGTTTTTAGTACTACTTTTTAATTTTGTTGTAGTTGATATTTTCAAAATTTCTTGTTATACTAACAGGCTGAAAAGGCCAAAGAAAAGGAGGAGACAATGTTGCAACAAATAAATGGCATCCACAAGAGGTATTCTCAATCTTTGTGTCATTTTAGTGCTTGCTTATCTATGATGAATAATTACCAAGGAAAGCTGAAATAGAAATAGGTGGCTTAGGTGGTCTGAGAAAAGATCCTGTTTTTATTTTATATAAGTAGAAGATGATAATGACATGATGCAATTGTTCCTTGATTGTGTTTGGTGTAACCAATAAGCTATGGGACAAACATATAGTGCGATCTACCCAATAATTATAACAACTATGGCCAATGCAAGATGCATGCTTTACTTTTTCTCGTCAGTGATTTTCAATTTAAGTGATTTATTAATCTTACATGGTAAACTAGGGATGTTGTATTTTCGTATAGTCTATATTGGTTTATGTTGAAACTTTGCTTAAAAGTTGCAACTGTGTCTGTGCTCTTTATATGGGGGGCTATTTGAACTCTCTATTAAAGGTGTTGATTGCTTTTCTGCATGTTAGTTTCTTAAGCAAGATTGAAAGGTTAAAACTTATGTGCCTATCACATCATTACCCATACCACTGTTCTGTATTATCTTGTTTTTATGACATGTAGGATATATTTACGTGGGAAACATTTTTTTATTTTACTTGCAATTTATCTTTAACACAGGGTAGAGGAGCTCACCGCAGATTGTCTAAAACTAAAGGAATTTAATGATGCTCTGCAGATTGATCAATCAGTACATATGAAGCAAAATGAAGACTTTAAGAAAGTAGTGTTCTCGCTCTCTTTCCCCCTCTGTGACTCTCTATCTTTCGTTTTTTATTTCCTTTGTTATTCAGCACAAAGCTTAACCAATGGTTTCTTATGATACAGAAGTAATACTTGAAAATGAGTTGTCCTGCATATTTCCTATCCATTTCTTCATTAAGCGATATAGGACAAAATACTTGTTGTGGCATTTAATGGATCTTACATTCATTACTCAACTTTTGGGCCTCTATTTTTATCTTTTTATGAATTTCAGGTAATCGATAAGTTCTTTCAGATCAGGCAACATTCTGTGGAGGAATTTGAAGATACAAGTTGGGAGGAGAAATGTGCATGTCTTTTAGGTGACCCCGTGGAGGTGTGGAGTTTCAATGATGCTTCCACCTCTAAATACATTGTAAGATTTCAAAAACCCGATATTTTCTGTCCTTGATTATCAGGGGTTGCATTCCTTATGTTATGCTGGTTATTCAGTATGCTTTCCAGCATGACACGTGCAAAAACTCACCGCATCCATTTGAACCTAGTTTAATTTTGCATGCTATTTACTAATGTGAAGAGAGATAGCTGTTGTTACATTGGAGATTATTGTATTGAGATTCTATATTCTCTACATCTTGTGAATAACACTTTCTCAGACAGAGTGCATTAGAAGAACAGCTGGAGAGACTTAGGAATTCCAAGGATTATCTTCAAAATAAACTGAGGGTGGTATGATCTAATTTATCTCTGTTATCTTATGCTGCCAGTTAACCTTATTTTTCAGTTATTCTTTATCTGTTTTTGATGCTTTAGGGTTTGGAAATTGAAAATCACTTGAAGAAGAGAGTCAACTTATTGGAAAAGAAACAGGTGAGTACTTTCAAAATTCGAATAAAAAGTCATTTTAATACATCTGTTTATTCTGGATTCTGATGACTCATGTTCAGATTTCTATGGACAAAGTGATTGACAACGGCATAGCAGACTTGAAACATTATCATTCTAAGTGTAGAGGTGAAATTATGAATTTAATTGGTGATGGAGAATCCATTGTTAAATCCATAATCAATGTGATTGATGAAAAAGTCCCGAGTTTTGATCCGAATACTGTACCAAATTTGACCCCTCAAAGAGATGCAGAACTAGAAGAGTCTGAAGGTGTGGATATACATATAAGCCCTGAAGCTAAACCGGTCTCTGAGTCCAAGGTTTGAACTCCATGCTAATACCAAATTCCTTCATTTTTGTTAATAGCAAATGGTGCACTTGTAGAGCTATAGATAGCGCATAGTGTAGTAAAGGAATATGATTTATTTAATATTCTAAGTTACAGATTTACTGTAGCATACTTTTCTTGAAGATGTACATGGTTGAAAATTAAAATTATTATACTATTACACTTAGAATTACAAATTAAAACAGCGGACTAAAAAGAAGAGATCTAGAGGAAAAAGAATGACATAACATCCAAGGAAAATGAGTTTTTTTGTCAGTCCAATCATTGTGAAGCTGAAATTGGGCTGGTCACTTTTGAGGATAATGTGGCCAGCCAATCATGTTTTAGTGATACTTGGTCAGATGTAATACTTTCATGCCCATCTGATTACTTCCAAGCTGAAAACAGGCCATCAATGACAAAGAATGCAATGGGTTTACCTAAAGCTTTTATAATGTATTCTATCAGTAATATAAACTACTGTTTAATATAATAAACAAGTTCACAGAATTTTTTATTTTTATTTTTTAGTTTAGAAAAATTAATTATGATGGTATAATAATGGCAGTGCTTTCATAAAAGTATGTCTTAACTTGGTCTAGTTCACAGCCTGGCTTCATTTCACTGAGTTGTGTTGATATTGACATTATGCAATCCTTGAAATTCATTAATTTTTTATTACTCTTTCACAGAGGAACAGTCCTACGCCACTGTCAGCGGATGCTGGTTTAGAAGGTGATGCATCTGATGTTTTAGCAATGGCATTGCACGAGAAGGTATTTTTATCATGTTCTAGTTAAAACTCATGTATTTAGTTTCTCTTTTTCTTATCACTAATCAAGGTATTTGTGCTTCCAATTTATTGCGAGCTAACTTTCTGATATTTACCATACTTTATATTTCAGGTTTCTGCGTTATTGCTTTTATCACAGGAGGAAGAAAGACATCTATTGGAGAGAAATGTGAGTTCGGCACTCCAAGGAAAAACTGAAGAACTTCAGAGGAACTTGTTGCAGGTACTTGTCTGTAACATAATTGTTTCAGACACATGGAACACTGCGATTACTGATATTCTAGTAGCTTGGTGCTAGTAAGGGTCTAGAAAATGGTTTATGGTTTTGTTAAGTGTACTATATAGACTATCTTGATCTAAGAAGAATGTTAGTTGTATGTTTGCGATATTTGGATTAGTGGTTACTATATATATATATATTTTATTCATAATTTTTTCTATTCATATTCTTCATCAGTGTTGCTATGCCTATGTTCCCCTTCAAGATATATAAATAGCTTGTTAGAAATAACTTTTGTGCCTCTAAATTGTGGGTCAGAGCTATAAAATTTTAGAACCATATGTGCAAGGACCCATGATATTAATTCATTGTTTACAAATAGTTTTTTACTTGCAAATGACTTTTTTTTATACTTCAGGTTACTAATGAAAAGGTGAAAGCTCTCATGGAATTGGCTCAATTGAAGCAGGAGCATCAATTGCTTTTGGAGTATGATTTCTTTTATGATGATAGTTTCTAATTCAATAATTTTTGCATCACTGTATATTTTACACATTAACTGTTATTTTGTAGTGAATTTTTCCCAAAGCATTTGTGCCTGTTTTCTTCAGTAAAAATATCCATAGAAAAAATTAGTATTTTTATACTTCTGTTTCTTGTGTCATTTAACCATTTTAAAGGATAAAGTTGCATTAACATGCTTTGCTGTCTACTGTTTTTCGTGAGTGTATCTTCTAAGGTAGTATTTGACTTAACTTTCCCTCCATAAAAATAGACGCTCCTCTAATTAGCTTCTCTAAAAGTTCAACATTTTTGGGCTTTTGTTCATTAAAAAAAGTTATGGCTCAGCTTCTCCATTTAAGGAGAGGAGAAACTCAAAAGAAAAGTTGGGAAAAATCCTATGTAAGTTAATGATTTTGATTATCTTCAACTCTTCATGGTTAACTGGACATCGTGTGAAGAGCTGAAATGCTACTACACTAGTACACAATTTTATTTTTTTGGGGTTAAAAACTAGGTACCTTTAAGATACTGAACTAAGAAGCTCAAAGGTGTGTTTTCTTTCTTATTTTCGGAAACAACAACAACCACCACAACCTTATTTCTATACAAATTACAGTCTTCATGGTGTCTAATTTTTGGCTGTGATTGTCCTTCCAACACTGCCACTTCTCCCTTCTGGCACCCTGTTGGTATTTCTTTTCAATCTGGAAATTTTAATAAAATATAGATTTATTTTATTGCATGCAATCAAAGTAATAGAATATATTTATGCAACAAAAAGAATGCACCCATATCTCTTCCTCTATTCTTGCGTTTAAAGGATTTTACTCCTTTTTTGCCCGCAATTTGATTCTTCATTCATCAGCCGTCAGTTGAATTTTATCCCTCTCTTTGTGTTTCTTTCTATTGCTTCTTCAAAAGATTCTCCTTCATTAATATGCTATGCAATTTTGATTTCGTTCTAATGCATATGCAGAAACTTGGGTAATGAACCTAAGCAAGGGGAAGGCGTGGGCAACACTGGAGGTGGAAAGCTTGTTAGGCGTGAAAGAGATGGAACTTTAAAGAACTTACTGAAGAAGTCGTATTTGAGACGATGGATTGGCCCGCAGGATGTTAGTGGTAATGAAGTGGCCAGTAGTTCAAATAATGAAGGGAAAACATTCAATCATCAGTCCAGCAGTATGGATTTTGCAAGGTATGTGTTAATTTTGGGATTTTGTGTTTTCTAATTCTATTCCTTTAATGGGGTGATAGTGGCTGGACCTACGTTATTGTGGCAATTAAAATTTTAGGGTGGAGGGATGATACCCTTAGTCCATGGTAAAGATTACAGAAAGCCTTATATTTCATAATACTTTCGAGGACTTCACATTTAATTCACGCGAAGGGGAGGAGTAGATTTGTCAAACCTAAGATTCTGCCTTACTCCACTCTATTAATCCCTTCGGATTCTGGATAATTTAACTCGAAACCACGCCCTATCTATTTTAAGATAGCATTCCCTTTGGTGTCTCTTTTCAGCATTCTGTTTACTTACATACATAGTTTACTTCTGTTTACCAGAATAAAGATTGAAAATGCAACTCTTAAGGAAAGCATGGAAAGCATGGAACATTTAACTTCATCCATTCATAGGCTTCGTCTCTCTCTTTCAAAGGTATCATACTGTTTTGTTTGACATCAATTAAAATTTGGATAGTTGAAAGAGACCAGGGGAAGAGGGATCCTCATGGTGGGACTGCATTTTTTTGGGATCATAAATAGAAATTGTTTAACTTAAGCTGTTAGCGCTGAATAACAAGAAATTGTATCCTGTTTAGTTTTTTGAAACGTGAAAGCTAAAATGTATTAACATGGTGTTTAGGCCAAGGAGTGTGTTAGTTCGGAAGGTACAGTTTCCGGTGTTTCAGAAATTCTTAACGACGTTATTCGTGAGGCAGAACTTTTAAGGACTGCTCTTGGCAGCTCCTTGCCGACCAGCTGGTCGGTTGAGGCAGATATTAGTTACATTGGATACAGCAGCGTGGGCAGTGACAGGGGGCATGAGGAGGGCGGTGATGAGAAGATGGACACTGTTTCTGCTGCAGGGCTCCAAATGGTTGAGCTTCTGATTTTTTCAGCTCAGATTTTGAGGGATTTACAATCCAACATGGTATTGGTTCCGAGTACAGAATTTGTATGAACTGATCCTTGTGTGGTAATATAAGCCATCTTAGGTGCTTTGTTGAATACAATTTGACAATTTGTTGAAAATTCGTGTTGTGTTTTTCACAACTCTCATGCCCCTGAACTTCTTTCTTTCCTTGCCTGATGTCAATTGTTTTGCCGCTATAATATGACTCAATATTCTTTCTATTATATTGTCTTTATGTTACTCTGTCATGTTTTTAAGATTGTAATTTATTAACGTATCGTATCAACGGAGATATTCTTTTTCATATGATTAATAGTATAGAAGGCTAGGATAGATAGTTTTTTTTTTTCTTGCATAATCTATCAGTTAAATAATTTTTTTTTTCACTATTATTTTTATAGTCAAATTGTTAAATTCCTCGAGTTATTTATCAAATAATGTTAAGCCGTGCTGATGAGTTCCCTTGACACTAACGTGGAATTGACCTAACATGTATACTAATGTCAGATACATAATCAACACTGTATCAGTGGCCAAGTTAAGAGAGTTGATCGAAAAAATTACATTGATCATTTTTTAAGAAAATAGACCAAGTTGAGACAAAAAATAATAGTGAAACAAAACTAAAAAAAAGTCAACAAATAATAATAAAAAAACTATTTAGCCTAATATATTTATCTTATAAGTGAATGTGCGTTAGGATAATACAATGTGAATAAATACACGTGTAACTTTTAGATTAATTCTAATAATTTGTACATAATAAATTTTATCTATCCAACATTTATATTAAAATTTTCATTTAAGTAAATAAAACTTATTTTTTAAACTTTTAGAATTATTTGCTACTTCAATAAATAAATTTTATTTAACGTATATGTTTTTAAAAATATAAATTTTGTTTATCATAATACCAAGGATATATAAAATTTATTTCAAGTGATCGTTGAATCATTATTAAAAATATTTAAAATTAAATTAATAAAAATTTAAGGTAGACACATCGTCTAACTTAATATGCAAATTCCTACATAAGTCATTAGAATTTAAAAGTGCATTAAGATTGTATGAAATTTGATACAATATCTATCATATAATACAGCAGGAAAATATAATAATCTATATTAAATAGTATAAATTATTGTTTAAAAACAATTCTGGTAATCTAAATAGAAATATTTTATTTTTTGCATATATTAACATTCATTATCTTTATTATTTTAATATAAATTCTCGTAGAATTGAAATTTCTTCGTAAACAAAGACTAACTTATATGAGCTTCTTGTCATCTACAATTTATTATATTTTATCGCAAGAACATGAAAGAGTTTTACATTTTTTTATTAATCAAATAATTATGCTAAAAGCAATTATCGCAAGGGTAAATAAAATTATGGTTCATACTGTATTATTTGTTGATTTATTGACATTCATGAGTTCAATTTACATTTTGAAATGGAGCGCGTGGTTTCAATCGGAGAGAATGTTGGGTTTATTACTTAATTAACTAAGAGGACAAGGCCCAATAAAAGTTTGGCGTGAAGTGAGTGCGCGGCACTGAGAGGGCGATGGAGGGAACGGAGGCCGTAACGAATGGCGATGGCGATGGCGATGGCGGTGATCGTCCATGGCAATCTTACCACACTGTTTACACAACCGGTAAAGCAGGTCTTATAACCTTTCTTTTCTTTTCTGGTCTTTAATTCGTTTTCTTTGTTTCTCTTAATTTCATATTTGACTTAAATGGATTCTATTGCTTTGCTGTTGCCTATCGTTAAGGAATGGAAGGGGTGGACAAGGAGAAAGTGCAAAGAGTAGTTTACGAAATGAGTAAAGGATCCAAATATTTTGAAAACGAGGAACGCAAGGAAGCTTTTATTAACCAGAAAATTGACAACCTGCGAATTCAGTATGCTAAGCTCACACAAGCAGACTTGGCCCATTATCACAAGGTAATGAGATTCAATCATCTCACACTTGTACGCGCTTCTCTTATTACCAACAAATTCCCATTTTCTTGGTTCCCTTTCTTTAGGGGAGAGGTCATCGAATTTTAATGCTTTTAAGGTTTAATATTTAGTTGCTTAGTTTTTATTATGACAGGTGGCTGATAGAAGAATTGTTGAGCTAGAAGCTTCGCGTGACCTTTCGAGGATTTGGTTACATGTAGATATGGATGCTTTCTATGCTGCTGTTGAGACTTTAAGTAACCCTACGTTACAGGGCAAGCCAATGGCCGTTGGAAGCATGTCCATGATATCCACTGCCAACTATGAGGTTTACTTTCTCAATACATTATAACCTTGATACTGTTTTTTTTTCACTGTTTTCGAATTGGAAATGATCTGGTGGATGCTTGAAAAATTAATCTGCATAAACTATACCGAATCATGGAACTCCTGTCCTGATTTGGTCTTTACACAGGCCCGGAAATTCGGAGTTCGTGCTGCCATGCCTGGGTTCATTGCACGTAAGCTATGTCCCGAATTGATCTTTGTCCCAATAGATTTCAAGAAGTATACCCATTATAGTGATTTGACTAGAAAAGGTATTCTTCTTTTTGTGATTGATTTTGGGTTGCATATTTTCCTTTTAATTACTGATGTTAGCTTAATATAAACTTATTGTTAGTTTTCCGGATGTACGATCCCAATTTCATTGCTGGTAGCCTGGATGAAGCATACCTTGATATAACCGAAGTTTGCAAAGAAAGGAATGCCAAAAGTGAAGAAGTAAGTTGGCTCGTGCTTTAGATTAAATTTAACAATGAAAGACCTTTAATGTATCAAATCTCTTGATTTTGAAAATTTGGTGGTGTAGATTGCCCAAGAACTCAGAGCTGGTGTTTATGAAGAGACTGGTCTCACATGTAGTGCTGGAGTGGCACCAAATCGCTTACTTGCTAAGGTTCTGGATACTATCTGGCAAACATCTTTCCTATGACCATGTTATCAGCCCATTTGTTTATGTAGAAGCTTAGAAGCACCTTATGATGTTCCAGTTGAGATATTAATCCCTGTGCATGCACATCTATGCTTTCCAGGGGTTGTTTTCTGTTTTCAAATGAAATTCATTAAGGAATGCTGCACTTTCACATTAATTAGGAATGGACAACCTACATGTTTTTTCCCTTTCATTTTTAATTCTCTCTGTGTATGTTCTCAATTCTCTCAATATGCAGTGACAGTTTCCTTTTATTAGTTTTTTGGTTGATGTTTTGCTTGTATAGTCCCACGCTCCCAGTCACTAACCATTACCTAAGTTTACAAGTTATGAGTTAAAAATTTAGTGACACCTAAAGGAGTGTTAGATTTATGCAAACACAACTGAGTTTATGCATTTGTTTCAACGTTTTGCATGACCTATGTTTTCTACTTAGTATATTGTTAAGTAGAGGTTCTAGAATAATACTTCTTTTTAAGTCTTATTTTCTTGAAACTAGAACCTAGTAGAGATGGAGTGATTATTTTATCTTCTTGGAAAATTTCGTGCTATGACTTTATAATATTGACATTTAGTCTCATATAGGTTTGTTCAGACATAAACAAGCCAAATGGACAGTATGTTTTGCCAAATGACCGCATGGCTGTTATGACCTTTGTATCCTCCCTTCCTATCAGAAAGGTGTGTTTGAGTTCATTCATTGTATTCTGATATCATCAATTATTGGGGTTTTCTGATTCCAAATTATTGGTTTTCTTCTAGACTTGGACAGGACTGTTTTATATACATTTTTTGTCTTTAAAAGAGGGTGATTTTCTGGTTAATAATCATGAATGGTATTGACAGATTGGGGGCATCGGTAAGGTCACAGAACATATTTTAAAGGAAGTTTTTGGGATTAACACATGTGAGCAGATGCTGGAGAAGAGTAGCTACCTTTATGCACTTTTCTCTCAGTCAACAGCAGGTTAGCCATCTGTTCAGGTGTTGTGGCTTTCTTTATTATTGTGAAAGTTATATTTACTCCCTGTATGTTTCCTACATTTAATTGGCAATTCAGCTGAACTTAATACAAGTTATTTAATTTTTATCATTTTGAAGTCTATTTTGAAAATTATACCTTTTGATTTCTACGGCTACACTTCCGCGAGTTTGTAATTTAGGTTTTCTGACCATAATTTTGTTTTGATCATATGTTCCATTCCCAAATAATTATGGGTTATTTTAATAACATTTGACTTTGGTCGATTTGCTGCAGAATTTTTTTGCTCTGTAGGTTTAGGTCTTGGGCAGACAGGATCTCCCCAAGTAAGATTTCGGAAAAGTATTAGTAACGAAAGAACATTTTCTGCCACCGAAGATGAAGTGCTGTTGCATAAAAAATTGGGTATCTATCTTGTCTATTATCCTTTTACCTTTAAAGGAAAATTCTTGGATTGTAAATGTAGTCATCATAAGCTCTAGTCAATGACTTGGGCTTTGTAGTACCTCTTCATTGAAACGCATATCTGGGCTTTGTAGTAACTACACATGCTTGACTTTCAAAAAGTTTAACAGTTGACTATGTCACTCTGAGTTTCTGAATTAGATAAGACTTTGGGTATATTCGTTCATCGGGCATACGATTAATTTTTGCAGTGGAGCTTGCTGAAATGCTAGCAACCGACATGCAAAAAGAGGGTCTTTGTGGACGAACGTTGACTCTTAAACTGAAAACTGCTTCTTTTGAGGTATTACTAGTTATTGATGCCTTGATGTTTTCTCTTAATATTTTCCTAATAGGCGAGAACAATTTACTTGGTTTGTCACCTCTGTATATGAAACTTAATCGAAAAATAAAAAGTGACCTTTGTTGTTGAAGAGCAATGTACTTCACCTCAAGGATATGATTTGTTGTTTTTTCTTGATTTTAGTTCTAGTCCCTTTAGTGATGCTTTATGTCTCCTACATTTTACTGTCCTACTATACTTACCTTTGACGAGCTAATAAATGCACAACCTAAAGGTTCGGACTAGAGCTGTGACTTTACAGCAGTACATCAGCTCGAGTGTGGATATCTTGAAGCATGCTAAAAAGTTACTAAAAGCTGAGCTTCCTATTTCAGTAAGATTGATAGGTATGTGTTTCTGTAAGATTTATTATTGTGGAGATTTATGAAGAAAAAGTGTTAAAGGGCAAGATAAAAAGGCACTTACTGCTTACTGATAGACTATTAGAGTCACATTTGTGCCTCCACTGTGTCAGCATAACGAAGATGTTTCTTTTGTTAGGACTTAGAGTATCGCACTTTAACGGAGATAGGTGTTCTGATCCTACACAGAAGACCATTACCAACTTCATTACTACGGGAGATGCCAATAGAAATTGTAGTTATTTTCCAGATGTTGCAGATCATGACTCTGTCAGTGATGCAGAAACTAGTCTTTCCATTGACAGTCGGCAAACAACAATTCAACTTGATTGGAGAGATCCTTTTGTTGGTAACTATTTGTCAGATGTAGATTACCAAAGCTGTGTGTTCCAGAAAAATGGTGTAGAAGAGGTTTCTCTCTATCTTCCTACTTGTTTAGCCGTGTAGCAGACGTATAAATAGATTCAGAAATTGTTTGAGAAGCGTTTTCCTGTCACTTCTATTTATGTTTTCTGCTGTATTACTAGGTGAAAACATCTAGTAATGATGTTACAAGTTCTCACCAGAGTGGATTTACAGAAGCACCGGGATCAACTTCTTTCCAGGGGCAGTTTGAAGGCATAAACGTGAATAATGAGTCTAAGCTCCTGGAGGATGAGAGAAATTCTTGTTCTCAGGAGACGACAATGTTGTGGTTGAATGACTACAAATGTTCACTTTGTGGAATAGAACTACCTCCAAGTTTTGTTCCGGAAAGATTGGAGCACTCTGATTTTCATCTTGCTGAAAAGCTTCAAAAGGAAGAATCTAGGATTCACCTGCCATCTGTTCCGAGTCGAAGGTACAATGTTTATCTTCTACACTTAGCTTTACATTTACAATTGCAAGTGGATAGATAGGAATTGACAGAGTGCAAGCGTGTCTTCACATTTTTGCATAAGGTGTTCTTTAATGATAAAGATGCACTCATCATTTAATATAATGTGATTAACAAATGTTCTTTCAGTCGGAGTCAGAAGGATGGAATCGCTAGACAAAGCAAATCCAAGAGGCAAAAGTTGTCGCAGAAAGAAGGCAAATATACACCCATTGATTATTTTTTTGCTAAAAAGGAATCCTAGCTGTCAATTGATTACAATGTACAGAATAACTCAATTTTTGTCTTTTATTGTATAATATGCATGCTATTTTTCCCTGTATCATATATAAATTAATAAATTCATCTGTTTGTAACTTCGGTTGTAATATGAAACCTTGTAATTTAGGTTGTATAAAGTAGTTTTTTCACGTGTCATGTTGTTCTATGAGTGTATTGTTATCCGTTCGGTTCACAGTACACTTTCTTGAAGAGACTTAAAATTTATAGGAATCAAGTCTTTTGTTCAACAGGTGCACTGGCAAATAGGAGTGTGATTTATTGGCAGCACACTTTCCAATACAGTTCAAGGAGAGATGAGGGATTTTTTTTTTAAAAGTGTGATGGATTTTCTGCTTGTTTTTCAAACCCAGTAAAATTTGATAGAGATACATTGAGTGAAAAATTTTCAAGTCTATCTATAGGTGTATGTGAAACGTTGAAGAAGATTAGTCCCCACGTTAGATGGGAATATTTTTCACGATGAAAAATAAAATAAAATTGTTTCATGAGAAACAAGAACAAAGAGGATCACAAACTCGCTGTGTTATGTTTGACTAAACTTTTGTCTTGTTATTCATTAAACAAAATGAATAAATTTGTTTCATTAGGTGAAAATGAATAAATTGTTGGTTAAACAAAAAATTTAAGAAACAGTCTTAGATATTTATTTTACTTAATGATTTTCTTAAAAGGATAAAATTCTCATATAATTTAATGTTTATTTTAGGCCTTGTAATGATTGTTTATTTTATTTTGTAGGTCTATCACATAGATTTAAACACTATCTGAGTGAGTTGTATTGTTTGAAGTTCAATATGAACTTCGACTTTTTAAAATTTTGTTTTCACTCTTTGCTTTGTTGATCTAATAACTGTTCTCCCTTGTACCTTTCTTTTTGGTTCAAAGTTTTTTAAACAATGATATTCTTCTACCCTATGAGAATTTAAATAAACTTCTTCTACACAAAATATATTTAAAATCACACAAAATCTTATTCCTACTTCATACTATTACCAAATTCCGGTCATCGATTACTTTTATAAGATTTCATTGATTTTCATGAGAATAACTTATTCCAACATGAAAATATCGTTTACCTATTTCAACATTTTTGGAAAAAAAAATCTAAACTTTAAAAAGATCTCGATAATAAATTAAATATATGTTATATGTTAGCTTATAATTAACTTTATTTTTTATCTTAACATCATAAAAACATTAAAATAAACCAATTAATGAATTGTTTTTTTTTTCAAAATTATATAAAGTTTTATAACTTTTATTTATTAAAATTTGAAACACTATTAAATTAATAAAATTTAATATTCATATAAAAAAAAAGAGATTGAAAAGCCGAAGTGTGGATGTAACGAGGGAAGTATATCCCCAAAACAAAGAGACAAAGAAACCTAAGACGTAAGACTCACTAACTCACAATGTCTCGTCGTCACTCCGATTCCAAGCGACGCCATTCTAGATTCGATCCACAACCGAGGTTCCTCTCTTTTCTTCTCAACTTTTCTGTTTCTCTCTCTCTCTTCCTCCTCACACTTTTAATGCTTAAATTGTTTGGTCTATTTCTCATATTTTGTGTTGTGCGTTGTGTAGCAGTATGCGTTTAAGCCAATCAATAATTCTTAATTTCCAATCTCACTTTGGAAACGGGGTGTTGTGTTGGATGCATTGTATTGTATTATTGTATAAAAATAATAATGTTATGTGGTGCTCGTTATATTGTAGCCCCAAGAGATATAGGAGGGATGGATATGGAAAAGATGGGAAAGAGAGAGTGGCAAATAGCGGAAACGTTCAAGATAGAGACAATCGCCAGCTGAATGAACACGATCCTCCTTCGGCTAAGCAACAATCTGCCTCTCGTTACAACAGATCAAATGATCAGCATGCACCTCATCCCGCTCAAGTACCAACATCTCTCTTATTTTTAGTAGTAGCTTCTTCCCTTTTAATTTGTTTTTGACACTGCCAGAACTATAACTCAAAATGAAAATTCTTACTAAAAGTAAGGACATCTGATTTCATTCACTTGCTTTGTTTCAAAATCAATCATCATTCATACGCTTAAAGGGAATTGCATACCCCTACCGAACATTTCCCCTGTTGATTAACTTTAGTGCTCAGTTATTATAATTTCTTTGGATTGCATCAAATGGGTCATGTTTACTCTGAGGGTTAGTTACTGCATGATTAGTTGATAAAACATTTATTTCCATTATAATATAATAATTATTTAAAATGGTTCTTAGGCCTCAAAATTTCTAATCATTTGGAATTTTCATATTCACTTGTCTTCCCATATGAAATAAAATGTTTTCATTCAACAAGAGATTTAAATTTTTTTTTTATTCAGTGTATGCAATCCATTTCTTTGGGGGTGATGTAGTGGGGTTCGTGCTCAGCACCGTGCCTTCAAGTGCCTCTGCATATATATAACCACCTTAGGCTTGCCTATACATGTTTTATAACAGCACGACAAACGAGGTAGCATTGGGCAGGTTGGCCAAAGCACAGGTCAAAGAAAATCAGGTGGTGAGTTTCCATTTTTTATTTTGGATCTGTATTTTGTCTTCGTATTTTGTGTTATCTTTTCAGTCCCGAGTCATGATTGGGAATCCAGTGTATGGATGATTTGTATATTGACTCAGTCATACGAGTGCAACATTCCTTTCATTTTATGCTAAAAAAAAAAGATTTTTTCAGTTATAATGTGTTCTATTCATTTTGTTGTAAAATGTGTTTGAGAATTAGTTTTTCGTTTTTTTTTTTTTACAATTGAGCCACTTGTGTCTTGTTTGCATCATGTGGAAATATAACTCATAAAAACTTAGTTGTTCACAGAATATAATCTAATTAGTTTTTTTATTCAAGAGCGTGGATGGTGGAAGGACTCAAGCAAGCAGCTTAATGAAAAGTCAGAGACAAGTCACCACAGAGAGCAGAGAGACGAGAAATCACAAGCTAAACCGGATGATAATACTTTCCGGAGAAGAGATGATTTTTCTGAAAGAAAAGATAATCGACCTCCTAACTCGAGGAAAAGACCTGCATTTAGGGAGAATAAGATTCCAATGGATTCAGGAGATGCTAATCTGGCTGCAGCAGTGGCAGTAAAGTCAAGCCAGATTGACCACCCTCTAGGAAGGAATGACAGGAAGAAGGAGGAAAGAAGCAGCAATCTACACCATTTGGATAGACCTGAGAAGCCTCTTGCAGATGACAGAGCACCTAACAAGGTTGGAGCTAGGAGAGATGGGTTTCCATCAAGAGGAAGAAGGTATGGGGGCAATGACAGCTACAGGGGAAGAGATAAGTTTAATGGAAGACAAGGTTATCGTCCGGATAAGACGCAAACTGAGAAGTGGAAGCATGATTTGTATCAAGATGTAAGTAAGGATCCTATTCCACACAATGAGGATGACCAGATTGCAAAGCTGGAAGCACTCTTGGCATCATAATAGCAAACACCGGCCAATATTTCTGAGATCTTAAATCATCCCTATCAACCTGTAGATTATGGGACAATTTCCATAGAAGGTTTAGGTGTGTAATTTTTAAGCATGCTCTGCTCTAAGTTGCTGAGTCTGTCTCTTTATATATCAATCTTGAACATGCCAGAGATGTTAAGCAGAACAGCTGTCAGTTTTAGAGAGTCTAACTGGATACAATCCTCGCTGTCTGACACAGACAGGTTTGAAAGTGAAATTACCTTGGCTTTGTTACCACACTGAGCAACTTGCAATTGAAATGCTTGAGTCTTCCTAAATTATCAAAGCCTTTTTGCTTGTTTTACACAACTTCTAGTTTGCAAGCTATGTTAATGTCTAGGTTTTGTATTTTGTCAATTTATGTGCACGATTGTGAAGTATGTCAAGCTCGTGATTTGGTTGAATTGGAGAGGAAGGTATCTGAGCTTGCATGAACACGACCAGGTAAAAACCTCTACAACTAGGGAGCAAATTAGCCATTTTAGGAACAAATATCTACATGATCACTAGTTATGGATATCTGCACTTTCATTTCCCCTTGATTTTAAAAGTACTCAGTGAAAATTACCGATGGATATGTAGTTTGGTTTGGTTTTATTTAACATTGTAAAATGCTAAAAAAAATTGAGGAAAAACTGAATATTATTATAAACTGACATTTTAAAATTAGATTGCAGGTAAAGAAAGCCAGACTAAAAGCGTGCAAATTTAAATATCTAAATATAGAAAAAAAAAGTTCGGGAATTGTAAGATATTGTTTGTCAAAGAATTATATTTTATATTATTTGAGAACTTGGCGAAAGAAGCTTGTATTATTGACTAATGTTGGACGATTGTATACAAAAGTGTGATGCATAAATAGGTTAACACTCCGGTGACTAACATAACAGATCTGTGCCTTGGTGTGAAAGATTATTTAGTTGTAAAGTTGTGGGAACAGGAAGTGAGTAATCTCCACTCGAATCTTCTGTGAACTAGATGACAATCAAACTAAATTTCATGTTTTGGACGATTAGAATAATATATCTATCATTACAGTGTGGAGGGCTAGAGGCCTTTTGCTTATCGCACCTTGGTCGTAGTGAAGGATTAGAAGTGGTGCATGACGATGAACATTTACGGAATTTGAGAATCATTAACTAAGAGCCTATTGCATAACTCGAGTCTGGGCATGTATTGGTGAGATAAAGGCATCCTTCACAAAGGGGTAGTTAGTAGTTTGCAAGCAAAAAGGCCTGCATCATGAAGTAGCTTCGAGGCATTATTTCCATCCACTTTTTGTAAATGCCAATCCTTGTCTGCATTATTTCCAAAATAAGTGAGAATTTATCGTCAGCTTAGCCATGGAAGAGAACGAATCGTATTCAAATTTGCACCACATAAATTAGAAGTACAATTAAATCAAAAATTAATTTCTTTTCATTTCCATTCTTTTTTCAATAAATCAAATTTAAAAAAAAAGGCTTTTATGAATATAAAACTTATGAACTTATAAAAATACATTAAAATTATAATTTTATAAATATTTAGGTACTAGAAAGTGAGCCCATACTTCACCATTAAAACCAAATCAATTCAAACATACTTGTAAAATATCATTCGCACAAACAATTTGCTTTTCCCAATTCTGTCAAACCTAAAAGATTCTCAAACATTCATATATAAACCATTTTGGTCGCACTTCAGCCAGTGCACCACGACTTCTATAGTTCTACACTTCTAATTCTAATTTTAGTAAGCTTAAACTAAAAAAAAATACATGAACTAGAAGCCGATATTTAAAATAGCGGGGAGGAGTTAAATTTGAGTTTTATGATATCAAATAACAAGATCTTCTATGTCTGTTAGGGGTTCTGTATTGGCATGAGACTTGTCAGGTATGTTAACCACCAATTGTCCACAAGCACCACTTATGTCTTCACCCATCTGCTTCCGAACTGTTGTTCGAATATTATAGGTACCTCTGAGAATTTTCTGAAATTTTGAGACTTTCTGTTCACTGGTAGGTTTGAATTGACTCAAGATACCAATAGAGTTGAAAGGTATTAAGTTCACCACCTGTGTCATAATTCAGACCACATGCAAAAGGTTAGTACCTAGCATCGCATAACGGAGCCATGTTTAGGAACTTTTTTTCTGAGAAAGAAACACCACTACTCATCATTGGCTGCATTTTAGAGCAGCATGGGAATTATAGTGGCAAGCATAAATGTTTGTCAGAGACTGTGAATCGAGAAAGGAACAAGCAATTATCAAATCTATAAATGCAGTTCGGAGTAATTACTCAAACTTCAGAAATTTCCCGTGTGCTTCCAAGTAAATATTGCGTGCTTACCACTTGAAATGTCTCTAACAGTTTTCCCAATTGGTGGGCATGCTGCTCTTCATCATTCACTCTATCAAGCATTATGTATTCAATCATTATTTTCTGCAGACTGTAATCAAGGATGAAATATTAAAGCCTCCAAAATCACTGAAATCGTTCACAATAGTTTACGTGATAATACCCACTAGTAATATGCATAACCAGTAATCACCTTTTTCTTTGATATTCTTGCAGTGAATTCATAAGTTTTTCCAAAGGGAAAGCACGAGCAGCAGGCATTATATGGCAACGGATGTCTTGGGCTGGTGCATGCAGTGAGACTGCCAAGTTCAAACCAGGCAGGTCATTATGAAGCTTGTTGATAGCATGAATGATGCCAACCTATGAAATATGCAAACATATCCTTCATAAGCTAGAAATTTGTAGAATTCAAGAATGTTTGTAAAATAAATTACTTAACAGAAGAACAGACAACACATAGCAACGGCTACGGTCCAGTCCAAGATTCAGATTATAATCATAATCTGCTTCAGAGCCTCAGGAAATTCTAAGATTTTACTCAAACGGCAAGCAACATGGTTAACGAAAGAGGAAAGACCTTAGCTGGGTAGTTATTAACAAAGACTAGTGCCCACAGAAAAAAGGAGTAAATTGTATTTGTTTTTCAGTTGTAAAGTTTCGGGCATGTAGTAATGGGATAAAACCAACCAGTTTATAGGTAGGGATGTCAGAAAACTAGAAGAAAACAATGCAATGGCATAGTTCGTAGTGCGTAGTGCATATTTTACCGTCGATATGGTAATCCTTTTCAAGGACAACTGAAATGGCAATCCAGTCATGATGCGAACCGCTTCTACCACAGCAGAATAGTTGTTGAGAGGCTCTCCCATTCCCTGTTGTAAGAAAATAGTAGGTTAATCTGCAAAGAAGAAAAGCTTGGTTCGTGCAGAAATAGAGGATGGGGGTTAAAATTAATACCATGAAGACAACATTACGGATTTGTGAGAAAGCAGAAGCATGGACGAGCTGTTCCACAATTTCTCCAGAGGATAGGTTATTTTTGAATCCCATGGATCCAGTGGCACAGAATTTGCAACCCATTTTGCATCCTACCTGGAAGGAGAAGGCTTTAGCAATTGAAAGAGGAAGAAATAGAAGGAATTGAAAGGGAACCTAACTTAACCTAACCTGAGATGAAATACACAAAGTTGCTCGTAGCCCACCGGGACGGGGTTTGCCAGCATATTTGCCCAAACGAGTATCATACCTCATTATCACGGCCTCCACGAATGCTCCATTCTGCCAAGAACAAACATTTGAATGATTAATCAATTGAGAATGATTTGGAATTGATTGAAATAATAATTAAGAGAAGAGTACGTGGAGCTTGATGAGGAGTTTGGAGGTGAGGTTGTCGGCAGAGTGGAAAACGGAGTGAAGAGAAGAAGAGAGAGGGGTTGTTTCTCCCAAGTTGGAACGAAGCACAGAGTATGCTGAAGATGGCAATGACGGAACTTTTTTCTCCCAATCCCAATCCGAATCTTGCATTTGTTGCTTCGCAATACTCGCAATCAGATGCTTCCAAATTATTGGAACGAATTTTCCCTCAATTCCGCTTTTCTCAAATTCCCTTCTCAGCTCGCCGCCATCAAACACCGATCGGATTCCCATTCTCCTCCTCCAACTCACGTTTCTGTTTCTTGTTTTTATTTATTCAATTTTATTTTTCTTTTTATTTTCTTTATATTTCTTATCAACAAATTCTAAATCAGTTATTTCAAAACTCTTTTTATCCCTCTTCTTGTCAACCTTGACTATTTGTATTTTTAAATTTGTTTTTGCTAGAATTTATTTAAACATACACATTTTACTTATTTATTTAACTAATTTAGTTTTACATTATTTAAATTAAAGCAAAAAAAAAAATAGTTGATGATAAATAACTAGACAGAAAATCATATTCATTAAAGTCGGATATTACCGACAGAAATTAGAAATTGATGTACCTAATATACAATTCTCAGTTTACAAATGAATTGAACATCAAAGAGGATGGATACATGATACATGAAATCATGGTATATCATGCATCCATGAATCATGATTTACGATTACGGAGGGTGGTGGCAGCATAAGAGGATGTGGTAGCAGGCTCCATGACTCTATGACCGTGGTGGGATCCATGGAAGGAATCGGATCCCAATAGCAAATGGTAGCTGCGTTCTGAGCTATCTGAATGTGAATGGGACAAAGTGTTGATTTTAATGTGCCCAGGCTTTTGCTTTCTTATGGCATCCATAACATATGGAATCAAACCTTCCATTACCAAAACCCTTCTTTCTCTCACAAAACACCAAACCCTTCAACTAAAGCTTGGTTTTGTTATAGCATAAGGTTTCAACTGAGGGTGTATTTATACAGCTAACACATGTTTCAACTAAGCTTTACGTTTTGTCTCTTCATAACATACAAATGTTATCATCAACATGAAGGAGATATAATAGGAAATTGTATCATGATTGACAATTCCGACTCTGACTTTTGAAATCATGGAATTGAAAAGCACCATTGCTATTTAAACTTGACATTAATATACAAATTTCATGAGGCGGCTAAGGCATGGTAAAGTTACGCTTTCCAAAGGCAAATGTTTGACAATCATACAAGCACAGTGCAGCTGCCAAGTCTTGCAAGTCTGCAACTTTCCCTGTAATCGTACACGTGCTCATCTGAATTATATTAGCCAAAACGTGAGTATCTGAATTTTGACCAACTAACGGGTTTTTTTCCTTGGATCTATTGTGTGTTTGGCTAGCTTTGTAAACCATCATTTTAAATAATTTTGATTTTACAAAATTCATTTTTGATTAGCATGTTTTCAATATGCAGTCTCTTTCCTTTTATTAGTCCAAAAGGGTCGATCAAATTTGAAATAAGGAGATCATATAGTTTTATCAATTATTGACTTTTGTTATGGTGCTAACATTCTGTATTGTATGGCATTGATTTAATAAAATCCTCCCATCATCATTGCTTGAATTTGCTTCGCCTAGGAATTTATAACGTGAACTTCTCATAAAAAACAAATGCCAAGAGGTTGGCTAGTCTTTAACATGTTTATAGTTTGACTGCTCTATTACATGACCCAAGTAAATGACAGAAAAAAGGAATATGCATCTCCAAAAGAAACCTCGCCCCGGCTCCATATTAGAGGAACCTACAGTGCATATTCCAGATTCAAGTTCCTTAAATTCATCTCTGATGCGGAAATGTTTGCTTTTGATGCTATAGAAACCTTCTTGATTAAGATCAAGTATAGAGAGTGTGCAGTCTTTATCTTATACTTACAAATTGAAATGTGCTTCTTGAAGAAAAACTAGTTTAGATATTAACTTTAGTAACTTAAAAATGATTGAACTAACAAGCTAGCCAGCTAGCCATAGAAATGCAAAAATAAAATGCAAGTGTTGGCTATGGCGAAAAAATGTTGCTCTGGCACATACACTTCCACGCTATGGGATAGTACTGATTCTCTTCCTCTGCCATTGTTTTGATTGTCACCTCAACTGGCACACAAGGCTTGCACTGGTTACACTTTGTTTGACATGTAGCTGGAAATGAGCCTAACTGTGGATTTGTTTTCCTTCCTTCATGTGGGTTCAAGCTCTTCTCGTACGTTGATGGGCCAATACTTGCCTGAAAAAGGATACTGAAACTAATTAGGACACAACACAATGGTGAAAAAAAAAATTATAAAAGGATAGAAAAGATATAGAACTTTGACAGGAAATAATTAACAGATGAACTAACGGGTGCAGGTGCAGGAGAATTTGCCAGGTTTCGGGAATGGATTAGGCAAGCATGGTCTAGGAGGATGAGGATGAGCAAGACGTGAATGAGTGCTCTAGGCTTTGCTGTTGGGTCCATGTCTTGTAAGAGATGATTTGGTTGGTATATGAGTTGCATATGAATATTAATGTTATAGAAATCCTAGACATGTACACCTTAATCTGGCAATAATATATAGCAGGTTGGGGAGCAGTTGAAACATCTGTGTGAATGGAAATGGTCAAGATGGCCCCCCACATGTGTGACACTGTGATCATTCTCTGTCTCTACGATCTCCTTTCTCCACACACAATCACACTCACTGTCATCACCCTTGCATATCACACATTCTGACTTCTCACTGTTATCTGTGCTATTTCGATTCAATTTCACACTCAATCACATGCTACCAGATGAAAAGCCATGCTCAGTCAAATGCTGACTCAAACTCCAGCACCATATCAAAATTATCAATGCTAGTGACTCCACATTTTTAGTTCATTCCGATAATTACGAATATTTTACAGTGTAATGGTAACTAGATGGAAAATATTTAAAACAATTTGGTTTTTCAATCTCCTAAACATGGTAATGATTTTACAGGTGAGATGCAGATATAGATAAAATCAGAATGACATGTAGGTTGTTGAAATAAATAATTGGAGTGCAAAAAATTGCAGTGGCTAGGTCAATTGGTTATGTGGTCCTCTCAAGGTTGAAGCTTTGAGCTTCTCTTTCATAATATCATTTAAACCCTACTATGGTATCTTATAAAATGCTTTAAATTTTATCAAGTTTTTACTATTTTTTTACTTTAAAATTTTAAACAATAAGCTCAAATATTTGAATAAAAAAAAAATAGTTTGAGATATTAAGTGAAGAAAGTCGCAAAAATGGTAAATTTATCCTTTTCACAGGTGAATTATATTTGAAAAACATGAAATATGTGTGAATAAATGTTAGTTGGGGAGATTGAGTTTGGGGACCACAAAAATGGATAGATTTGTTTATTAAATTGATGCGGGTAGATTGAAGCACGTGATTAATGCTTTGTGTTAGATAATGATGTACCAAAACTTGTGTCTGCCCAGGATTGGTCGCAGTGACTCACTCACTGCACTTGTCATTTTTCTATTGGCTACTACGTGTCACTCCCATGCCCTCTACTTTTATAATCATTACTTTACATTTCCATAACAATATTTGTTATTTATATTCAATTATTATATCTATCCAAATAATAATATGATTTTACTTAAACTGCTATTTAAAGTATACAAAATTGTGTGATGCTTATGAATAACTATTGACACTTTTGAATATAAATAAAAATATTTAGTTGAAGATTTGTTATCATCATGTATCAATGATAGGGTGGGAGTGGGTACTAAACTTTTTGGTATTAGTGGAATGCAAACTCGTCATGTAACTACTAAATTGAAGAATATGATGGTAATTATATAAATAATTTATCCAATAAAAAAATATATGCAATTATCTTTCTTTCAGTATTTGATTTTGAGATATTTTTGTGCTTGGTATGGTTACTACTTTAGGTGGAAACTCTTCTGTTTTTCGTAAAAAAGAAAAATGCCTTTATTTTTATTTTATTATTATTATTATTATTATTATTATTATTATTATTATTATTTTGCAAATAATCAGTTGCTTTATTATGGATTATATTGTCATGTCAATTGTGAACCGGAAAGAAATATATTCTTGGGTGATTTTTCCTTGTGGTGAATTTTATAGATTTACGAATATTTACATTCAACTTTGCATAACACGAAAAAAACATGGATTCCATATTTAAAGTAATGAGATGATGATGATGATGATGATGATGGTGAGAGAGAGCATTGAAATGAAGAATGGAATTGGCTCTTGGCTGTGAGCAGTGAGCAGTGAGAAGGGAGAGTGGTTTGTGCAAGAAAAATAAGCAACACACAACATAACACCTGCCAGAGATGATGATTTTGTTTTAGTGAAACAAGTTGTAGAACAGTAGTTGCAACAAAAAGGTGAGCAGAAAGTGTGTGTGCGAGAGAGTAATTGGTCTTGAATAGAGAAAGAGAGAAGAAAAATGAAGGTTTGGAGATTGTTGCTGAGTTTGTTTGTGGGGTTAGTGTTGCCTGTGTCAATAATGGGTCGATTCGTGGTGGAGAAGAACAGCCTGAGAGTAACCTCGCCGGAGAAAATAAGAGGCTCGCACGACAGTGCCATTGGGAACTTCGGGATCCCTCAATACGGTGGTAGCATGGCGGGGAACGTCGTTTACCCGAAGGATAACAAGAAAGGTTGTAAAGAGTTTGAGGACTCTGGGATTTCCTTCAAATCAACCCCCGGTGCTCTTCCCACCATTGTTCTACTCGATCGCGGAAGTAAGCTTTTTTTTTGCTTCCTCACTTCATTCAATGTCTTTTTTTCACAAATATTTTATTATCATACTTTGAATAAGTTCTATTTAAGGGAAAACGAGGCCCCCAGTTGCCCCAAATTGTTTATTTGAATGTTTGATACTCGAGATTTTATTTGAAAACTGTTAGAAATTTACAATTTCGGTTGGTTTTTGATGCCCTATATGCATGACCTAGCATTAAAATGTTAGTTATCTCATGGGTAGTTGTATTCTTTGTACTTGCTTTTCATGTCTTGTGCAGGTTGCTTTTTTGCGTTGAAGGTCTGGAATGCCCAGAAAGCTGGAGCTTCGGCGGTTCTTGTAGCAGATGATGTTGAGGAGCCATTAATAACAATGGACACGCCTGAAGAGGATGGCTCGTCTGCCAAATATGTGGAGAACATAACTATACCGTCTGCTCTTGTTGGAAAAAGTTTTGGTGAAAAATTAAAGGATGCCATAAGTAGTGGGGACATGGTCAACGTAAATCTTGATTGGAGAGAGGCTGTCCCTCACCCAGATGATCGTGTGGAGTATGAGTTGTGGAGCAACAGCAATGATGAGTGTGGAGTGAAGTGTGATATGTTGATGGAATTTGTGAAGGATTTCAAGGGTGCGGCACAGATACTAGAGAAAGGCGGTTACACTCAGTTCACACCCCATTATATAACTTGGTACTGTCCTCATGCTTTCACATTGAGCAAACAGTGCAAGTCTCAATGCATAAATCATGGAAGATATTGCGCTCCAGACCCTGAGCAGGACTTCAGCACAGGTTATGATGGGAAAGATGTGGTTATTGAAAATTTAAGGCAGCTATGTGTTTTCAAGGTGGCAAATGAAACTGGAAAGCCTTGGGTGTGGTGGGACTATGTCACTGATTTTCAAATTAGATGCCCCATGAAGGAGAAGAAGTACAATAAGGAATGTGCAAATGCTGTAATTAGATCACTGGGTAAATAAATCCTCATCGCGTGTTATTTTTTCTTACATTTGTTGATAATGACTTTACTGATAATACGTATATTCAATATCTGCAGGTCTTAATATTGAAAAAATTGAAAAGTGCATGGGTGATCCAGATACTGATGCTGATAATCCTGTCTTAAAAGAAGAGCAAGATGCCCAAGTATTTTTTAAATAATTGCTATTAATTAATTAATTATACCAGTGCAGTAATGTATACATATTTAACAGAACTAGCTTTTGTAGATTGGAAAGGGATCACGAGGTGATGTTACCATCTTGCCTACTCTTGTGGTCAATAATCGACAATATCGAGGTTTGTACTGTATGCTATGCTGATAGTTAGGGATCTCGATTCCCAATGCTAAACAGAAGAATCTTTCCAGGAAAATTGGAGAAAGGGGCTGTTCTAAAGGCTATATGTTCTGGGTTTGAGGAAACTACTGAACCAGCTGTTTGCTTGAGCAATGGTAAATATTTACATTTTTTTGGTACAGAGAAAATATACATTGTGGACTTGTTTAGGTGTAGACATGACTCTTTCCAACTGGCGTACTTTTTTGGGGCAGATGTGGAGACAAACGAGTGCTTGGCAAACAATGGTGGTTGTTGGCAGGATAAAGCAGCTAACATAACTGCGTGCAAGGTAAATTATCTGTGTGAAAATAACTAACTAATAAGAGAACAATGTCGGGTTATAGTTTTTTATTTTCTTATATATGTGTGTATCTGGTCAGGATACATTCCGTGGGAGAGTATGTGAATGCCCTCTGGTTGACGGTGTCCAATTCAAAGGAGATGGTTATATAACTTGTGAAGGTTAAAAGCCTTTAAACTTACTTTTCTGTCTACATAATTTACTTTCAAGAGGGTTCTGTTAGTGTTCCATGTTTATTTCCTTCACTTCTATGCTCTGTGGAGCCGAATGTGATGATCCTTTTGTTGTGGGAAATCTTCTATTATTTTATTCCTCTCGATCATTTTAATTGTGACTAGTTTCATCTGGGTTTGCAGCGAGCGGACTTGGGCGTTGCAAGATAAACAATGGAGGCTGTTGGCGTGAGGCCCGGAATGGACATGCATTTTCTGCTTGTGTGGTTAGTGAATATGAAGTTTATGGACCCAACTCCACTCATCTTGTTTAATCTCCAATAAATTTTGTTTTAATGGTTGAAGTTCTCTTGGATTTTATAACCGTTTTGAAAACTGAATTGTTTCGGAAATTGTTATTGGAACAGGATAATGGAGGGGTCAAATGCCAGTGTCCCACAGGGTTTAGAGGTGATGGTGTCAAAAATTGTGAAGGTGAGGGATACCTGTATTGTTTTTTCTCTTAATCTTTTTCCCCAAAACTTTTCTGAGTTACATGGATCAGAATGGAAATACTGTATAGAATCCCGGATTTGGTTTCTAGGATTTGTTTTGACGTACTTCTCGGTAAGCTTCATCCAGGAGAAAAAGATAAAAGGAAAAAAAAAATCAAATTAGCTTTTCTATGAACTTAAATTAATTTATGCACAAGTTAAAAATAAAAGTTTAGATAAGTTATATGAAAAACTTATACAAATTAGCTTATACATAAGTTAATTTTATTTTAATAGAAAGATAATTTCAATTTTCCTCTTATATTTCTCTCCTGGAGAAATTATCCAAACAGATCATATTGAATTTTTACTGTAAATATGTGAGAAATGTTATATGCGATCAATGGTTTACTTTATGCTGGAACCTTGGTCAAAATTATCATCCTCCATCTTTTCTGGATGAGATGTAATGTCCTCTAAGTATGTTTAATAGGAGAAACATATTACAGTCTAAGTAAGTGATATTTTGGCTTTTATACCAAAAAAAAAAGGGTTACTTATTGCACCAGTAAGTTACTGCCAATTCTTCTCAGTCCATGGATTTGAACAAATATTGCAAACTTAATACCTAATGAATTTTTCCACATAACTGGAGAAACTGAAATGTTTCATCTGTAGATATTAACGAATGCCAAGAGAAGAAGGCTTGTCAGTGCCCTGAATGTAGCTGCAAGAATACTTGGGGCAGCTATGACTGCAGTTGTAGTGGAGATCTTCTGTATATGAGGGACCACGATACCTGCATAAGTGAGTTAAAACACAAGACATTTTACTCATAACTTCATTTGCATATGCTTGTTATAAGGCTTGTTCTCATGCCCTCTGCAGGTAAAACTGGAAGTCAGGGAAGATCTACTTGGGCTGTTTTTTGGGTGATTTTACTTGGCTTAGTCATGATTGCTGGTGGGGCATTCCTTGTGTACAAGTATAGAATAAGGGTAAGCTATGCTACTTTCTAATTTTGGTGTTGTTATTGGCTGCTTAATACTGGAATTCTGTAGTATTAGAGTGTGCTGAGTTGCCCAACATTCCAAGTGCGTATAACTAAAAAATTGGCCCAAATCAAGACACAATGATGATTCATTTGTAGTATAATTATTCAGTTCTATAGGATACAAATTTAATGGTATTTTTGTTGGTGGTTTTGCAGCAATACATGGATTCCGAAATCAGAGCAATCATGGCACAATATATGCCCTTGGACAGCCAAGCAGAAGTTCCAAATCATGTCAATGACCAAAGAGCATGAAAGGAAAAGTAGGTCAATCAATCTACTGGGGTTTCACGGCAGGCAGCATGGGTTGGCTTTTTCATGTACCATGTTTGAGCCATTTTGAATTCTCACATTGAATTAGTAGACTGTATCATATGGAAACGTAGTTCTCCATGTTTTTATGTGGAATGGATATCACTCTGTGTGAACTTGGAGGGCAGAGTGTGGTGCCATTTCTCTAGATTCTAGGATTTCTGCTTTAACAGACACGTTGTTCCAAGCGCTAGATTGTAACTTGTCGAACTGTAATACTTGTAAGTTACATTTATAATGCTGTTCCATTGCTCTGTAGTCTGTACGATGATCTTCCTTTTCCTTTCACTAAGATTGAATCCAGTTACTCACCAAATGTCGTTCGAAGTAACCAATTGAGTTACTACTGATGTTTAGATTTGGTAGAACTTTTGTTTTTCCATGAAGTTGGAGAATTATGTTTTTTATGTTTGATTTTACCTTTTTAATAAATACTGTTTTTAAAAATAGGATTTTTTTTCAAGTTTTTCACTATACATAAAATGACAATCTAATTTTTTTGAACTAAAGTAAAAATCATGCTAGAAAATATTATAATACTCTTATGAAATAATTTAATATAATGATTAATTAAATATTAACCCATTATATTTTTATTTCGAGAATATATAATACCAAACAAACAAAATTTATTCAGTTGTAGGATACGAATCAAAATTTACAAGAGTCACAATTTCAAGATTAACAATTTTCGGATACTAAATGTTCTAAAAGGAGAAAGTTGAATATTTGTGCAAAAATAAAAAGTCATTGATCTATAATTATAATTTTGTATAGCCCATTGAAAATCATATTGGTACCATGTTATTTTAATTTGTTAGGTAAGTTACATTTAGTGACCAGAAAAACATGCACTTCATTAGAAAATTAAGAAAAAAATTATAATATCCAGATTTGTTATAATGTAGTACTACATTCCACCTCATGATTAGTATAATCTGTTCAAATTTTGTCTTGTATTAGCGGAACAACACATCTTATAGCATGCCCTGAATAATTTAAATTTTAGGGATACATTTGACAGGAAAAAAAGGCTTCTGCAATAAGATTCCATTAATAAACTATTTTAAGTACAAAATAAAATAATCTCAGCACGGATTCGATAAACGGTTGGGTGACACAAGTTTGGCAAGGTAAATTCAGAGAAAAAAGAAAAAAAGTTATACATAATCTGGTAACTAGCTGAAAAAATAGCACTGAATTGTTTAAAAAAAAATCATATTTTATTTTTCCACTATTCAATGTGAAATCAAATTATCCATTGAAGTAGTGTTCGCAAATGCTCAAATAAAGAATAAAAAAATGGACTAAAATTGATGTTTGGTGATTCAGAAAGATATGGTTCAGTAATTTTCACTAATTGGGATCAAAAGTATATAGTTGTTGTGAACAGAGCATATATAAACATCACAGAATGATTCCTCCTGTTCTTAACGCTGTTTTATTGTTATTTCTTTGGTTGTTTGGTCATGTTGATGTTAAGTTCCAGGCCAAGGTTCATTCCATTGTAAGCAATGGGAGCGTACATCCACAGATCATCAGAGCTCAGAAGCTGTTCAAATTCATATGTGGAAATAATATAAGTTATTGTCTTTTCAAAAATATATATTTTTATAATATGGAATAATCTTCTATTAAGTTGGGCCAAAATTTAGATGCAGCTCAAGTAAGAAGGATAACCAAGTTGTTACCTTAATTTGAACCTGTAAAAACTTCACATATTGCACAGCTTCCTCAAGCATGGTGCTGATATCCACCTGCAGTTCATCAAGTAATCAAACTTTAGAATTTTGTCATGTGAACCACCATTTTAGAAACAGTTGATGGCCATTGAGCAGGCTACCTTAGTTCCATTGGGGACAAGGTTTTGTAGAATTCTCAACCTTTCATTTATTCTTTCTCTTCTTTTCTGCACAATGCAAACGATAAGAGCCAATCCCTCACGTTACATGGACAGCAAGAAACAGTGTCATAAATTGTTAGCAATTAGAAAGGATAAGTTGAAGCAAAGGACTTACTCTTGCATACGCGCTCTGTGGATCAGTTGCAGGGTCTCTATTAGATCTTGATTTTCCACTTAACTTGAGCGCTCTAGAATCTTTGGAGTCATCGTCTGAACAGCAACTGCTTAAGGTCTGACTCTGAGGGTCAGGACTTGCTTCCCCTTCAGTTTTCCTTAAAGAAGCCGGTTTTGGATTCTTCTTAGATTTCACATTCCTCTTGTTCTCTTGCGCCTATATGAATATCAATTCTGCATGAGAAGGAAATGCGAAAAAAATTATGGCAATAGTAGTAAATGTGAAGAATTTTTGTGGTATTCTACCTCAAATGAGCTCCTACTCCTTTTTTCTAATAGGCTTCTGGTATTATCCTTTTCTGGTTCCGAAACTAATATTTCACGAGCCTTGTGAGCCTGCAAATCCATGTCAGTAAGATTCTCTCTCCCTGTGCCAAGACCCAACTCTTGGACTGTATTTTCATTTATCAATTTGGCGTCATTCCCATGTAAGGAAAAACCAATGGACACGTGACCAAAATTGTCAGAGCAGTTTCCAGCATTTGTTGTGGGAAAGATATATTGGGTACTACGAGCACAGGACCCACTCCCTTGTAAAAACAAGACAGAATTTTCATTTGGAATGTCGCAGGCAGGCCAAAATGCAGATTTTGTTTCCGTGTTGAAACGTTCATACAAGTGTTCTGGGATTGAGCAGTTACCAAGAAGCTGGTTCATGAAGTCAGCTTCCTCGGCTGTGTACACTTCTTCACTTAGACAACTCATCCATTCTTGGGAAATCTCCTCAGTAGGCTCCATTTGCTTATTTCTTTGGACGCCTTTAATTTCAGTATAAGAGAGTCTCTGTGTGTTAATGTAGAATACGAGGCTTCACTAATTGTTTAAAATGCTTGATCGAAAAAGTTGGACAAGCACTATATTTATACTAATGTTAATAGAGGGATTGGTTCTATCTCTATCCATACCAAAACATCTGAACTCAATCATCATATATAATTGCCAATTATTATATAGCATCTGACAAGGTCTCAAAGTACGTCTTCGAAGACATAGGTATCAAAACATTCCACTATATCTTGTATTGAATTAAATATTGAAGAATGAGTAGTGTGAGGCATGCAGTAAGGAGGTTTGGAAGGTAGCAAATTGAAAGGAGATAAAGAAAGAGAATTACACCTGTAATTGAGAGACGTGGGGTTTATAAGAGTTGAAAATGAACTTAGACCGGCTGGCTGTTTGAGATCGTGGTGATGAGTCTGAGTTCTAAACTGTTATTTAACCAGACAACATTATCTGTAACTGGATTTTTGTCCCCCTCCACAGTTGTTCTAAACCCACCACATTGTAGATTTGAGTTGACACTATGTCGCAATACGTGGAGAGATGTGATACCAGATTCTTCCTTCTGCACTTCACTTTTACAGATGAAAATGTATTATTCCTACAACAAATTTGTGTGTATTTCTCTTCATTTCATAGTTCATTTTTATCCCAAGTCTTTCTCTTCCCTTGTTACTTGGTAAAAAAAAAAAAAAAAAAGGTTGGTGTGTGTGTATGTATTATGCAGACACATTTGCAGTAGGCTGGAAAACTTCGTACAAATGAATTTAAATGGTGACTATATATATCTACTAGGCTTGTATTCTCTACTATGAGGTAGGTATGGACCAGAATATACTCATAATTTCCGATTGATCCATGATTGCTGATAAGAGTTTGCATGCATGCATTAGCTCAACTGGTACATTATAATCTCAGCAAATCAGTCAATGAATGAGTGAGCGCTTCTTGGTAGATATATGGAGCGCAGTTCATAGCAGATAATTTGGCTATAAGGAGATTGCGAATGCTATTATATAGATGTTTTGTCAAAAGACGGTTCCTCCAAACATAATGGTTTTAAAGCTGAAAGTATGGTCACTCATTCATTGAACTAGTGGCCACAAGAATTGTTATTCAGTATGCTGACAGAAGATTGGTTAAGAAAAACATTAGCAAGTAGAAAAACTGAAATCAGAGTCATCATGATGGCTATTAAAAGTTACACAAAAAATTGTGGTGTATTTGAGGGTTCCGTCCTAAGCGGAGACTGGACCTAAATTGGAAATATGATCATATTAAGTTTTGAAAGGTTGCTACAAGCAATATTGTACTGTGTAAATTGAACTTGATCATAATTCAAAATGTGAGGATATGAGTGAATAATTCAAATTGTCATTAACAAATAGCAGCACATTGATACCATCATAGGGAAAAGAGTTGGATGCAATTAGACGTTCATGTAGCCATTATCCAGTCATTATTAGATGATGATCGAATTCTTTAAATTTTGAATAATGTACATCCGTGTGCGTTACACACACAAGCCAATTTATATCTTTTACCATTGGCCCTTTAGTTCTTTGCCACTAAAATATGCACCATATCAATCATGAAACATTTATCTATATTATAAATTAGATTATTCTCATTAAAAACTATTTTTTAATGAAACATTTTCAAAAATTATTTTAACAGCTGCAGAACCTATTAGCTTTTCCAAACGGGGTTAGGATAAGACCCAGTCGGACCTAACTTTTAAAAGTAAAAGCACCGCGAGGGCAAGGTAAATATAAGCACCGCGAGGGCAAGGTAAATATATCTTTGATCAAAACTAGAGCAAACAGATGTATATAAGGAAGTATATATAGAAAATTGCAGAACAATCAATGGCGACAGAGAAAAATGTAGATAGTTCAAAACAATTATAAAACAAAAACATTCTCAGTTCCACAACTCGAACGTGCTAAAATTAACTTGACTAAATGCCATAGAAATTCTTGAAGTTCTTCACGAATCCAAAAAGGGTAGGGCAGACGTACACTAATCATTCAGCGATACTGCAACGCACACAGAAAAAAATAGTTATAAAAACCTGTGCAGAAATAATTTGGAAAATTTGAAATCCAAACAGATACATAAAATACCTTAATGAAGCCAATTTCCTTGGCATTGCTACGGAAGCACTGCCTGCAACACATAAGCCCATACTTCCTAATCAATCCATGAGGGTTCCCACACACGCGGCTGCATAACATGAAAACACATTCTCAATCAATCAACAATCCTCATCAAAATGAAGTTAGATCATATCAAGCACCACCAACTCACAGATAGTTTTATAATCAGACCTTAGGCAGTCTAAAATCGTAGTTCTAAATTACAAAAGCCTAAAACTAAACAAACAAGATCCTATGGTTCAGACATACAAAATTAAGAGAAATAGAAAGGGGGGGAGGGAGAACAAATAACATATTTACAAATGATTATGCAAAAAAGGGTGAATACATCTTACAATGCATACAAAACATTCTTCATAAGCAATTATATCAACAATTAAATATTATTTTGCAAATGTCATGAATTATGATTTTGTCGGTATCTTTACACAAACTTCATAAATTAAAAAAAGAAAAAATAGTTGCTCGTCCACTAATCTAAGGATATCTTCGAAGAATTTTTAAAACAACCCAACATTCCGTCTATACACTGATGTATAATAAAAGCAATCTCAAACGCAAATAACCACCAAATCCTCCCTCCTTGCAGGTCGCCGTTTTGATCGAGTGTGTTTGGATTCAGCAAAATCGCGTGCGTTCTCAAATGAGGGATCAGAATAAGTTTCTCAAACTAAAAACAAAACCATAGTAATATGTAAGCGTGGACGAGAGTTACGTACCAGGTGCGAGAACCAGGTCCGTAGTTCTTAGGATGAGAGTTCCATACATTAGAGTGCCCCATATTTCTGATTTGCAAAGATGAAAGCGCAAGAATCTCAAAACCCTAGCCTCCAACTCGCACAGAAATACGAGAAAAGGGGCCAACTTCAGACATATATACTAGAGTCAAAACCTAGGGTGTGTTTGGTCTTTCTCCATCATCAAATACTGATTGTTTTATTTTAAGTTTTTAAAATATTTTATAATTTTTTATTTTAAAAGATTTTACAATTATTTTTAGTTTTAAGTTTGTTTGTTTTTTTTTATAAGATATCAACAATAAATAAACTAATAAAATTAAAAACATTAAGTTATCAAAATAACAATCATATATATTATTAAAACTAACTACATTTGATCTCAAAGAAAATATAAATATATTCTCGTAATAATAATTATGATTAAATTACAATATTTGATATGATTAATTATAAAAGTGTTCTGTAAATTTTGGGGGAAAATATTTTTTTTATTATAGATTGATAATTTTGGTATTGTAGTTGAAGTAGTGAATGTAAGTCAATCTAATTCAATATTTAATATTTGAATTTATAAGTAAATTAAATTGAGTTGAAGTGAAATGGGATGGGATGCGTCATAATCCTTGGAATATATAAATAAATAAATAGGTACTCTTGGAAACTCTCACTGGGCGATACCGAGGTTGAAATTTGAAGGTTAATAATGGCGTCCTCTTCTTCTCCGTCGGTAATTACCCGTTCAGTGATCAATTTCATTGCTATTTTGTATTTATATATTCAAAATTTTCATTGGGAAACGGAAATATGCATCTGATGTTAGTTTGATGAATGAGTAGGAAGGTATAGGTTTAGGGTTATCGGAAGAAGATTACGACCAAATCTATGGCTCTGAATCGGGATGGGTGGAGGCTCGAACTTCATGCGATCACCTGCCCTCCTTGTCCGCCGATCTCACCCACATTCCGCCGCCGAACACACCCTGCCACACCTGCCAACACCCCTCTGAAAACTGGTTGTGCCTCTCCTGTAAGCAGGTTCTCTGTAGCCGTTTCGTGAACAAGCACATGCTCCACCATTTCCGCCACACTAATCACTCTCTCGCCCTCAGTTTCAGGTACGGATAATGCTTTTCACGCATTGCTTCCCCTTTTTCATTCATTCCTTCATTCATTCATCCATCCCTCCACTCTCTCAATTAGTGATCTCTCCATCTGGTGTTTCTCTTGCGACGCTTACTTGGATGCTCAACTCGTTCCCCAACTGCGTCCTGTTCATCAAGTAGCTTACATAATGAAATTCGGCGAGCCTCCACCACTCCCACTTACTCAACATCAACCGTCCCCTGCAACTTCAGACCAGTAACTCGCCTATTTCCTTTTCTTTCTCAACAGGATATCCTTAATTTTCATCTTAATGGTCCCAATACACTTTGTTGCTTTCATTGACAATTGGCAGTCTCTACTTTTGTTTTGGCAATACAGAATGTGGTAATTATATAGATAGGATAAAGGAAAGCATTTGACTTGTTCAATCCCATGCTTCCCACTTGTACCGAATGTAGCCTCATAGTTAATTGAGTTCTGCTTCCTTTGTGTCAAGGCAAGGCAAAATTTTCGGATTGCGAAGCATGTGATGGAGTGTTTCAATTGTTCGTCAAATTTGGTTTTACCTAACTCTAGTCAGCAGATTTTGTAGTTAAATTGAAACACATGTGAAATAAGTATGTTCTCATTTTTTGCTTTCCCCAAACTAAAGTCACACAGGGTTATGCATTTGGTTGTCTGAGATCCAAAAGATTAAAAATCTTAACCTTTTTTGGGTAAAATGAACTGGTATTCTTCTACAATTTTGTGCCAACAAACACAAAAAAACAACCTCTAGTAATTATTTATATATTTGGTACGGTGTTTTCAATTTATGCACATCTACTTGGCTTGGCAAAATCGCTGGAAATGGAATTGAATTACCTGCAAGACTGTAGTTATCATATGAGAGGACTGGAGTAAGTCAGTAACGAATACGTCAAGGTGCATCAACCAACGACACTAAGATACAGATGAACTGATTGAAGGTTTTGTGAATGCAATTTAAGTTGTACAAGTCTAAAATGGGGTTTTGTTAAATGTAAATGCTCTATTACTTGGGTCAGAGTCTAGTTGAATGAATGAAAAATATATACTTTTGTCCTTCTCAACATTCAATTTCCTACTACAGCTCCGTTTCTTGTCACGCATATTATTGATTTTTCTCGTCTATTATTTCATGTTATCTGCTCTCGAGTTCTGCCGATATTGATTTATTGGAATCCATATTTCCGACATCGTTAAGAGCGAGACTCATCCAGTCAGTGTGCCCTGGATGTATAACCAGTGCCAGTTCATGGTAAACTAGGCTTTACAACAAGAAAAGCATTTTTTTGAAACATGTGACTTTATTTTAATTTCCTGTCAAATATAATATTTTATTTTCATTTTTAATCCCGTTAAAAGAACTTTTATTTTCAGCGCACATGACTTAATGGTCACGTAGTGGATTCTATTTGTTGTTATGTTAAGGATTTTTAAAACAAATGACACTCAGGGGTAAAAAAACTTGAAAAAGTTTTATAAGAACTAAAAATTAAAACTACCAAATTTGTACATTAATTATTACAAAGTAATTTTTAGTTTAACCAATGCAATTAAATTCAGCTCTAAAAAAAAACATTTATCTATATGCAAACAAAACACATTTAAGTTTGGTATACCATAAGTTTTAATACGTTTTAATTTATTGTTTTGAAATATAAATTCGAAGTATGTAAAACTTCAAGGAAGATATATGATGAATTAAAAGAAAAATAAAATTTTGAATGACTTAAATTTAGAAGGAAAACAATTGGAAAGAACTGATAAGGTATTTTTGAGATGAAAATGAAAATTTAAATATGTAAATTTTAAAATTAATAAAATATTTTAAATGAAGCAACAAATAATCATAGAGCTTATGGAAATTATATTTTGCGGACAAAACTCTACTAAATAATTTTAAAAAAATCTAAAAAGTATTTATATTAATGAGAAATAAATAGATGACCACTATCGAAGGAGTAAAGAAATAAAAGTGACGTAAACATTAATGGTGGTGGGAACGTTGTATCGGAACGTGGAATAGAATAGAATAAACAAGAAAGGAAGAAAGGTGAGTCAAAGCGGGATGAGGATGAAGGTTGGGAGCGAGCAGGTGAACAGATCTATGTTGGAAGCCATGGATCTCCGCTGAAGATCTCACACACAAACCATCAAGCTGTTGATGGTGACGGTGATGGGTGAAGAGGCCACCAAATCCAATCCCAAACTGACCCTGTTGCCTCTCATAGCTCTAATATTCTATGAAGTATCAGGGGGTCCTTTCGGAGTAGAGGATTCCGTTAGGGGAGGGGGTGGTCCTCTTTTCTCATTACTTGGATTCTTCATTTTTCCTTTAATATGGAGTATACCAGAAGCTCTTGTTACGGCTGAACTTGCCACCACCTTCCCTCAAAATGGTGGATATGTTATATGGATTTCCTCAGCCTTTGGACCCTTTTGGGGCTTTCAGGAAGGCTTTTGGAAATGGTTCAGTGGGGTCATGGACAATGCTCTTTACCCCGTTTTGTTCCTCGATTACATCAAGCAATCCTTGCCTCTCCTTGACCGATTCACCGCTCGAGTCCCTGCTCTCTTGGGGATCACATTTTCACTAACTTACTTGAATTACCGTGGTCTTCACATTGTTGGCTTTTCTGCTGTTTTGCTTGCCCTTTTCTCACTTTCCCCATTTCTCCTAATGACCCTTCTTTCCATTCCACTAATAAGACCAAGGCGGTGGCTTGTTGTAGATTTTGGCAAGGTGGAGTGGCGAAGATACTTCAATAGTATGTTCTGGAATTTAAACTATTGGGATAAGGCAAGTACCCTTGCGGGAGAGGTTGAAAATCCAAGTAAAACGTTCCCAAAAGCACTTGTTGGAGCACTAGTCTTGGTGGTCTCCTCGTATTTGATTCCACTTCTTGCCGGAACAGGTGCTTTGGGGTCCTCGCCAAGTGAGTGGGAAGATGGTTATTTTGCACAGGTGGGGATGTTCATTGGTGGCTCTTGGCTCAAACTCTGGATTCAGGTAGCTGCTGCTATGTCTAACCTCGGCTTGTTTGAAGCAGAAATGAGCAGTGATGCTTTTCAACTTCAAGGGATGAGCAAAATGGGAATGCTTCCAGCACTATTTGCCTCAAGGTCATATTTTTCTTCTTCTCATGCTTTCCCCTAATAGTATTACACCAATTTCCTCACCCCCAATATGCACTTAATTAAAATCTAGATGAAAATTTTCAACATTCACGTTAATTGTGAAATAGCTTCAACCATCTAACATTTATGTGGTACTAACTACCTTCTAGGTCTAAGTATGGAACGCCCACGGTTAGCATTTTGTGCTCTGCCACTGGAGTTATCTTCTTGTCGTGGATGAGCTTTCAGGAAATCATAGAGTTCCTCAATTTCTTATATGCCGTAGGAATGCTTCTTGAGTTTGCAGCTTTTATAACTTTGAGGTTGAACAAGCCAAATCTTTACAGACCTTACAGAGTTCCGTTGCCAACATTTTGGGCGGCCATGATATGTTTGCCTCCTGCATTATTGCTTATTCTTGTAATGTGCTTGGCTTCTTTGAGAACGTTCTTTGTCAGTGGAGCTGTAATTCTCCTGGGGTTCATCCTGTACCCTATCTTAGTTCAAGCCAAAAAGAAGAACTGGTTTCTGTTCGAAGAAGAACCACCCTCCTTACATTCCACTGGCTGGCGCCAATGTCACTCAGTTGTTTCAGAATTCACTGACCTCGACCGAGAAAATAAGGATGTTGAGCTTCTTGTGAGCTCACCATTTTCCAGTGTGGAAGAAGACTTGTCTTTAGTGCAAAGTGATTCTAAAGTCTAAACCAACCTAGCAAAGAATAGTAGCTATTTGCATCTGTAGAAAATACTTAGTTTTAGTGAGGGATTTAATCTAGATTCACTATAACCAGAACGTCTTTTTTCCGCGAATATACTGTCTCAATTATTCATTGCCACATCGTTTAGAGCCTCTGAGTTTGTACCTTAGTTATCTCAATATTTGGTTTGACTGTCGAAACAGTGGTGGGAAGCTTTTTTCTAAATAATAAGTATGTACTAAACATTTTAGAGTACTTTGTCAGATTAGTGAAGAATGGAGATCCAAATGCAACTTCTTTGGATACACGTTTGAAGCAGAAGTTGGAGGAGGAGGGTTTAACTGCAATCTGCAGTGCTTGTATGAGCTACTCAGCTATAATTTTACTGTGTACTTTAAACAACGAAAATAATGGTTGGAACAAAAAATATTTTACGAAATTATGTAGGAATGAATTGGTGACCATGACGAGCTGATTTTCCCATGCACTTTTAGAACTGTCGCGTAAAAAGTAGAGCTTCGTTTTGCATAGCAATATTGTTTAGACAAAGAAGACAACACAGAAGTTGGGCATAACTGATTAAAAGCCGTGTTCTTCATGTAATTATAACAAGCAGTGAAGTATGTATGAATAGCATTACTCTTTTATTTATTAGATATTTGGACATTGAAGTATGACATATTATATTTGCAGCAAAGCAAGTATACGTTTCGGATACCGCTTGCTGCCGAAGTAAGGATGGCTTCTTCTTTACAGTCTAAGGAACCAGTCCTTTCCCCTCTGGGCCGCTGAATTTGTTATTCTCAAAACTGAAACACAAAATGGATAAATGTAAGTTAATCGAACGGCAGCAAGAAAAAATGTTATGATTTTAGGCCATATAGCACGAATTATATTATGTATTCAAGTTTGAATAGCTATTCTAAGAAGCAAGATACTTTGCAATATGTAATGTCAGCTCTGGGTGAAAATTGTTTTGAATGAGCTTTTTAACCAATGAGGAGAGGAATTAATGGATACACAAGTAACGAGGGAGAAAAAATTTTACCAAATCGAATTGATAGTATGGTTATCTAATTTTTATCAAGAATTGCAGATGTTACTGTACCTTTCAATCAGGAATGATTAGGGCATGCCATCTACTGAGTTTGAGATGTGATTATTTGAGACATTACTACACAACGGAATCGAGGTTTCATATTAGCTGAGAGATCAACAACAAATTAAAAGAGAAATTGATTCTGGATTTCCATTTCAAACCCTCACCACAACACAAAAAGGATGACACAATAAAGCACGAGAAAAAAGAAGTATAGACAAAGAATCTTACAAGACTACGAGATTTTTAAGAAGAGTGATCTCTCTTGGGATTGATCCTGTCAACTCGTTGTTGTTTAGCCATCTATATCATCAATGCAAATAAAACTTAAGTCACAAATGTTTGAATCAAAAAATGTGAATGGTTCGAGTTTCTTATTTTGGTCAACCAACATAAACATGCTTACAAGAATTTAAGAGACTTCAACTTGCCAAATGAGTTTGGGATGCTTCCTTCCAATTGGTTATTTGACAAGTCCATGCCAATGAGGTTTATCAAGTTACCAAGTTCCTGAGGAATCTTCCCACTAAACTTATTGCCGTAGAGCTCCCTGAGATGAAAAGTTTCATAATCACCCTTTATGGAAAACGATAAAAGAATAGCAGAAAATTAGTATATACTTATTTTTCCTCATCCAACCATTGACATGATTCATTTTTTGACTAATAGTACGTGAAAATCAAAATCATTGGATTGTTATCTAAAAAACTTGTGTTTGTAGCCAATAACAACTAACTATAGGCTTTGATGCACATTGTTGACAAATGGTACAATCCTGATTGACGTTAATAAATAAGACAAGGGAAGAGCATACATACAGATACTGAAGGTAGGGCAGTTGGCCAAGTTCTGGGCCCAAAGTTCCAGTGAAATTATGATTGCCCAAGTCACTGAAATTCAAAGAACATGCAAGTGATTATGAAGAAAGTAAAGAAAAAGATAGAGTGTAGACAGAAAGAGAAGAAGAAAGGGAACGTTACAGGCGAAAGACGTTATGGTTGGAGTCACAGGTGACATGAAACCAAGTACAAGGATCAACGAGAGTTGGGTCCCAGCCCTCCAGAACGTTGTTGGGGTCAGAAAGCCTTCTGCTGAAAGCATAAAGAGCGTCTCCTACAAATTCAAATAAACGTGGTGAAATGCATGCATTTGTTTGAATAGATGAACATAGATGAATGAACAGAATACACAGATACCTTGAGAGTTTGAGAGGGATGAGAGAGGACATTGGAGAAGGAGCAATAACAGAGATAAGGTGGGCAACCTAGACATCTTCAACTCCTGTAACGATTGAAGAAAAAACAAGAGACAACAACTTCAAATGGTGTATTGAATGAGAAGAGAAAAAGTTTGTCTGGGAGAGTGTGAGAGTTAATTTTGTTTGTCTAGTTCAAGGAGAGTTTGATGATAATAATAATAATAATAATAATAATAATAATAATAATAATAATAATAATATTTTTCATTTTTTTTATTAAACCAATACAATTATAAAATTTTTAAAAATACTTTTTCTGTATTTCTTCGTCTGTTCTAAAAGGAATTAAACATTTATTTATTTTTAAGTAACGAAAGCTCGTTATTGTGAATTGCATTTTGACATTGCCATTCACATGAGCAAGAGAGTAAAAGTCAAAGTCACATTCAAGATATTTTTAATTCATAATAAAAGTTGAGTTAGAAATAAAAACTATTGTTTTAATATAAATTTTTAAAATTAGAGAAAATTATTTATATGGACAATTTTATTGTATTTTAAATAATTTATATGAGAGAAATATATTTAAAATAATATTTTTATTTACAAATAAGTATTATAATTAATCAAAGATATACTTAAAACATTAGGGTTTTCAAAATGCACAATCGGTTTAACCTAATTACAAATTTATTATCCAATCATACTTATATTTTAAAATACATTATAATTTTTATCTCCTCTATCCCTATGATTAATCAAGAAACCGTAAGGTAAATCTTGACTTGATTAAAAGTAAAAATAAAAATATTAATGTATTTATATCAAAATAATGTATTAAACAATATTTAAATAAAAAATAAAAATATATTTTTTTAAAATAAATTATATTAATAAAATTATTTTTATTTTAAAATATAATAACTTAATATATAAATTAAAAAAAATTATTAATCTTAAAATAAAAAATTATTTTTATTTAATAATTTAATTATTAAAATAATAATTTATATTAACTATTAAATTTTAAAATAAGTGATATTAGAAAAATATTCTTATATTTATTATTAAAATAAATAAATATTTTATCAAATTAATTTATAATACATATATTTTTTAATAAAATAATATTTTTTTATTTTATTTAAAAATAATTATTATTTTATAAAATAATCATTTTAACACTACTGAATTAAATCTATGTAAGTTATGGTGGATGGATTAGGTAAAAAAATAAATTTCTTTCATTTTAAGTTACAATTTTTTTTAGTTTAACCTATTTCTTTATTTTTATTTTTATTTTACCAATATATCATATTAAACCTATTTGATACTTTAAAAATATCTTCAAACAAAATTATCATTTTAATATGAATTGTCTAAAATTAGTAATTTTGAGTTACTCGAATATATAAAATTATATTAAAATATATTTTTATTCATAGATAACTTTTTTTAAGTAACTCTAGGAGTTATTTTTATTATATTTTTTATAATTCATTCTATTTCATCTTATGTAAAATACAAGACTTCATTCCATGTCTGCTTTAATAAATCATGTTAAAAATTTAAGTAACTTTTTGCATATAATGTAATGGTTTTGCTCTTCTATTCCAAATGTTGAAATCTTCTACTTTTAATATTTTGAATGTTCATTAGAAAAATGATTGATTAATTGTAAAAACTATAATTTGTTTTAAATTTCCATATGAAGATTAATTTTAATTATGCTTAACTTTTTATTTCTAAGATAAAATAATAAAAACGAAATAAACATAATTTTTTATTTTATTTATATAATTTAGGTAAATTTATTTTTCATCTTATATTTTATTAAAAAATCATAAATATATAAATTAAAACACAAAATCAAATAAATTCAATCATTTTCATAAAAATTAAAACCAAAATAATAATAAAATATTTTACTTTATTTTCTCACCTAACTTCTTTACTTTAAAAATAAAATTCAATAATAAATTAATATTTAACAAGAAATAATTTCAGGACCTCGAAAATTAAATATATAATCTCTCTTGAATAAATAATTGACAAAGATGAATTAAAATTTACGATCTGTCAACTGCTATAATAACCAACAATGTTTGTTAAATTTAATGAGAAATAAATTATGAAATGGGAAAATTCGAATTCTACACAATTTGAATAAAAATTTATTATAAAAATCAAGCTCTGATTTGATTTTAATTTTTTTTTGCAATTAAAAATAAAATAGTGAAAGGAAAAAATATTTATATTCTTTTCTTAAATATGATATTTTTGTTGAAAATATAAATTTATAAGAATATTATTTGACTTAGATTAATTTCAAAATAAATAAAAAATAATGAAACCATCAAAAGCTCAATTGTATTTATTTTTCTAGTTATGACATATTTATCAAATAGTAAATTTTAAAAATATGTAAAATACATAATGACTAATAAGTAGTTGGAAAAAACTTTATCAATCAAAATGAATTCGATAAATAAAAGTATATATTCAAATATATAAATAAAATAAGAATAAGTACAATTATAATTTCACATTGTTAACCTAGTTGATGACGATGATGATGCCCATGACTATTTTTACATATGAATTTGATACTCAAATGTTTTATTTTTTTATTTTTAGATTAACGTGATAATATTATATAATCTCAAATATTAAAATGGTAGTTTTTACAGTTACTTTATGTTAATCTTTTATTCTAAACGCAGGTAACCAACACTTTATTTAAATACTATATATTTAAATGTTACTTGACATTATCCCGTCCAGAAACTTTATTATGCTGTTGCGACAGAGGCAGATCGTAAATTTATTTTGTTTAATGTTATTTATAAAACAATTTGTAGAACAAAATCTATAATTAAAGAAAAAGAAAAATAGTAAATAATGCGATGAAAAAGATAACGCAAAAGGTAGTGTTCTATGAGTTTTTATATGAACACCAATTATTTATATTTAGTAGACATATCAGACATTTGAGGATAACACATTACATGTTTTCATTTGTGCTACCATGCATTATTCTTGTACTAATTGATGCCTAAATAAATCTGATAATCCTTCAGCTTTGACTTCTTTGCAATTCTGAAAACTGAAAAAAAGAAAAGAAAAAAGATAAATGGCTATGAATCATGGTTACAAAACTAAATTAGTACCAATTCATCATCCTCTTTTCTTGAGCTTTGGAATGGTTACCACCATATATACCTTAATTTTCATTGGGGAATTCCCAAAGTTGCCATATGTGGGGGTGGTTTTGCCAATGGATTATTAGATATATCACTGCAAATTTGAGGTTTCAAATTAGTTCAAAAATCAATAATAAAATACAAAAAAGGTGAAATTGATTATCCAGCACAAAACCAAAGATTTAAAAGAAAAAATGAAAAAAAAAGTATAGAAAGAGAGTCTTACAAGACTTGGAGATTAAGATGAGTGACGTTTCTTGGGACTCGTCCAATCAACTTGTTGTCGTTTAGCCATCTGTATGATGAGCGCAGAATGATGAGCAAAATAAAACACAAAATTGAGGCATCATTTGATTTGAGAAATTGTGTTTTTAGTTTTTGGCAGAGCAAGGTAGACATGCTTACAAAAATTTAAGTGACATCAAGTTGCCAAATGTGGCTGGGATGTGCCCTTCCAATTGGTTATTAGACAAATCCATACTAACAAGGTTTTTCAAGTTACCAAGTTCCTGAGGAATCTTCCCAGATATTCTGTTCTCATTGAGCTCCCTGAAATCAAGACTTGGATCACTCACCTTGTTCATGGGAAAAGATGAAACAATAGGGGAAACATGATAGTCATTTGATTATAATTTAGTTAGAATGATGCTAATAAAATTGATAAACCAATAGCAAAGATGTATACATACAGGTATTGAAGGTAGGGTAACTGGCCAAGTTCTGGGCTCAAAGTTCCAGCCAAGTTATAATTGTACAAGTCTCTGAAATTCAAAGTCAAAGTCGTGATTAGAAAGGAGTCAAATGGTAAACCCCATAAGTGTGATGAAATTAAAAACTAAAGAATTGAATGTTACAAGCGAGTGACGTGGTTGTCGGAGTCGCAGGTAATATGAAACCAGGTACAAGGATCAACGAGACTTGGATCCCAACTCTCCAATACGTTGTTTGGGTCGGAAAGAGATTGTTTGAAAGCATAGAGAGCGTCACCTGCACATTGAAGTAAATGCAGCATGAACCAATGTATAATCGAAAGCATATGCGTTTGTTTTATCCAATGAAATAGTTTGAGAAAAGAATGAATGGACGGATGGAACCTTCAGAGTTTGAGAGGGATGGGAGAGGATGTTGGAGAAGGAGAAATAAGAGAGGAAGGAAAACCAAACCAGACATCTCTGATTTATGATGCAGATGAAAGTAAATACACCACACAATATGACAAGCATATAAAACACACTGTGCAAAACTTATATAACTATATGCGTTGAACGTTATTAATGTCGCATTTATATAAATATTAAATATAATATATTAATGTCTATATATACGTGTTGAATGTTATTAATGTTGCATTTATTTGTTCAACGCTGTTAATGTAACATTTCTTTAAATAATAAATATTAGATATAATCTATAATTTCAATAATCAATATACACCTCCCTCCTTCTTTCATATAAGATAGTTTGTACAAAATTACATACATCAATAAATATAATCATATACTTTTATTGATTATTTAATTTTATTACTAATCTTTCATTTTTATTCTTATCAATTATTATTAAATCAATCAATAGCATCGTACATAATCTATCTTTAATAAGACACATTAAAAAAAATATAAGTATATATTTATTAAAATTATAAAATTCCTCATATTAAGGATTTTTTTTTCCTTTTCAAAATTCATCTTATAATAGAAATCCGATGTGTAGTATTTATTATATTTGTTAAAGACAATATATAATTAATATTTCAGATAGAGTTCTTAATAGAATATTCATATAAATATTAAGTAATGTTAATTACAATATTTATTAAGTATAATATAATTAATATTATACAATCAATATATACGTATTTATTTAGGTTATGCATTAAACACACAATATTTTGTAATATAAATAATATTACATAAGTATAATATTTATCAAATATAATGATAAAGTAATATTAAATAATTAATCTTACATACAAACGTATTGTTAAATAATACTAATGTATGTATTTAATTAAATTTTAAAGTTACATTAGTGTTTATTCAAGGATTTTTTTTTAAATTGAATTGATGCAAAGAATATCTTTTAACATAAGAAAATATAATAAATTATTACTATAAATAATTAGCATAATTATTCAAATTAAGAAATTTTTAATTTTTACTATGAGAAGATGGATACGATCCATTGGACCCTAAATCCAACCCGTTTTGAACCTTCCTCTAAATAGAATGGTTGGATGTGACTTATTAAAAATGAAAGAACAACAAAATTAGTTGTCGTATCCATCAGGGATCGGTGGATTAAACAGACGAGCCTCTTAAATTTAAAAATGTAACCCACTCGTAGTTACTATTCAAATAATCACGAAGATGCAAACAAAAAAGTTTCAGGAAATACATAGAGACAAATAAACAAACACCCATCTCAGTCATCTTCATCAATAATTAAAGAGAACAAAGAATGAAAATAATGTACTTTCAAGGAGGAGGTGGCTAGTATAGTGCTCTTTATATCTTGTTATTGTTGTAAAGTTTTTATTTGTTTTGTTGATAATTAATATTACCTACATATCTTGCATTTGTACGTTCAATTTTGATAACCAATATCTTAAGAACAAATGTGGTTGGTCACTTTAAACTTTGTTTTGATTGAATAATGAACATGGGAGAGTGAAAATTTGTTTGAAAGAAAGAGAATAGAAAATAGGATAATTTGGATTAAAAGAAAGAAAATAATAATGAATAAAAAGTAAAATAAATTTATTTATTACTAATAATTTTATTTTCATTTTATTAACTTTTAGTTATTTATTATTATAATATAAACAAATAAAAAAATATAGATTAAAAAAATTACGGATATTATGTACGTAGATATAATCGTATATTGGAACTTACACTTATCTTCAGAGTTTGAGAAGGATAAGAGAAGATATTGGAGAAGAAAAAATAAGAGATATTCCATTTGTAGGAGCAGTTTCCCTTGACAGAAACCTCTCTCACACACATCTGCATTTGGTTCATCAAGCGCATGGTGGATCCAACACCGGAGGACAGAAATGTACTTCCCTGCAGGTCATGAGTGGTTGATGGAAGATATTCCAGAAGGAGCAGCTACTTTAGCTTACACTTGCTGCTACACAAATCTTCATGGTGTCTACGTCGACAATCCCACCCTTCATCAATACTCACTCCCTACGACAATTCAGTTTCAAAAATTAGTTTTGAGGAGCAAAATTGTTCAAATCTTACAAGAAATATGATCACCATATTCCTAGCATTATGAAATATATTACCAGGGAGACTGGGTTCAAATGAGACTAAGTTTAATTTAAAGCTAAACATAATGTCAATCACATCCGAATGTTTCATGATTCATCAGTAGCGTTACAGTGAACTAACGGAATTTCCATGTAAATTCCATTGAGAATCAGTTTCATCATTTAGAGTTGTGTAAAAAATCCATACTGATTGAGAATTTGCCAGCAATCGGAGAGAGAAACATAAATACAAGCCACAAGCCTCAAGCCAGAGCTTAGTAGTTAATATTACAACTCCTTCGAGTTTTAAACGGTAACTTTTGCCCTTCAGACAAACAGTGCTCGTACCTGCAGGAATAATCTCTGATTGAGCTCTCAAAACAAAAAACATCGAACTCTTTTTTTCTTTTTTTTTCTAAGGAGCACTGCACTAAAAATCAAAACACGAAATAGTGTTACAAGGTGAATCTATACCAGAAGCCTTTCCTTTCACAAGTTCTTTTTTTTGATGACGTTACAATATAGTTAATTCTACGTGGTATAGACATTCAAACCCTTACAACTCCTCCTTCTCTTACTATCCTTAATTTCCCATCTTTATATACAACCAACCAACCACACCTGCAAGCATCGATGCGGAGACACACTGCTTCCTTTTTCTGCAGATACACCCCATCAAAGGATCACCGTCATTTACAGCTACATGCGGTGAATGCCAACCCCATACCCTAATTTATTATATAACATGGCAACCAAGAAGGAAGTAGAGGCTAAGGGCATCTAAAAACAAGAGGTCAAGAGACACTTCAAATTCCAGTATAGCATCTACAGAGTCATGAAACAACTCATGGCCACAATTTTGCTATTCTCTCAAGTAACCTCGTTTCCTCCTCCTTGGAAACATGTGGGTCAAGACTCCGAAGGCTTTTAACAACTCTGTTGGCCTCATCTCGACGGTTGAGCTTACAATACCAATCAACAATGGAGTTATAAGTATTTTGGTCTGGTTTACATCCCTGCTTGATCATGTATCGAACAACATCAATAGCCTCAGCAAACATTGAGTCAGCAGCATAAGTTGCAATAAATGTGTTGTAAGTTACAACATCAGGAACAAGTGCAGATTCTTTCATTTCAGAAAATATTCGCGAAGCCTCCTTCATCCTACCATTTCTGCAATATGCATAAATAACAGTATTGTATGAAATTCTATCAGGTTTCATACCCTTCTCCAGAACTTCCCGCAAGATTTCTTCCGATTTTTGGAAGTTTTCAGAACGGCTGTACATATACATCAAGCTATTATACGTAGTCAAACTGGGAGAAAATCCCCTGTCCTGCATGAAGTTAAAAATCTCGTTGGCTTTGGCCACCATCTGCTTCCTCCCATATATGGAAAGCATTGCATTCAGAGTAGTTATGTCAAGCGAAAATCCTCTACTCTTTAACTCCAAAAAGGCACGTTCTGTCTCCATCAGGAGATCACTCTTGCTGTTTACTAAAACAAGGGTCTTCAAAAGAACAGGATGAATTTCAATATAGCCGGAGTATATCTCCTCGGCAAAAGCATTCATCCTTTCAATCTTCTTACCATTGGCATAAGCATGAAGCAAAGAAGAATATGATAGCTCATTAGGTTTACACCGTCCGTTCTTCATTTCAGAAAGGACTTTCTCAGATTGTTCCCAGAGCCCTCCTCGGGCCAAAGCTGCTAAAACAGCATTATAGGTAGAAAGATCCGGAACCACTCCAGCTTCGAGCATGCTCTTGTAAACTGCCATTGCCTGGTCAAAGGAGCCACACCTGCTGTAGGCACTAATAAGAGTGTTAAAAGTATCCCTCTCGGGCACAAACCCTGCTCTCTTCATTTCTTTAAATATTCCAGACACCTGGGAGTCCATTCCATTTTGTCCAAACACAGCCAGAAGGGTGTTCCAAGTAACAATATCAGGGGAGCAATTGCAAACCTTGATCTCGTCGAAAACTTTCATCATTTCCGCAAACTTTCCTCGGTTGCCATGCATCTTAATAAGGGCATTGAAGGTGCAAATATTAGGCTTGCATCCCACGGCCCTCATTTCTTCGAAAACTTGGATGGCAAACTCATCTTTTCCAGCCTTCTCAAATCCAGACAAGAGGGTGGTGTAGGTAAAGACGTCAGGCTGAATACCCTTATCCAGCATTTGGGTTTTAAGCTGGAGAGCCTCCTCCAACAAACCACCTTTAGCACAAGCAGATATCAAGGAATTGTAGGTAACAATGGTGGGAGAAAAGGAATTGGCTTCCATCTCTCTGAGGACCTGCATAGCCTCGTTGGGGCGTCTGGACTTGCCAAAAACATCCAATAAAGCATTGTAGGTAACCTTGTCAGGAGTGAAACCTTCCAGCTTCATCTGCTCAAAGAGGTGAACGGCTTCTTCGTAGAGAGAACCGCGGCGACAGCAACTTATAAGCGTATTGTAAGTGTAGAGATCGGGGGCAACCCCACGCGACTTCATGGAGTCAACGAGGGCCGTGACGTTGGACCAAGGCATGCCCATTTTGCCGTAGACATTCAGAACGACGTTGTAAGTGATGAGAGTGGGATTGCAGCCGTCTTGTTGCATCTTGTTGAAGAGGTTGACGGCGTCCCTGTACCTGCCGCTACTGGAATAGGCATTTATCAAGCAGGTGTAGGCATAGACGTCAATGTGAACGCCGTCATTTTGGAGGGCGAGGAGAAGGGAGGCGGCTGAAGAGACCCGGCCCGCTTTTCCGAGAATTTTGATGATGACGGTGATAGCAGAAGTGGTGAAAAGCGGAACAGAATGGTGGGTGGTGCGAACCCATTGGAAGACGGCGAGGGCAAGGTCGCATTTGTTGTTAAAGCCTAAGGACTTGATTATCCCCAATATGTCGGAAGCGGGATTTGGTTGGTCCAAAAGGGGACGCAGAATATGATCTAAGTGAGTGGAAATGGAATTGGAATTGGAACGAATTATGGTGGTGAGAATTTGCTGACCTGAAGGAGAAAGGCCGTGAGAAGACCATGGCTTGCCGCGGTTGGGGTCGAAGGACTTCCCCAGAGCCACGCGGCGTGGGGGACGAGAACTGGAACTGGTATTGAGGTCATGGATAAGAGTGGTGATTGGCGGTGCTGAGGTTGAGGGAGGGATAGGGTTCGGAGGGGTCGGAATACTGGTCATTCCAACAGAATTGGGTTTGGAAGAAGAAGGGGACGAGGGTTGAGGTGGTGGTGGGGGTGGGTTCGGGAGGAGCAATGGAAGAACCACCTTTTCTACTATCTCCATTTTCTCACCACTGCTTCACTTCTCTCTTCTCTTTCTCTCACACCCATCCACAAACTTAACTACACTCCATAAAAGATATTTCCATTCATTTATAATTTTATATAATATTTTTTATCAATTCCTTTTGTCACTCTAAAATTACCTATTTTAAAGTTTTATGTTCAAAAACAGATAACAAAATGTTTTCTATTAAATATGAATAAAATTGTTCTCTTGATTTTTCTTATTTGGAATTTATTATTTGTTTATTGTGACGGGTTGTGTGGAAATGGCGACGGGAAGGTGGGATATTTTATGCGAAAGCTTTCCTGAACACGTGTCCCGCGTAGCTTCACCAATTTACTCTGAAATCCAAAAACGTACCCTTAAATTGTAATGCATCCGATTATTGTAATGCATGAAGGCCCTCGCCCTGGCCCAACCCCTTAAATTCCCAAGCTTAACCCGAATAAAAATAGATTAAAATATGTCTGCCATAACTAGTAAGAAAATCTTTTGGGAAGTAAATTGTTTTTTTTCTTTCAATAAACTACACGACTTAATGAATTGAAAAGAAATACAAATTGTCGTTTGGATATCTAGAGGGAGTTGTTATTAAAAATTATTTAAAAATAAAAATAAATACTTTATTACAAATTTTACTTGTGAGTTATCTAAAAATGTACAAAATTACTTAAAATTAAAAAAATTACTTTTATAAACCACTCTAACCAAATTTTAATCAACTCAATCATAAAATCCAAAATAAAATATTAAATTTTATTTCTAAACAACACTTACTAAAACTTGCCTTTACTTCCCAGAATAATATACATTCTTCCAAAAAACAAATAAAATTAAGCTCTTATATTTGAGGTAAAAAAACCTATGCCCTTATCTTCCGAAAAAAAAAAAAAACTTAATAACAATAATCTTTATGTTAATCATGTTTAAATTTCTATCTCAATTGCAAAAATAATATAAAATAATATAAAAAAATCTAAACAAATACTTTATTATATTTTATTTAAATTAAATATTAAGATGTTTTTATTATTATTTTAATTTAAATAATTATGATTAAAATAATGTTAATATTTAATATTTTATCATATTTTATATATATATATATATATAGAATACACGCGAACATAAATAAAATATAGAAACATACCCTTATAAGATCTACTTCATATATATAAAAAATATACATCCACAACAATCCTAAACATTCTCATAAACCCTTTTGGACTAGTTTTGACTATCATCAGCAATCACAGTATCAAATATGTACAGGTATCACTGTATGTTTTCGATTTCGTTTTTGCTAAGATTTGTAACTTGCCATGTCCTTCAACGGACAATGTTACTCCCGAACATAAAAATTATATCGTTAAGTTCACTGATGCAACTACAGTGATTTTTGAGCATGAAAAATCATTATGTAATATCTCAAGACCTTACCAATAGGTTGAGAGAGGGGAGGCATTCAAAATGAATTATCTCTCTCTTTCAGTCTTCCAAATAAAAAATCGTAATGTTCACCCTTCTCGAGCTCGCATTCTGACCATTCTTTATTCGTTGCTTCATTAACAGCGTTATCATAATAAAATAAGCACCAGAATAAGCAGTACAAACTGTAAACGCTTCTAAATAGGCACAAAGGCACAGCAGAAGAATTATCAGAATAAGAACATTCAACCATGATATTTAAGATGTCAAACAGAAACCTAATAGGTAGTTACCAACGCTTGCTGAAGAGACTACACCAATCAAAACGAACTCTTCAACCATGCCCGTTCTTCATTCCAAGTACTAAAAAAGGTAAACGCTACTATGTCGCAGGACAAAATACTACCAAATATAATGTTCAATACACCAAAGCACGACCTTCATCCAAATACTTAACTTTCACTTTTAAGGAAATGAGGGCTAATCAAGCGAGCAACATCAAGCATACCAACTCGGTCTCTCCCTTCGAACACCTTCTTTAGCTTCTCATCACAATTAATAGTCCTCTTGTCTTCAGGGTCCTATCAGAATATAATTCAATTAAAACCAACCCAAGGTGATATATATGTTGCTGAAAGTATTTTTGGGACGCAAGATAGCAATAGAATAACATATTATATCAAAATAGCGCAGCACCAAACTAGAGAATATCAGGTAAAACTTGGAATTTGAAATACATGGATGGCAAAGAAGTATTAAGTAAGTGGCACGGCACATGTACAAGACAGAGTCTGGTTAATAAGCCAGTTGAGTAGCATGCTAGTATAAAGCCTTCAAGTAAAGAAAAAAAATAGCAATAGGAACTTAAATGGCTATAAAATGACAACAGGAATCCTCCACATTAACCATGATAGTATGAGCTTAACAGAATTGAACATTGACCAAATTCAGGTTAACACTTAGTGTGAAGATGAAATAATTATTAATGCAGTTTCTAGGGTAAATAAAACAAAGGTTCAACACAATGAGTAGTGGAGATTAATTCCAAAAAGTGTTGAGTTAAATCCAGAGAAGATGTGGAGATGTGATGTTAAAATTCCCTCTAAAACAATAACACAATAGTAAGAACAAGGGAAACCCTAACAGAACAGTTGAGGTTGGTTAACAATAAGGAAAATAGAATAAATTAGGTATTTGGAGAAGAAAAGGTAAAGAAAGGAGGGAAGTTTGAAGTACCTGAAGATTGTTGTCCTTAATGTAAGCCCAAATCCGTTTGAGGGCTTGGGTTCTGGCAATCTCTTTAACGCCCACTATGGCTGCCATCTCGGGAGTGACTTTGCTAGGTTTCATGATACCACGGATTTTGCGGGTGCCTTGGTCGGAGTGAGAGACGGTGCAAGAGGTAACAGTTCGCACCATGCGCAAACCAGAAGAAGAAGCAGAATGAGAAGGTCTCATGAAGGTGGCAGTGTGGGTTTCAGGAGGGAGAATGGAAGAAGACAAGAGTCCAAGAGACAGAGACATAGCCATGACCATACCCACACTCTCAATGCAGAAACAAAAAAGATAATATTCAGAACCCCTCTATCTCTCTCTACACTCAATTTCCAAACATATCACAATGTCAAAACCCCTACCCTCTCCTCTTCCCCTCTCTTTCTATCCTTTCTTCTCCTCAGCCAATATCTCCATCAAATTACTAAACTACCCTCCAATTTCAAATTTTAATATTCTAAGACTTTATTATTCATACATAAATAAATCGTAATCTCCCCCTTCTCACTAATTAAATTATTCTTCCTTAATTCCATTTAGTTATTTATATAAAATAAAATCTTAAAAAGAAGAGAGAACAAAATAAATATTTTTTTATACTTTTAATAAAACTATTTTCATCCATTGTAAAATTATCCGAATTTTTTATTTTATACTTTAACCCTAAGTGGTTTTAAGATTGATCTATTATATTATTAAGTAACATTGACTTTATATATTTAAAGATCGAATGAAGTTGAAGGAAGACAAATTAGTCGATTTATCTTCTCACCACTGCTTTTATTTATGTTTTAAAAATATTTTTTAATATAATTTAAATTATTCATTATAAATAAAAAATAATTATATTTATGGTAATGAATAAATTATTATAATTTTGTCATTTGCAATTGATATTAATTATATATAAATAGATAGAGAATGACTATGAATACCATATCATATTTTTTAAGTTTGAATCACAATAAACAGTTAGGACATGTTTTAAATAAGTAATAAAAAAAATTCAACAAATTTCAAGCATCCAAATTTGGCTCCACATTTTAGCATCATTTGAATCTAACTCTTAAATTAAAAATCAAACATGAAAATAATATAAGTTAGTCTTCAAATATTCCAAACCTTGTTCACATACAACATCCTCTTAACACCAAGTTTTTTAAAAAAAATAGAAAAAAAATCATCTATGTCATCCATCCCCCAAAATGTTTTAGAAAAAAAAAAAATAAAGGTTACTGAGATATCTCAAGTCAAATATCTAAAATATTCTTCTCATAATTTTGTTTTTTGCCCTAATTTATTCTTTTACACCTCCATTACTTGGTTATTTGATTTTTTTTTATGTTATTACCTCTATTTTTCTAACAATTAAAGATAAATATCATTAATATTATGTATGAATTACATATTCATGCACTTAAATTGTACACAAACAAATTTAAATTGTTCAATATGAAACATTGTTACAAAAAATGAGATTAAATTTTGGAACACTCAATCCAAAAATATATTTTAGATTGGGTGTTCCATAACGTATCTCCGGACAAACATAATGAAAAAGTCAATCCAAAATTAGGTTTTTCAAGTAGGTCAGTCTAAAATGTATTTTCGAATTAGTCTTTTTAAAAACATATTTCAGAACATCTAATTCAAAAATATATTTTTGGATTGGCTTTCCAAAACCATATTCCAAAATAGATGTTATAGAAACTATTTTCGAAAATACCAATCTAAAATTCATTCCAAAGATAAAGATAATAGTTAAGTTGATACGAGGTTTAATTTAATCATAAATTATGGGATCCAGGAAAAAAAGAGCCCAAATAAAAGGCCTTTCATTCCTCGTAGACCTGCCAAGATAAATGGTCTCAGCCCAAAAGAAATCCAGTTAGTAGCTAATTACTGCACCTCTGCGATACTATCTCACTAAACTTGAATAATAATAATAATGATTTTTTAAAATTCTTACATATTCCCTAATCCAATTGCATTAAAAGAAATTAAAATTACATTACATTATTTTTATATTTATTTTTTATTAGTTTTTAATCTTAAGTCATTTTATATATTTTTTATTGCAATTCTTTTTTTATTTTATGTTTTTCATCATTGACTAGGCATCTTATATCACTAACAATATCTATATTTTCTTTAGTGTAACTAAAATTAAGAATATTTTATTATTATATTAGTACTATCAAACTCAAATCTTACATTATTTTAGAAATTATTCCTTACATTCTTACTTTTCAAGTTATAGTTGTTATTTGTCTTGCAGTTTACTGAAATACAAGTTTTCTAACTTATTATTTTGTACTAATACTTTTCATATACAAAATCACAATTATTCAAAAATATTAATAAGGGTAAATTAATATAAGAATTTTATATTTTTAAAATTGATTATATTAGTTTTTTTGGTACTAATTATAATTCTTCAAATATGATTATATTAATTTAAAAAAAATTGAAATCTTAAAATACACAATAGCATTTAGTTTACTCACTACAAAACTTGTGACATAAATTATAAGTTCTTTATCCAAATAAAAAACTATTTATCTTATTTCTTTTAATTCCAAATTTTTTTAATCAATTTTTCTTCTTATATTTTTTACGAGGGTTTTTTTTTTTATCCAACCTATTGTCAGTCGATAATGAGGTTTTTCTTACAGCCGTTTATCATATATCTTCAATAATAATCCTTGATTACTTTTCTTTTATCACCCTTCAATCTAATAATATTCAAAACAATTTCTATATAAAAGCACCTCTACCTCAATAATTCAAAAGAATTTAAAAGAAAGAGAACACTTCCAACATTTGAATGATTACATATATGCTTTTGAAACTTATGAAAACACATTACTGCACACAACAATTTGGTGTTGATTTCATTATTCATTTTTTTTTTGTAGCAAAGACAACTACTATTAGAGTTCACCTCTACTCGACAAAAGTAAAAAAGAGAAAAACTTCTCCAATTATATTTTTTTAATTGGGATTATTTAAGGAATTTACATATATCTTTCCCAAAAAAAAATAAAATAATACAAACTTAAGAGGAAAAATAGATATCAATAATATTTTTCTTAATGAGGATTTATTTGAGAAAGGTTACATGGATCTTCCAAGGATATAATTTTGTGGAGAAAATTTTAAAATGTAAATTGCTCAAAACTATATATGATCTCATATAGGCTTAAGGATTTGATAAGTTTTTTTTTCTATCATATAACTCATGACTTCAACCATTCAAAAGTTTATTATTCTCTTTATTATACAGGTTCAAATACTTCTTTTATTGTTTTATTAATACATGGGAACGAGATAATCATAATTTATCCTAATTCTTTAATGATAATTATTATACAACTAAATCTTCAGTTCCTCTTTAAGTATAAAGTACACCCAAAGACATACCAAGGAAGCACATTATTAATCTTTTTCATAATACAAAGTTCACTTATTATAAATAATATCGATTTAGTGTGGATCATAATTTTCAATTTACTATTGACTATACTGATGTATTAATTGGTATCAATTAGATTGATTGACAAACTCTTTGTGTTATATGTTGTTTACAAATTAAGTCAATTAATGTTTCTGTGTTTAATTAGATGTTTAATTAGATATAAAATATACTAGGAAGAAATATATGTTAAGCAATTTGAATGTTTTGCAGTTAAAGGACAGGAAGATATGTCTACAAAAGACCTTATGGTATGATTGAATTTTGAAATTTTATTTGTTTCTATATATGATCTTTTAATGATACGATAAAAAACAGTATTGCATTTGTTGAGAAATTCAAGTCAAATATGATACAAATTTTTAAGATGATAAACTATATATGAAAGAAGACGTTCTTTCTTAATATAAAATATAAACCAGATAAAAAATTATTTTTATTAGTAAAAAGAAATTTAGAAAAAAATAAATAAATAATCAAACGGAGAATTCTAAACCTATAAGTACTTTAATTGTTTCAAAATGTTAAGCTTTTTGTAAAGAAGATCATACAAAGAAAAAATTAATAAGATTGATTTTAGAAGTTTTGTTTGTTACCTAATGTACATCACAACAAAACTTGATATTTTGTAGGTTGTGAATGTTCTTTCAAGATTCATTGCAATTGAAATGCACCTTCGAATAAGATAAACATGTGTTAAAATATATCAAAGTAGACTTGAACATGAGAATTTGGTTAAGTATAATTATAAATTTAAATTTCATGTATTTTCTAATAACGATTGAGAAAGTTCACTGGATGATGTGAAAAGTACTTTTATTAGATGTTTTATATTTGATTATGGAGTATTTTTATGAACTTTAAAAAATAAGATATAATGATACAATTAATTGCAGAAACAGACTTCATAATATTTTTGTTATTGTTAATAAGCCTTGTAGTTGAAGAAAATTTTAGTAATCTCCAAATAATTCAGACAGATTCAATTTAATAGTAAATAATTAGTTTTTCAATACAAGACAAATAATCAGTGTTAGAATTAGTATTTATTATTGAAATTCGTTTTAATAGTGTTAAAATTTCTATTATTATAAGTTTTGATTATAAGTGATAATAACTATTAAATTTTTTATTTCATTTTGAGATGTAATTGTTATTAATTTTTAAGAATATAGTTAAAAGTTGTCAATATGAATAAAACGTGTAATATGAACAAAGTTGTTAACATAAATAAATTAGTACAACAAGATGAAAAATTGTTCAATGTCAATCATTAATTCTAACTTAGAAAAAGAGATAAGTTTAATATTACATAAGATATTATATATTATAATTAAAAGAAAAATATAGTATTAATTATTGAGAATATTATATATGATAAATTTACAATCAATTAATACAATATTTTTGTAGAAAAAAATTACGAGTATTTACATATAGAATTACCTTAAAATAATTGAATATATATATATATATATATATATATATATATATATATATTTAATTATTATACAAATTCAAGAAATATAATTATGTATTTTAAAATATAGAGATGCTCCCATGACAATCATTTGGTCTACTACTCTTCTAAAATTTTTAATTGTCATAGAAGTTAAATATTCTCAATTTATACAATCCATCATTAAAGATAGTATTAATTAGATATTTTTTAAATATTTTAATTTTTGTATATCCATTTATCTCTATATAATTTTATACATTTTTGTGCAATTAATATATTGAATATCTCTTTTTTTATATTACTTTATACTTTAATAAAAATATT